TGTTTTAAGTCTTCTTAGACGAGCACACTCTCTGATAACGGATGAGAAAGAAAAGGAAGAAAACACATCAAACATTACTGAAACTCTCAAGCAAAACGACTACCCGAAGAACTGCATCAACAAAATCAACACTGACATTAAGTATGGCCGAAAACACCTTCCGAAAACATGGACCTCGACAGTCGTCATTCCATATAGAGAGGAGACATCAAACGATATCAAAAGAGTACTTAATAAGCACGACATCAGAGTTTTTTCAAAACATCGGTCACACTGCGAAGCAACCGTGACCATTTAAAAGACCAAATCCCTAAAGATTCTCTACCTAATTGTGTCTATAAAATAAAATGCTTGCAATGTAATGCGATATACATCGTATAGACATCGCGAGAAATCAAAATCAGAAGAAATGAACACCATAGAGCATCTGCTTGACTATCGAAAAATCAAGTTGTCCTAGAAAAACTTGAAAAATCATCAGCCATAGCCTGTCTACACGCTATAGAATCAGGCCACAAAATCGATTTTGACAATATTGAAATAACCCACGAAAGTTTCAGAAATGACAAAGAACGTCTAGTACCAGAAGCACTTCATAGCAAATGGAATAGGAATGATGGACTAAAACAGAATTTGACCTGGTTACGACACCCACCCTCCCCCATGAGGTGACAAAATCAACACGAATATGATAAGCAAGTTCATTATGTAAACACACACTTATCAAATCCGACAATCTGCACTTGGTTTTGTTATCTTTACCAACTGACCAACCTGACAACGAAAAATGCCCCCAGACAGAGGAACGATGATCAAGTTAGTAAACTTCATTTTGATATCATAACAGACGTACTACCTTAGTTATTTGGTTTATTTTATTTATTTGTTATTTTGACTTTCAATAAGTCGTTTTAACTTGACCTAAGTCTATTTTCTCACCTCTTTACTCATTGTTATATAGATGCTGAGATTTTGTAAAGTCCGGTTTAATAATATTTTGATAAAGCTATTAGCAGCATTAAATAGTCAAACGCCAGTAAAAACAATATCGTTTTGTTTTTCATTCATTGGGAAATGCAAAAAGCCTTTATTATAATGAATACCATTTATCCAATCCTCAAATTTTTTCAAACTGTTAAAAGTGAACTTGGTTTGGACATATATTATCTAGATAATACCTTAAAAGATTGTCAAATTTAAGCAGAACAGGATAGGTATCACTAATCTTTGCGGTGATGACACAAGAGTGTGATTATAAGACTGTATGATTTTTAAAAAAAAGATTAATATGCTCGTGGACTTTGAGAAAGATCAGATCACAGCATTATATGAACGTGTTAATGCCTAATTTTATGCGTATGACTAAAACTAATTAACACGAAGTGATCAAGTTAAAATTCTTATAACACTCATCTTTAATCACTTGTACGAAACTGAATTAACACTGATGACAACTAAAGAATTCGGTTTTGCATAGCTTAGGACTGTTAAGGTAACAGTCACAATGGACACACTGTCATGCACTATTGAGTTGATGTAACTCAAATAAAACAAAATGCGAAGATTAAAGTTCACTCACAGCAGAATATATTAGTCAGCTGAAACTATTGTATATACTTACTTGCTAGTGAGGTAATACGAGTAGTTAGTTACATAAAGTTGAATTGTGACACGTAAGCAGGGAGTAGACTGCTTGGTTGGGTACCTGTGGACTCTGATAACTAATGGATGGAGACTGTCGGTGATATATGGCTCAAAATTGTTCTTAGTGGCAGTCTGTCTCAAATTTTGGGCTACCAAAAAAACTCCATCAATACATTTTATGTAATTTCTCTTATCCAGTTTGTTTAAGTCTAGTAAAATACGACCTCTAATGGTGTTATTTACTCTCGCAAGTATTTAAAGTGTTGACGACCTACTTATTCTCAAGTTTTTACGAAACTTGAGAAAAAGCATAATCGTTGCTGGTAACGTATCCCAGGACACGACATAACTGTTCCTGAGTGATACCCTTGGTTGACGAAATGTACTGCTGAACTTTTCAACTTCGAGAAATACATGACATTCAACCAAATGTCATGTATTTCTCGAAGAAGAAAAAGAAGAGATCATCATAATGTATTAGTTTACAGTTGAATAAAGAAAAGAAAATTATTCCGCACATACCTCTTACGTAATTAGTTCACCTTATAAAAACCAGGGTTAACATTTACCTCAACTGTCAGATTTCCGTCAATAACCAACATCAGTTAGAGAGATCATTGAAAACGAGGGACACGTCGATAGCTGTCTCGTCCTATTTTAGGACTCTTCGTCAGTATATACCCACGGCCTCGCCAGGGTCCTTCAGGAAGTTGTGACCAGCGGCTTCCACTATTTCAAGATAAAGTGGATGCTTATCGAAGAGAACGGTGACAGCAGCGCTACAACACAAGCTGACAAAGTTAAAATTCAGGGGTCACTGAATTCCAGCCCAAGTGGCTGAATGGTCAATGAGTTTGGTCTCGTAGCCTGAAGGTTCTGGATTCGATCCCCTGATGGAGTCGTGGTCGCGCATTATTCAAGAGTCCGACAATAAAACGACACAGCTGTCGAAAACTTCCTGATTTCCAATGATTTCTTTAACTGATATTAGTTCGTGATGAAAATTTAACGATTGAAATTAACCCGAAACCCCAGAAAATCCTCCAAGTTAAAATTTATTTCATGCATAACTGCGCAATTTGCATAAGAAGATGTAGGAAGTCTCAAAAAAAGAAAAAATTGATGCTTTATTTTATTTTTCAACAAACAACTGGATACTTCATTTATTTTCAAGGGGTTTAATCAACACCTACGCTATAGTAGTCAGTATATACATATATATATGAACTAGATTCCAGAAATTCCGACTGTTATTGACTAAAATAAAAACATTTTTTAACTCCACAAGGATATTCGATTAGGGGATAAGAAGGGAAGAGTATAGTATTCTTATAAGCATTTATGTGTTCACATTTATCAGTAGAATGCTGTGATTGAACATGCAAAAGGAAAGGAATTTCAGATCCTGAAAGATGATTTCTATATTACTTTGTTTGATGAAGACTGGCTGTAGAATCTAGAACGCGCGTTTTGTTGTTTCTGGGAAGCGTCATCTGGATGTACAATGCTGTTCCCACTGGGATTCAAACCCAGTGTCCATAGCTTCAAGGAGCACACACACACTCCAAAATGAAGCTGATCGATGAGTTCAGATGTTTCAAATGTGAATGAATGATCAATAAGTGTTTACTTAACAGTAAGTATCCGTCACTTTAGGCCAACATACCTCTTGCACGCATGGCTCTATAGTAACTTACGTCTCATATTCATGCTTATTTCTTCATTAATTATTAGTAGAAAAATTGAGAATGAATATTACGTCTTTTCCAGCTCAATTTATAATGATTGACCGCGCTTCAGTTGACACGCTCAAACCAGTAGTGGTTGCTTTAAACCCATGAAAACAACTCCCAGTATCGTTATTTGATAAAACACCACTGAATCAACTGATTCATATGGTGGAATATAACTTGATTATTTTTTTTATTGCACAAATAATACTTTATTCATTTTATTCAGCAGCGCAGCTTTTTTATTCATTTACGTTCCCTGTGGAACATAGGGCTTTAGTCTAGAAGCTTGAAGTTTCGGTAGCAGTGGTGTTTTTATTTTTACAGGATGCGGTTGCTAGCTTCATGCCCAACCTTTCCTCTTCACCAGTCTTATTACCGCCTCAGCGAGGTAAAAGAGTGCGTCATTGGCCAGGGACCAAACCCCGGTTCACATAAGTGGGCGGGCTTCCTACCGCTGTGCCACCGATGCCAACAACGCGTTAATATAACTATTTGTAATTATCGAGTACCCGTCTGCTTGCTAAAACTTTATTGTAACTGGCTGACTGACTGGTTTCAACATAGAACCTTGCACAGATGTGCAGCAGTTCGAGTTGCCACACTCCCTCCATGCAGCACACAAAGCAAGAGAAGAGAGTAAAGACAGATTTAAAAGAGAGATAATAGACAGGAAAATGAGGCAAAAGCAATAGTAATGTGGAAGAACAATAGAATTTTATTGGATATGATAGATCACAAGGAGTGGATGTGTGGGTGGCACAGTGGTTAGGACTCTCGCCGACCATGCACATGGTCCGGGGTCCGATCCCCTGCCGACGCACACCCGATATCTATGGTCGGCCTGCAAAATTTGGGCTACCGATATCCATGCTGAAAATTCCATACTTGTACTGAAAATACGGTGTGGTATCAAGCTGTAATCAAAATAAAAAAAATAGATCTGCTCCATTGAGACCGATTTTGAGCCATATCACCACTTGTCTCCAGCCATTGGCTGTTAATATCCCGAGGATCGCAACTAAGGAGTCTACACCTTCCTACGTGACTGGCTTAAACTGACTGTTGTGGATTTCATTGACTGATGAAGCCATGTTTCGGTTTGACCATCATCTGCTCTTTCCCAACCTGACCCTATGTCAGCTAACATTGCCCATCAGCCGAGGAAGGCGATGGCTAGGCATATGTAACACATGTCCTAACCATCTCAATCGGTGTAACTTCACATCTCGTCGATTGATTTCCCCTCCTTACCTAGCACTCGACGCCTAACCTCAATATTGCTCACTCTATTATGCCACTTGACACGGAAGACAGAGACACCTTTGATCAAAGACAACTAACCAGGCTTCTCATGTCTTCCACCTTCAATGGCCAGGTTTCACAGCCATAAAGGAGAACGGAGTGGACTGCTAAGCAGTACACACGCCCTTTGGTCGACAGCCAACAGGATACGACGCCTACTAAGCCAGAGACGGTGTAAACTGGTAAATGCTAAACGAGCCTTCTGTATCCAATCTGAGATTTCGTCAGTGATCAACCCGCTGAGACTTGATTGTAAACTTTATTGTAAACAACCAGGAATAATGAAAGAACAACAAAAAAAGACGAGGTAAACAGACTTACTTTCATGTGAATGACTTTCTTTTAGAACACTTGAATGACGAACATTCAATTCACGTAGATCTTCATAATTCATATCTTTAATTGCAATGCGTAGATAAGATAGTTGACCACCTCTTTTCTGATCGTTGGATATGAGTATATTTCACGAGAAAAAGAAAAGGAAAATACACAAAGTTTTCGGTACTAAAACAAAACCATCAAGTTAGACAGACGTTTTGGCAAATTGAGGTCAGCTTGAAGTGCTATCTAAGGACGAATAGCAGACGAGGAAATGGTCGCATTTTAGTTTTTGACAATATGAACTTATAAGCCTGAAAAGGATAAAGACCAAGTCGATTAGCCTGTGAGGAAGTGTGTCAACTATCAGTTATTGAGCTCTAATTTATCATCTAATATTTTCAAGTGCGTCGGTGGCACAGCGGTTAGGACTCTCGCCGATCATGCACATGGTCCGGGATTCGATCCCCTGCCAACGCGCACCTGATATCAGTGGTCGGCCTGCAAAATTTGGGTTACTGATATCAAAAGCTGAAAATTCTACACTTTTACCAAAAGTACTGTGTGGGATCAAGCTACAATAAAAAAAAATAGATACTTCATATTCTTCCTATAAAATAACCGTCACTAAACATAAATGTCTTGACATTTCAACTACCAGACCTTGAGATAAGAATTTTCATTTCAATTAATCATGCACTCATTAATTACTAGCTATGAAGTGGATTCGTTGAGTTTACTATGTGAAGCCGCAACTCATGAGTTCACGGCTGACATCAAATGGTGGCTTCTGATATCACAAATTACCAACAAATAGAAATGATTAGCATGGTGTTTCAGCTCATTCGTCTAATCGCTTAACTTCCGACTAGCGCGTCACAGGTTCGAGCCTCCCTCCGTCTACCGAGGTTTGACTGACCGGGTAATATCACTAGCCATCCTCCAATAGGTTTGGCTCATTGCCAACTGAATGGAATTACACGAGGTTCTTGAAACGATTGGTCACTTGATTTCTACCTGGTGTAGCTGTATTTTTGTTTGCTGGACTCGAAACCTAATGCTTTCAGTTAGGAACACTTGCAAGGTATTGGTTACATAATGCTCCAATGGACTAGAATATAACGTAATAGCTGTTCGATGCTTCTTGGGCTTCGACTGTTAGCTGATATTGACTCATAACATCGATAAAACAAGACAGATAAGTATATAATTGACTTCATACATTACGTTTTTACGAGTTGATCACGGATTGATATCAGTTAGAGAACCATTGAAAACCCACCAGGGAGTACTGGACAGCTGCTGTTTCATCCTAGTTTGGGAATCATCGTCAGTACGCACCCACTGGGATTCCAACCTAGGACCTTCCGGTTACAAGGCAAGCTCGTGTACCATTCAGCCACTGGGACCCGATCCAATGGCTCATGAATTCTAACTTCTACTAATTCGTGATTTAGCGCGACCCCAACCATTGTCGTTGGTGGGACATCCATCCACACACGTGACATCTAATTGGACCTCACTGGTCACGACTTCTCACTAGAACTGACTCCAGGAAACTCCATCCTGTAGAGGGTCACTAGCGAGCATCAGATTAATTTTCTATAGTTTGGTTTGTAAGGGTTAGTTATGTTTTCACGAGTTGATCACGGATTGTTATTATTACTATATTATTTGACAGTCAGTCAGTCATTTACCAATAGTACTTTTAAGTTGACACCACATCATCGTTATTATTGTACAATCATCATTATTTTTGTCGTTATTTTCAACCTTGAACTTATCTATATCTAGCTAGTCCACCCGATGCCTTCGTTTATTTTCTGTAGCATTCATATTGTCTAACACACCACTGATTACACTCACTCTCGAAACCTGTACTTTTGTCGACTATGTACATATACATGATTAAATTATTTCATCTTATTTCATCTCATGTTCTCATTGACCATGCATATTCAAAATTAAACTGACTCTCTCTTATTCCATTCCATCTTAGACTTGTTCCACAACACGTCTTCTGATACAATTGTAATTTGCCTTTACTGGCTGGCTGTTGTATGCTTAAATTAAATTAATGGATTTATAATTGTAGAGGTTGAGGAGGAAATTATTGAAAACAATTGTTCCCTCTGGCTATTTTTGTCCTAATTGTTAAGGATTAGCAACAAGTTATTACACAATCAGTAGTTTGAAAAATATAATAATGACTAATTCGAATAGATAAGTAAGTTACGTAAGGACACTAAGACGCAAATAAGTTAACTAAATTATTAACATAAAGTCAAGTGACAGTTATATAGATGGGGGAAATACATTTGTAAGACTTTACACACATTACGTAGACGGCTACGGCAAAGAAAGGGACTTCACAAACTTCTCACACGCACATATTTGCCTAGTTCAGATGAATTCATATTGATTCTGCTGTATGTAAAAGTTGTACTAGTAGACCATGTGAGAGGGGGTGTGGAACACGAAAAGTAACTTTAAAAGCTTTGTTACTATCAACAAGATGAGCTGGAATTGTCCAACCAAGGTGAGAGGTATTATAAAATTCGATGATAAACTTGCCTAGTCGTACGCCCAATGTAACTAGCTACACAGAAGCAGTTAAATCGATAAATACACATGGAAGAAGTGAAATTAGACAGTTAATTTCTAATTATTGCTTTTATAGGGATTTTTATTTGATTGGCTGGAGGATTTCGTCATGAGCTGACATCACTTGGAGAACCATTGGAAAACCTGGGAGTACTGGACAGCTGCTTCTTCCTAGTTTGGGACTCTTCATTAATACACACCCATCTGGGTTCGAACCCAGGACCTTCTTGTTACAAAGCGAGATCGTTGACCATTAAGCCACTGGGACCCGATTCAATTTATTTTGTGAACTAAGCACTAGGTGACTGGAGAATAAACACCATAACTTAGCCGCGTTAAGAGTTCTATTGAAGGCCCTTCTCAGACATTGTAATACAATCTCAGTATTAACACCTGTCAATCACTGTCTTTGGAACACTGATGTGTTTTTTCGGAACTTTCGGCGCTTTGGGCTTTTTATTTACGGTTCTTACACAATTTCAGTCGTCATCTAAGAGCAAAACGACTCTTACAATGAAAGCGTATGCATTAAACAAAAACAAGATATCTACTCTGGAGAACTGAATAACTGAAAATTTCATGATGTGGTGCATCAGTGTGTATCCACCCCGTTGTCACAAAGAGTCAGCTGTGAACCGAATAACTCAGTGATGATATTTCTGTTGGAAGGTGTAGATGAGTTTAATATGAGTTTTTTTTATAGATTGATCATTGTGGTTATAATTAAAGTCAAGTATTGTGACACCGAAGAACATTATTATTATTATTGTTCCCTTGGGTTCCTAGTGGAACACAGAGCTTCAACTACACTTCTCCACTTGCTTCTGTCTTCTGCTGTACTTTTCACCTGCATCCATGTTAATCCATATTGTTTCAACTCCTCTTCACACGATCTCCTCCATGTCACCCTTGGACGTCCCACTCGCCGCTTTCCCCACCGGGTTCCACTCGAGCACTGGTCTGACGTGCGATGTCACCCAGCGGCCTCCTCAGCGAGTGTCCAATCCATCTCCACTTTCTCCTGCATATTTGTTGGGTGATTGGTTCTTGTTTTGTGTGTTCCCATAGTTTCTTCTTGGCGATTCTTTCTGGCCATCTGATCTTCAGTATAGAACGAAGACAGTTGTTGATAAAGGTCGGATCCGTATAAAAGAACTGACTTGACGTTTGTATTGAAAATCCGAATTTTGTTGTTGATGCTGAGTGACGAAGATTTTCAGGTTGATGAAAGTGTTTCTCGCCTTCACGATTCTTGATTTGGCATCCTCGTCCGTTCCTCCTGTATTTGAGACAATGCTCCCTAGATAAGCGAATGAAGTAACCTCTTTCAAATCCCTCCCGTTGATGGTGATTGGTGCTGGATGTTGCTGCTGTTGTTTTTGGTTGGTTATTTTCATAACCTCCGTCTTGTCTATGTTCACCTGGAGTCCTGTCTTTGCTGCTTCTTCGATCAGTTTGTCGGTTTTCGCTTGTAAGTCTTCGATTTTGTGTGACATCAAACATAAATCATCCACGCGCGAAATCCAGGTCTTCTAGGTTCTTCACGTCGGTCCAGGATATCCCTGTCTTCTCGTTTCCCACTGTCTGACGCATAATCCAGTCCACCACAATTAGGAATATCATTGGTGATAATAAGCACCCTTGTCTGACTCCTGTGTTTACTCCAACCGCTTCGCTGAGTTTTCCGTTGTGGATCACTTGACATGTGCCGTTGTCGTACAGCTGTTGAATAAGGTTGATGAATATCTGGAGTACGCTATAATACTCGAGTAGTTTCCAAATTACTTCACGGTCAACGCTGTCGAAGGCCTTCTCAAAGTCTATAAAGTTGAGGTAGAGGTTTGATTTCCATTCCATGCTTTGTTCGATGATGATGCGTAGAGTCACAATTTGGTCAGAACATGATTTGCCTATCCTGAATCCAGCTTGTTCTGGTCGGAGTTCTGTATCCAGTACGTCCTTTATTCTCTCCAGGATGATGCGACTCAGAATTTTACTTGGCGTCGACAGTTTCATTTGACACCGAAGAACATTACAGCCAATAAATAATCCAGACGTTTGATAAGGATGATTGATATACAGTATGTGCGCTAAATTCTTACTCTTTGCAACGATGTCCAGTTTTACTTCTCTTAGTACAACAAGCATATACAGAAAAAAATCTACAATAAATTCATTCTGTCATAACTTATTGAAATAAAGTCAAAAATGAGTAACGATAACCATCTAAAATAAACTTCTTTTTAGAAAAAAATATGTTTACCAACACTTATGAGTGATTTCCACTGACTTAATCACAAGATATTAATGGCGGCAAACGTTCAACACTAACCTTTTTCGATATAACTACAGCATCAAAATCATGATAGACAACAACTTGATGATCTTTGGTCAACTGAACATCCATTTCAACAAAATCAGCACCCTAAATGCAGGAGAATTGGATGAAAACAAGAAAAGTATGATTAGTATATACTTTAAAAAACAAAAAACAAAGAAGGGGATATCTGGTCTTAAGAAAGATGCAACAAAACAGACATGAGGTAAGAAACTAAAATAACAACAACAACAAAAGTGGATGTGTTCGTACACACACGCCAAGCTGCAGGGGACTAACCATGCGATATACACAGAGAAACATCCTAACGTATTTTACGCTTGATTACACCGCCAACCAACTCAGTCTGAGAGAATTACTGAACAGAAAACGAAGAAGCACTGTAGAGCTGTCTGGTGCTAGCTGACATCTACTTATCAATGTCCACTTACTACAGTCTCACAGGGGACGTTTCGGACCATGATTTTAGGAGGACAAAATTTTTCCAGTAGTCCGCACTCACAATTCCCATCGCCTGTGAATTTTTGACATGTAGTCAATACAGTCATCTGTTCGTGGAAAAATCCACCCTAGGATTAATAGTCCAATCCCAGCAAACCAACAGCTTGAATATGACTCAAACAAAGTGTAGAACAGTACTCAGTAGGAAGCTACTTCATGTTACACCGACCAATATAGGAACTTGAATAGCAAAGGGATATTATAATGGAAAATTGGCAATGTTTAAACAAATCACACGTTTGAGAGAGAGAAAACACAAGCGTAATTAGTGGTGAGCATATAGCCTAGAATGATAATGACAGCGTATTGTTCTACAAAGTGTCCATCCTACGATATGCGAAAACAAAAATCAAAATTATCTTCAAAAGTAATGATGAATAAATTTGACAACCTCAGACGATGAATTAAGATGCATAATATTTAGAGAAAAGTATTTAGTTCTAGTGTTGATTTCGTCATGGAACCCAACATCGGTTAGAGAATCACTGGGAAATCAAGGACAGCAAAGAGCTTTCTCTTTCAAATCTGGCAGTCTTCAGCAGTGCATATCCACAAGGGGAGCCCGTTGACCATACACCTACTACTGGGGTGATTCGTGAATGTTCACTTCGATTGATCCACGATATGACTTTACTGTCAATCAATGTCATCAAGTGAGCATCCGTTTTACCGTGAAACAGTAGACCTCATCACCGGCCACGAATCTCAATCCAAATTCCACGATATCTATTCCGTAGTCACTAATGTGCTGGAGAGATTGTTATTCAAATTTTTGCGGAGATTTTGATTACTTTCAGTGTAGATGTCGTCATGATTCTCTTTTAGTGATATCGATTTTAGGTCAAAGGTGTGAATACATGAAATAATAACAGTATGAAATGCAATTAAAATACTTGTGATTATAATCATAGTTTAATGTCATAAGGTTTATTATTCTATATATGACATTAATTATTTTGCCACTTGACATTAAACTGTGGTTATAATCACAAGTATTTTAATTGCATTTCATACTATTATTATTTCATGTTTTCACACCTTTGACCTAATTCCCTCACTGGATATCGATTTTACACGGAATCTATGCTGAAATAAATCAAAATCCCTAGTAAAACCAAAATACGAAAAGTACTTAGTTTTAAGCCCATTCATATTTCATTTAAACTGAGTTACCTATCTCTATGCGGAGACTAAATGCATTTTCATGCATTCAGATCAACGAACCAGCGGGGTCTACCGAGTCAAGCAAGAGGACAATTACTCGCTTGCGACATTGGCTGGAGATTGCTCTAAAGATCACGAATTCGCATGAGTTGGAATTCATGGACCACTAGGTAGGGTCCCACCCAGTGACTCAATGATTTACGAGCTCGTCTTTCAACCAGAAGGTCCTGAGTTTGAACCCCGGCGGGTGTGTACCGTCGAAGAGTCCCAAGCCGGAACGAAACAGTTCTCCAATACTCCCTGGTTCTCTAATTCATGTCAGCTTATGAACAATCCTGTAACCTATTAAAATCTCTGCAAACTAATACTTCATACTTAACAATATCATTGCGTTATCACACTTATAAAACAGCCTAACCATTACTATATTTTATTCAAGCTAAAACAGGAAGGTTAAAATTATTAAGAAAAGTATTAAGAGCGATAGTACAGCTCAAGTAGAGTTTGGTACTACAGCTTAAAATACAATTTACAGGGAAAAACGGAATACAAAAAAGAAGAAAACAAAGATGGAAAGAGTAACAGTAGAAAGCATACACAAAAAAAACAACTTTACACCCAAATTACACGGATGCGCAATTAAATTCACAAAAATCATAGTGTAGTAAGATTTGACACCAGTTTTAAGCTAGCTAGTTATTAACCTGAGTCCATTTCCAATTCGAATTATATTTTCATATAACGGTTTTGAGTGCCATAAGTTAAATCTGAAACAGACTACTGCAGTTGACTTAAAGACATCTTGCCTTGCCATCTCATTTTAACTGCCCCACACAACAGCCTTAACCGGTGATTTACTCTCTTCACTAGATAATTACAGAAAAGCAGTAGACTACTTTGTGTATAAACCGACAACAATATATGCAGTGAAATACAACGTAAGCAAAAATTGATCAAAATGATAAGAGAGAAAAGAACAAGAAGCCCAGAAAAGATAACTGTCTTTTCGGCGATTTCATCCTCAAAGTCAAATGTACAAGAGGACAGTTTCTAGATCCCTGAACAAGACCTCTCCTTCAGCAAATCTAAGAGTGATATTCTCTAGCCGCCCACTGATTCTAAGCAATGTGAAGGAGCAACTCCCGCCTATGAACACAGTGGTGAGCATTATAGGTTCATGTAGTCTGCTGGAGCTAGGTACATAGGTCGTCCTGTGCGAATCCTTTCAAAATCTGTTAGAGAACACTACCCAACATAGCTGCAAAAAGACGGCAATGGTTCAATGAGAAGCGGCATAACTGAATACCTTGTCAACATTTGTCACAGCTTCTCAACTGACCCATCATTATATGGAATTAAACAATCATAGTGTATCTACGTAAACCTATTTATAAAGGTGCGATTGTACCGTAGTTGCTTTTGAGGATGAGAACGCCGAAAAGATAGTTATCTTTTTCGAGCTTCCTGTCCTTTTCTTTCTAATGTGCTTGCTGATGGGTATTTTCCACGCTGTCAAAATAATTAGCTCGATATGAATCAAGTGATGAACACGCATAAGTTGACCGCATCGGCCATTCGAATATTTAAAGCACTACTTTTAGTAATAAAAAAAATTACAACAACAACAACAAAAAACACATTCATCTTATGTAATACAAGTGTGCATAAAGAAGCCATAAATTCAACCGGAAACACACAGATTCATGAGGAAATCTACCCCCTTAGATTAGAATGAATAACCAGTGTGAAATTTGCAGAGATATTAGTACATCAATATCCTCTTTATAGAAATAAGCAGCAGTGTAATCGCCACTGTAACTCCATAATCACAATTGAAAGTAACTCGACAAAGATAAGAATTAAAGAAATGTTTGAAAAATAAAGGAAAATGAATTTACAAAATGAAAACCACAAAATTCCTTTTGATGCCGATGATGACGTATACATTCACCTTGTTAACGAAAGTATTTTTCCATCAAGATATGACAGCAGTCATTGCTTCCTGTCACAATTGTCATTTTTTTTTCCACTTGACAAGAATAGACAATTGAAGACAGAGTGTGATAAGTTAGTGCAGAATTTCTGTTGCAGTTTATCAGCAAAAAACAAGGTAAAATAGAAACAGTTTTAAGGCTGGAAAGTAGGTTGTTACTTGCAGCAGTGAAATGACAGAATTGATGCAAATTTAACGAATTGAAAAACTATGCTCTCCAACAGTCTAGCAGCTAAAGTGAATCCTGAACTACTACTACTACTACTGGAGAGCAACAAAACCAATGATCGACATTTCTTTTTTTTCAGGAATTGAAGGAGACAACTAGTTTCGTAAATCTAGATGTGTTCAGAGAGGAAAACTTATTGATACACAGATAAGTAGATGAAATTTTTAAAAGCTAACGAAATAGTACAGCGATTCAAATGATAGTATGCAATCTAAGTTCATTCAGGAGGGGGGAAAGCAGAAAAGTAGAGTCGACAACAATTGTGAACGGATAGCAAAAAAACAAACAAAAAGGAAGTAAAAAGCTTAAAGTGAAAGAAAAAAGTGATTTGAAAAATCCGACGAATCGCAACAGGAATAATGCTCGAAGACTACACAATGCTATCCTTCGTTTGAAGCCTTTTCGAAAATACAAGTCTTCATAAAAAACATTCCTCCATGGAATGCATCAATTTACCGACGAGGTGGAATGTAGATGAATAACCATCTGCCACGGATCTATTCTCAACACGTACAAAACGAAAAGATAATATACGGGGAACACTCCAACACCTTAAATAAACATAATTGGCCAGAGAACTGCTTTCAAAAAATATGCAAGAAGTAAATCAAACTCAAATTTAAAAAAAATTTCTAAAAATGAAATTACATGTTGAACAGCTGTTCGAAACGAATCCAATGTATTCTCCTTAGTTGACGGTGTCCTGTAAAAATTAAGCAGATGAACAGCTGCGCATTGCATACAAGAAAAAGAATAATAATGATAATTAAAAATTCTATTTAGAGAACAAATGGATTCGTATTTTTCCCAATTTACATTTATAAGTTTACGATTATTCAGTTGTAATACCTACAACTGTAGTAGACTTGGAGCTCAGTGAATAGATTTCACATTAAATTTAGTCAATACATCATAAGTTCAAAAGCAACTCTATGCACGGGACTGAGTAGCATGATTACAAGTCACTTACCCGGTACAGATTTCTCATGTGCCAGGCTATGACTCACATCTTTATTGTGAGTGTGGGTGGGTGTGGGTGTTCAAGATGATACAACCCAGTTGCACAGATTGAAATAAGCGGAGTGACATTCGGACTCCGGACACATTGCTAGAAAATCGAGTGCTTAAGTCAATGGAGCCATACCTTCACTGTAGATTGATTAGTTGCTGCTGTACAATAACTGTAAGTTAGTTCTTAACCAACGAGATGATTATGAAAATGGCTAGTGCATTGTATTGATTTTATTACATGACACAAAAAGTCCGTGTAGTTCGAATATTCAAAGTTTGGTTTATATATATTGAAATCCAGTTATTCACATAGTTTTGTCTGACACGCATAACATTTTTTCAAATGCCTGATTACCTCAGTCTAATCACCTATATCAGTCGATTTTATTTACTGAACAGAAAATTCTAGAAATATTCGTTTGACTTTATGACGTAAAATAAAAGTAATTATTATTATTATGCGGATTAATTACAATTCAGTGTAAATAATAATAATTATTATTATAATTTCAGTGGAATTAATTGTCAAAGGTTTTGCGAGGAGTAAAGTACAAGTGCAGCCAGTGGATTGGCACATTGTCAGCCAAACCATATCTAGTACCACTTTCCAGATAGACGCATTTAACAACACATAAATCTTATCCACCGATAGGCGAACACATCAGTTTTACTTCTTTATCTTATTTGGATTGCAACTTTCGTCCACAACTAGTTATACTACAACAAACACTATACCTGTGAGCCAGGGTCTTACACAGAGACATAGATATGAGTGTTGTTGCAGAGAAACAATCTTTTCGCACTTTATATCCCCCCCTGGGGACTTACTTAATATAATTGAAGTACGTTTTTAAAAAATTATATTAGTATGGGTGTTCTTATTAGTGGCGCGACAAAATTGTATATCTAAAAAAGCAAGTAGTCGTAACACTGCAGTAAAAATGACAAGTGTGTTACAGAAAATAGTGATAATAACAGAATACACACAAACACACACGCAGGGACGATATAAGGTATCTAAAGAGCATCATGATACATCAAAATGGAGACTATTTAATTAAATGTTTGATACATGAGACTCTACAATAGCAACACACATGCATTAAAGATATCAGTGAGATTTTCACAATAATATGCAAACAGTAAAAAAAAGAGGAAAAGATGAATTTTTTTTTAAAAAGAAGCAAAAAGACTGACTCCTCCACCATATGGCCTATAATCTTTTATCACAATATTCTGCAGGAACCAGGTCAATGCAGTGAGGATAAAGATGAAAGAAAGAATACTTTTGTCGAAGTAAAGGTCCTCAATACCATAAATCATGAATTTGTCGAAGTGGTAAAGTGGATGATGGGTGCATAAAATTTAATCAAATTTCTGCTTATCGTTAAAACTAGTCAGTACCGAAGAACATTCTGTTTTCGATAAGCATCTTATTTTTTCAAAGTGCCATTAGTTATAATTGAGAAAATTCGCAATTGTTTTTTTTTAACGGCGACATAGAATGACGCAGTAAACATTAGCAAGTCTGCTAATGATTATTTTATATTATTAACTTTGTAAGAGATGATGCACCGTTAATACGTAATAACAATATATACTTATAAGTGCAGAGCTTCGGCGGTTCAGCCATGAGGAGGGTCGAGATTCAGTTCCTGATTGATGGACTTCTAAACTTCACCTGGCTAGAAGCAGTCCGAAGAGAAGGGAAGGTTGGGTGTGAGATTAGCAAACTCAAAATCTACTAAAAACAACATCTCTGATATTTGTTTGTTTGAATATGTTTGCCTGTGTGTACACAAGTGATTAATGTGTAGTCACCCTCTACATATCTGTAATTCAGTATAAATACATATCGACCCATCAGCATGAATACTGCTAGGAGAAATATTTTAGATCGGGCTTTACTATCATCTACCTTTCACAACGACGGAAAACAAAGCTTAACTTATTGATTTAGACAGTGACATTTTGCATAGTAGACTAGCCATGCTTACTTATTTTGTAAGCGTTATTTGATTTGACCCATTTTCCTGATAGCCTTCTTTTTCACATTCAACTTCTCAATTTATGAAGGCCACTAACATCCGGGATGATATTATTAAAATATAATTTCTCAAGGTTATTTCCTATTCATTGATTATTTCAGTAATTATATCTTCTGACGAATAAGGTTTTAGTGGCTTATAGATGATGATAGAAAAGGATAAGCTTCTATTTCGAATAATGAAGCTGTACCAGGGAGAATAACATGGGCAGTGGAAACAACAAAGAAATTCACGCATATTTATTTATAGGATAGTTTAAAAGAAAGAGAAGTAAGGTGGTAATAAAAAGGATAAACTAAAACTTCGTAAAAAACAAGAAAGAGAAAAAGACAATAGCTGTTTATGTGGATGACTGGAAAGTATACAAAAAGCCTTCACCTCACATACTATACTATATATACATCCTTTAATCAATCATACTTTACTTTGGACAAAGCTAAGAGGTATTATGAAGCAAAACTCTGTCCATCAACTCTCTCTCTCTCCCTCTTTCTCTCTGTTTATCACTGCCAAATCCAACCTGATTGAATACACAATAGCGAAATTCTTTTCTATTTTAGGATGCAGGAATGTGGAATGTTATGCTGAACTCAATAAACTTTCTTCACTAGGACTACAAATATTATTCCTGATAACGATTATTTCAGCAAAAAATGCATAAATCTAACCAGAGAGGAATTTATTGGTTAGAAATTTTAATGAAATAAGTTAGCTGATTAGTTAGTAATGATGTGTTACATAATCACACCTACATTTTGTCTGTTTTTCTGAACACAAAAGCAAATTTCAACTAGCCTCTATGTTTAGGAATGCTTTCCCCTCCCCCCCCCTATTGACCAGGTTTTAGTAGTGTCATTTGTTTGTAGGGTAACAAAATATTCTCCTATTATTGGTAATTGAACAACCATCAGGGATAGTATTGGAATAGCACAGTATGGTAATAGATGGATGGTAATAGTAGTAAGCAGTTAATTAGTAGTCGGTCATCATGAGTTGACAACAACTACTCTACTTGTAATTCAGTATGATTAGTATGCGCAGCAAAAGAGCTGACCAGTCAGTCAGCTGTAGCCTCATTAAGACGCCCTTCAAATAAAGTAAGTTGAAATTCCATTGGAAGTACCGTGATTTTTTGTTAAAGCAACTGTAAACAGACAGTCTGAAGAGTGGCCTACACCTGCCAGACACAACCTGGGAGAGGATTACACATGAGATATGTGCGGTAACTGACCAACTTTACAACTTTATGTTACAGACCAAAGCGTGAGTGACTCATCCATAGTGTTCAAGATGGGTGTTTTTCAAGAGAAATGATTTACTTCCTTACGAGATTATTGTGAGCTGCAATGAGATGATATATTACAAGAGTTTATACATTAAGAAGGAATCTTATTACTATATAATACTTGGTGCCGACTAGTGATTAACTTTTAAAGACCAATTATTACAAGGAATAGGGTCAGTAAAATTACTCGAGTAATTCAGGAGATTAAAAAATGAGAAAAGGTAAGTGGATCTAGGAGGGGAAAAAACTTGATCTGTGCCAAAATCCAAAAACAAACCGCTGTTGAAATTTGACATCAATCAAGAGAAATAGTAAGAATGAATGGTGTGATTATTTTTATTTCTCCGTTTAATTCTGATTAATACTTTTGCTTTCTAACTACTAGAAGTAGACTCTGGCATTTGTAAAACTGTTCCATCTTCCGGAATCTACTTTTCTTTGCATAGAACCTAAACAGAATAAAATCACAGCTTAATTTAGATGTTGTTCTACTTATTCTCCACAATCTTTAAGGCTAGATGACAGATACACTTTTTATAGGTAGTATGGTAAATCCAAATGCCTCTTTTTTCTTGAAGTTAGCGATGAAGATGTCGTCTTGAATGACAGTAAAATTCATGCAGTTAAAACTAACAAACATAAGAGAAATACAACAACACCAAAGTGAATAGAATATGAAGTTTAACATGAAGGAAGTAAAACAAGAGTATAAAATATAATGGAATGTTTAGAATTTTAGGAATGAGAGTTCAGTTCAACGTTTATGGTAAATTTTTAATTTTATCATAAAAGACGTATAACGGTTGACTCTTATAAGAAAAACCAAATGCAAAGACACTACAGTGTTGTTCAAATTAACTCTGGTAATTACATAAGCACAAGTGAGATGCGTAGATTTTTATGAGCAATAACACTGGCAATCAAATGTTAGTCGATTTGGCGCAGTTAAACTTTAGGCACCAGTAAGAACCAACGGGCAAATGACCTTGAACGCACCAACCACACGACAAGGCGATTTGTGCGTATGAAGTACATATATTCATGACAATAATTAATTAAAAGGCATGGAACTGTTTCCTTTCTCCGACATGTGACAAAAACACCTCCCACTTTCGTATTGTAGTGTCAACAGAGTAGTTTAACCGCATTCTATGCATGTAATTTTCTTTTCTTCTAACCGTAGCAGTAACCGTAATCTTTCTTCAACCTAGCCCTACCGTGTAAAATGTCCCGAAACTAACCCTAATCCAACTCTGACATCGCCTTCGTTAGGTTGACCCAACCCTAAACTGTCCTTAGTCCAAACTTTAATTTAATCCTTCCCAAACCTAACCTGAACCTGCCAGATATTCCATTTAATAACACAACACCTCACTAAGCATATTTAATTCAAGATTACAATATTATTTACCAGATTTCACTAACTCGCCTACTGAGAGTTTCGAGGTCATTGGTGCGATAGCGCTCTGTTGGTATTTACTGATGCTTAAAGTTTAACTTGATCCGGTTTGGATACACTAGACAGCTAAGATAAATAAGAGAAACTTGTATGGGACTTTAAAGAATACAGAAAAAGTTAATCGAGTTAGAAGCACCCATAAAACTGGCATTCTTTCGAACAGAGCTTTAACTAACACAGAAAAAAAGAACAATTCATCATTTCTAAACTTCAATTAGGGATATTCATTAGAATGTTGTTGAAAGCTCTGGAGACAAACAATGCCATAGGGGGAAGAGGACTTTTACCTCGTGATCCACAGCTTAAGACACCGATTTTATTTTTCTCTCATTTATGTATATTTACACATATTATCCAAAAATAGTCACATACTTTTTGAATGGTTTCTGTTCTGGTTCCAAGAACGATGTACCCATACCCCGATGACCAATATCCATAACTACTCCACGCTTTTTCCAGTGATGCTGATAAGTCACTTTCAAATTCAGGTTAGGTGATTTAACCATTGGATGGATAACAAGATATCGTACTGTGAGAATGAAGAAAGAAGTAATGATAGTAATAATTTGATGATGATTATGAAAATACACATGTGAGAAAAACAAATAATCAGCAACATAATCTGCAAGAATATCATCATTTTTTCTTAATGTAAGTGTACAATCTGGGCAATATGGTAGAATATAATTAATTCCACATAAGACATGTTCTCTTGCAAATTATGAAGTCGTGTGAGTATACTTATATGATTTTTTTTATTACAGCTTGATTCCACACCGTATTTTTTGGTACAGGTATGGAATTTTCAGCATGTGATATCGGTAACCTGAATTTTGCAGACCGACCATAGATATCAGGAGTGCGTCGGCAGAGGATCGAACCCCGGACCATGTGCATGATCGGCGAGAGTCATAACCGCTGTGCCACCGACGCAATAAATTTGAACTCGAAACATTATCTCAAAAAACTAAGCTTATTTTATAAATCAAGCGAAACATTTGCATCACTTTACAGATAGAATTAGTTAGATTAAAAGTCGCTTCTTAAACTTCTGCTATTCAACTTCGTATTTCGAAATAACTAGAAGCGTTTTATACGCATTTACAATAATCCTATCTGTGAATATATTGCTAACTTATTTTACGCTACGTAACTCCTCTAGCCAGTAGTTAATAAGCTTTCACTGCAGATTATACGAATAGTCCACTAAGTACGGGCTCTCATAAATGTATCTGATTGAACGAATTCACCGACCGACTAGTCTTTTCTAACTTGTTGAATATTACTTCAAAAGAGGTTATACGGTTGTGTTTCAATTCTTCTTCAGCCAGCTGCTGAACAAATATAGTCAAATTGAACCACATTTTTAAAAATGTCTTTAAATGTGATCATACCGCGTCCATGAGGGAGGAAACATTAAATCATGCATAGAAACAGCAGTTCACCAAGTAAAAATATCTTGGTTACTTAATTCTCTGAGTTGAAGATAGCAAGCCCACAAGCTTCAGTTATACTGAAAACAAGTTACCAATAGGCTGCTTGCTTATCACCATATAGCTCACTGGTGGGAAATTATCTTAAACCAACAGACGTATAGCAGTCATCGACGGAAGACTGTTTTAATGCGTCTTGATACTGAGAGATAAAAGTTTTGCGATATGTGAGAGAAAGCCTTCACTGTTGCAAGGGAGACTATGGAGCCAGTTTTGTCTGACTGAACAATTTTTAACAAACGATAAGAACCCCAAGAAAGAAGTTTATGTTATCATGCCCACAGAGAAGGTTATTCATGTTTTCCGATAGTAAACTATTTAGGTAATGCAGGATCACATGAAAAACATACCAGTAAAAGTTATGCCATTTCAAATTCACTTCATATCATCAAAATCTCTGTGATTCAATATGCGGACTACTAGAGTCTCTATCTCACTAGATTTTGTTAAACATATACTTTTTTTTCTTTTTTTTCCTTCACGTTACCCAGTGGAACATAGGGCTCCAAGCTAGTGGCTTGAAGTTTCTGTAGCAGTGTTTATTTTACAGGATGGGGTTGCTAGCCTCATGCCCAACCTTTCCTCTTTACCAGCATTATTTCTGGCTCAGCGAGGTAAAGGGGTGCTTCGGCCGGGGATCGAATCCCGGACCATGTGCATGGTCGGCGAGCGTCTTAACCGCTATACCACCGACGCTGAACATATACTACAAGAACTAAAATTTCACGTTTGAAATTTCTCGGAAATTGAGTTGGAATATGCAGAAAATATTTTTTCTTTAGGTTCCAAATATATTCATACTCGGAGGTAAAGTGCAGTAGTCAAAGTGCTCAACTTTCGACTAACAGGTCAGCAGTCGATGTTTCAACGGTTACATACTGACTGATTGACAAAATCAGTCGATACTATCTGAATTAAGCTAAATTACGTTGATAAACACTACTGACGAACTCCTCAGAGCTTGCTAGTTTCCTAGGAGGTCCCAAGCCCGGGTAAAGAGGGAGGGTTGAGCGTAGGGCTAGCAACCCTACACCAATAAACCTACCAAACCGCTAGAGAAACTTCAACACACAAAAAATATATTAAAAATACAAAAAATTCAAAGAACGATCTTATTCTTCGCTGGAATCGGAGAGGCCAAATGACACGGAGGGCTGGTGAAAGCTTTCGGGAAGCCAGTCAATGTGTCTTCTCTCAATGAAAACAAGAATAAGAATGGGGACGTGGAATATCCGCATAAAGTACGAGACTGGCTGGGAAGGCTGCCCAAGTAGCCAACGGAATGTGAAGATATGGCATTCAAGTGCTGGGTATCTGCTAAAGCAGATGGAACCAATGTGGACTGCCAAAACTGTCGACTGGAGTCAGTAATCTACTCCGGCTACCCACACGACAACCGCGAACCCACAAAAGGAGTGCCTATAATGATGAACGCCAAACTGGGACCTGACAATCCTGGAAGAGAGCTCATCATGGGTCGAGAGGCTCTGGCTCGGCAAAATGAATGGAAACGGAGAATTATTCGCAGACTTCTGCGCTTTCAATGATTTGATGATTGGAGGGAGCGTGTACAAGCACAAGGGCATACACAAAGTAACATGGGTTTTGCCTGACAGACACACCACAAACCAGACAGATTTCATCTCAATGTTGCTCAAGGAAGTGGAGACGCAGCCTGCTAGTTGCAAAGTCAAGAAGGGGAGCAGATGTGGGCTCATGCCGTCATCTAGTTCAAGGAACCTTCAAGGTGAAGCTGAAATCCATGAAAACAACTGGAGACAGACCACAATTCAAGTTCGACATTCAGAAAATGAAGGACGAAACCAAGAGGGATGCCTTCGTTACAGATCAGATCAAAGCAAAGTCGGATACACTACGTGGCATCGCTGAAGAAGCCTGCATGGAAGAACATCGGAACTAACTTTCTGAAGCTGATGCTCAAGGAAACGTGTACAAATGTTCTAGGAAGAAGGAAGAGACAAGACAAGGAATAGCTGTCAACGGACACCTACTTGGAAGCTAATAGAAGAGAGGAGGGGAGGTTGGTGAAAGACAAGATGACTCAATGCAAAGACGGATAACAGAAGGAGAAGCTGAGTTCAATGTACACTGCACAGAGTAAAGAAGTGAAGAAGAGCGCAAGGAAAGACAAAAGACAATTCTACGACACACTGGCCAGCAAGTGAAGCAGAAGAGGCAGGTTGCAGGTAAAAGCGACATGAGGACACTATATCAGATAAGCAAGTCTCTATCCGGGAAGAGACCAACCCAGATGATGAAACCAATAAAATATGCTCAAGAGAACCTGATCACCAAGGAAGAGAAACAAATCAAACAATGGGCTGACCACCTTAAAGGACTCTTGAATCGACCACCACCTGCAACTCGTCCAGAAATACTGCCACCACCAACAGCACACACAGAACTGCCTGACAGTGGACACCACTCCTCCAACGGAAGAAAAAATCCTGAATGCAATCAAGCTACCGAAGTTCGGAAAGACAGCAGGAACAAACGGAATTCCTCCCGAAGCACTGAAGACGGCCCCAGAGATTACGGCAGATCTTCTCACTCCATTACTGCAAAAAAATTGCAAAGAAGGAAATGTGCCTACTGATTGGAAGAAGGGTTACCTCGTAAAACTGCCAAAGAAGGCCTGTGCAAGAACTGGTGTGGAATAATGCTCTTGTCTACGCCAAGTAAAATACTTATTCGCATCATACTGAAGCGAAAAAAAGATGCAATAGATACAGAACTCCGACCACCGGAACAATTTGGATTCAGGAAAGGCGAATCATGTGCTGATCGAATTGCAACTCTACGCATCATCATTGAACAAAACATAGAATGGCAGTCAAACCTCACCCTACATCAACTTCATCGACTTCGAAGAGGCCTTCAACAGTGTTGACCGAGAAGTAATTTGGAAACTACTTCAACATTACGGCATACCTCAAGTCTTTGTCAACCTCATTCAACCACATCTATATGGCAGCGTCAAGTGTTAGGTGATCCACAACGGGAGACTCAGCGAGGCGTTCGAAGTCCATAAAGGAGTAAGACAAGCTGGTTGCCTGATATCACCGATGATATTCTTTATTGTGGCGGACTGGATCATGCGTCATACTGTGCTTGGGAGCGAGGAGACAGGAATACGCTCGACCAACGACAAGAAGATTCTAGAAGATCTGGATTCTGCAGATGATGTATGTCTAATGTCACACAAACTCGAAGACTTACAGGCTGAAACCAACAAAGTGGCTGAAGAAGCTGGCAGCGAAGACAGGACTCCAGGTGAACATAGAGAAGACGGAGGTGATGAAGATAACCACGCACCAAAAGCAACAACAACCACCACCGATCAGCATCAACAAGAGAGACTTAATAGAGGTTATCTCATTCACTTATCCAGCCAGAAAGCATCGTTCCAACTACAGGCAGTCGGAAGACATGAAGATGTTAAAGCCAGCCAGCCAACCAGAATCGGAAAGGCAAGATACGCACGCCTTCATCTACCTGAAACCAGTTTGGAAATCTTTCGCACTCAGTATAAAGAACAAGATTCGCATTTTCAACACCAATGTCAAGTCAGTCAGCCCTTCTACAAGGGTCAGAAACTTGGCCAGCGTGTCACGAAAAGGATTTCCAACAAACTGTTGCAGACTTACATCAACAGCTGTCACCTTCGCCGGCTCCATACTGAAGAACAAATGGCCGGCCAGAAAGAATTAACAACAAGAAATTCTGGCTGGAAACAAACCAACTAAGAACCGATTGCTCAACAAATATGTACGGTAAAATGGAGGTGGATTGCGCGTACATTGAGGAGACCGTTGAATGACACCGCACGCCAGACCCTCGAGTGGAAACCAAATGAAGAGAGACGAGTGGGTCGTCAGTGGGAGGGTGACATGCAGGAAATCATGTGGTGAGAAGGAGATGAGAGATTATGGGCAATCCTGGACTCAGCTGAAGAGGACAGCAGAAGATAGGACAAAGTGATGTGTTGTTGAAGCCCTATGTTCCACTCGGAATTCAAGGGAATAATAATAATAATCGAATACTGACACGATGATAACAGAATGAATTCATTTAACTGTTTATCCCGATATATTTTTTCATGAAACTTTCAAATAAATAAATCAAATAAGTTCAAGGCATGTGAAAGGTTAAAAAAATGCTTCAGACACCTTTGACAGAAATTCACTCACCTCGAAGATCCCCAACAGGACGATGTGATGAATTTATAAGCTGTGCGGCTTTCCGTCCATAGGTATCAACAAATGGACCAAAACGAGCAGAGCCAATAAACTTTAACTGACTCCCTCTGATATTTTTAGCTGAATTACACACAAATTTAAATGAAATTGCTAAACATGAAACACTGAGAATATATATATAGATATATACATTAGTTTCCAGCAAGACACTAATTTAATCAACTGCATAATACTTTTGAGTCAATATGGAATTAGTGTCAACCTAGCCAATGAGAACACTTAAGTTTACATTATGTTCAATAGCTGTAGACTGTATTTCGTTGATTCGCAATCCTTCATTTATTTAGAAACATTTATGCAGTTACTGCAATAAGAACCAATTTTTAAATAAAACAGAAAATGTTATCTAGTGGGAATTGAAGTGACTCCTATGAAAAATAAAAATTTGTGATAAATATAAAAAATACTGTGTAGAATAAAAACTACGTATGGCAAGCAAAGGCTAAGAAGGGAATACTGAAAAGCCAACTTCCGAAAGCTTCTTACAATAACCTTAAAACACTTATCGCCTATTTATAAAACGTCTTAAAGAGTAAAGTAAGTTAGTATTTATGTAAGAATAGAAATTGTGCACTGTGGTAAAGTATAATTCCATTGTGAGTAAAATTTATTTTGACAAAGTCTCACAGTAATATTTACTGATGACCACGTTTCGAGAACAGTTTATTGCTCATAATTATATTAAGTTACTGACATAACTTTCTAACTTCGTTTATATAATTCCACTATTTTTCATCACTTGACTTGATTGATAGTAGTGGTAGTTTTCATATTTCCGGAGTGGGTGGTGAGTCATTCTTATTGCACATGTTGGGTATAGACTCGATGAACAAGGTTTCTCCAATCAACCTCTCTCTCTACTTACCTAGGATTTGAACCCTCTCCCACCCTATTGTGTGGTGGTGTGTTAATGCATGCGGTACAATTGCTGAGCTTTTTTCTGAATAACTTGTCTTTGCGGGGTTCATGATTCTAACCTTAGCTAAATTTTTGTCTTCTTACAATCTGACTACCCGCGATCTACTAGTGTGACCTATCTAGTTGACCTAACTCACAGTCATTGCAGGGTGTTTTGTAAATTACATTATCTTGTCTAATTAGGTTAACTGGGTCCTTTAACCTAAACACTTGTTCCTGAATAAGTTTGTAGGTTAATTGCCACTCTAATTCCTGCTTTATCAAGAATCCTATGCAGGGTCTTAGACGTCCCCTCATTATATGGTAAAACTGTAGATGCCTTATATTCTCTCTTATTTATCCTTATTAGTTTCCCCATTATTTTTCTTTTGCTTATGACCTTTTCTGATCTTCCTAGTGAATTTTATAGGAAAGTTATTTGAAACCAACGCTTCTTCTATCTGTTTTATTTCATCATTTAGGTCTTTTCTTGTACTACTTAGTGCTACTGCTCAATTTGTTAGACACTTAACTAAGCCTGCCTTAACAGTTAACGGATGAGATGAATTAAAGTCTAAATATCTACTAGAATGCGTTGGCCTTTTATAAACGCTAGTGTGCAGTTTACCTTCTTCTATTCGTTTTATTTTTTTGCAATCTAACATAGCTAATTCTCCTTGTTCATTTTCCGATTCAAATGTGAATTTTATTCACTCTACTAGTGAGTTTATATGTGTCAAGAAACTGGAGGTAGGTTCTGTTTCTAACACTGTGAGAGTGTCATCCACATATCTCCACCATATTTTTGGAGTAGGATTAAATGTATTTAGAGCAATATTTTCCCAGCTGTCTATAAATATGTCTGCTACGATAGGGGATATTGGTGATCCCATTGCTACGCCTTCTGTTTGTCTATATATTTTGCCTTGGATTTTAAAGATAGTAGATGTGAGGCATAACTGAATTCCTAAAATAATTTTCTCAATGGTCAGCTTCGTCCTGTGAGTGAGTTCAGGATCTACGGTTAGTTATTTTTTAACTGCTTTTAAGGCCATTTTTATCGGTATATTAGTATAAAGACTGGTTATATCAAAACTAACCACTGTTTCATTATTCTCTAATTGAATGTCATTTAGTTTCTTTTCCATTTCATGTGAATTAGTTAGCATAGAGTTTGAGCGAATTCTAACGGGACATTATAATCTGGTTAAGTGATAAAAAATAATTGAATTATATAAACGAAGTTAGAAAGTTATTTGAGGTTACAGGAGCCTGCAGGTTGACCCAGTTGGACAAAGCAATTTACGAAATACCCTGAAATGACTATGAGTTAGGTCAACTACCTACATAGGTCAAACTAGTAGATCAGGTATAGTCAGATTATCGGAACATAAGAATTTAGCTAAGGTTAGAATAAGTGACCCCACGAATATAAGTAATTTAGAAAAAATAACTCAGCGCCACATTGCACTACATGCATTAACACACAACCACACAATAGGGTGGAAGAGGGTTAAAATTCTAAGAAGTAATCTAAGTAGGTGGAGATAGAGGTAGATTAGTAAATCCTTGACCATCGAGTCTACACCCAACACGTGCAGTAGAAATAACTCATCACTCATGCCCGGAATATGGAAAATACTACTACCACTACCAATCAAGTCAAGCGACGAAAGGTGATGGAATTATATAAACGAAGTTAGAAAGTTGTGTGAGTAGTGCCTTGATATGATTATGAGGAATAAATTATGCTCGAAACGTGGTCATCAGTAAATATTACTGTATAATACACTATGGAACTTTGTTAAAACAAATCTGACCCACAACAGAATTAAGTTACCATTTATTTATTCTCAATGGTACTGACTATTTGTTGTCATCACACACATAAAATTTGACTGTTCAGTTAGAAATACACCAACGATCAACTGGAGATCATAAAAATTATGTCGTTGTTTCATGCGACCGTTATCACCAACCTTGGTTTCACACATTTTAACTGTTCCACAAACATAACACTGCTGAACAGTAAAATACTAACATAACTATTTATAGATTTTCATAATAAAATGTTAAGTAATTTTGAAGTATACGTATGTATAACAGCACAGAGATATTCGGACTGATCATGGTCCAGCAGCCTTTAACTGAATAGGTGATTTTAGGATAAAGTGTTTCGTCTTGCCATTTATTCTATTAGCTTAAAGTTTGTTGCTATTCTTTGGACAGCTGTTACCTGAAGCTTCAAAAACCAATGATTTATTGTTTGACTTGCTGAATTGGGTGAAATAAAGTCCAATCCTGTTATCGACCTAGTATAAATAACACAGATTGTAAACCCTTTTCACAAAAAATGTTACTTACATCCTAGTACACAGAGAGAGTTAAATATCTATTGTGATTCATAACCTGAAGTCTTTAGCCACTAGATGCCGAGTTTGAGACGCGATTCACTTAGCCCTAGATAAGTGAGTTGCCGTCACAAGCGTATAGCTTAGTGAATAAAAACTGTACGGCGTTAAGGGGTCGTATTATATTGTATAAACGTGAAATGGAACAGCAGTTTGACTTGAAGTTTTTTAATTTCTTAGTGGAATTTCGCATTATAACATAATATTTGGTGACCCAAGCTTTCTCACTTTATTTGAGTTGCTACACCAAGACACAGAATATGAAGTGGAATCATTGGTCATATAATAATTAAAAAAATGTTAACACTAATATAACTACAAGAATCCAACCACAAGTTAACCCGTTAAGTATCAACTTACTAGCATTCACTCCGGGTTCATTAGGTTGTTGATAAAACTCTATTTCCACAGAAGTATTTTCCACATCCCATGTTTCGATAAAAAAGGTTACGTCATCCCCAACTTTATAGAGAGTGCCAGAACAATCCGGCTGTTCACCTCTGTGAACGCGACAACGACTCATTTCCAAAGTAGACATAAGAACGGGATGCGCACGACAAACCATACTGTAATATGATGGTTTGCCTGCAGATCGACGCGAAAAGCGTGATGGCCAAGCATTTTGTAATTTGTTTTCGTTAGACAGAGTTTGTTGGTCCTGTGAGAATTCAGGTTTGGTTGCTGTATTATCCAATGTGGCTAAAAAGAGGAATCATGACCATTAAATTTTCAAACACACACATTTCTCTGACTTAAAACGTAATGAAATACTCACTAAACAGACGCATGCATCATCTAATCTGTGTAATCCGGCAACTGAAAACCGAAAGACTTTCTAAGAAAAGTTAGGTACATGATAATTATGCGTATTTCTTTTAGCATCAGGCTGAAAATTCTACAGTTTTCTGACTGTTAGATTTCTATCTCTTCTCTTACTCTACGAATTACACAGCTAATTCACACTGTTCTGACGCTTTTTGAATAACACTATTTTACCATAGACGAACATCGAAAACAACAAAAATATGCGTACTGCACACCTTCGAATGTTGCTTATACGTCTGTTAACCATTCTTCATATATTCCAGAGATCATATCTCAAATAAACAATATTTTTCAGGAAGCTTCACAAAGTTATTGAAAACTAGTAGTAGTGGAGAGTAACTGAATATATCTTGTGCACCAGCATATGGAGAAACTGAAATGAAGATATGTCACAAAGTCTAGACAGTAATAAAACCACAACACGCTTCCAAAGCCGCCTTAATGGAACGGATAATAATTGGCCAAGACGAAATCATACGTACGAAGATGCGATTGTGATCACACATCTCACTTTGGAGCAAAATAAAAGGAACAAAAAAGCTTATCCAAATGAAGATATTTCAAAACGTGTTACGCGTAACAGACTTTTGACTTGATTGTCCACTAGTGAAAACTACTGCACTTCTAACAGTGATAGAGGGAAAATAAAGAGACATTCCAAAAGATGGATTTAAATACTTATCCAACTGAAATAAAATTAACAGAGTTATATTACTAAGAGTTGGAGTTTTACTAGGTTTAACGAATACATCCAAAACCATTTGTAAGGCATTGAAGAGGGTTACAATGCATAGCAATGATATAACCGAGATACTAGCGAACGCACAGAGTGAATTATATTGTGATCGATTGTCTGCAGTTAATTAGATGACTCAATTTAATTAAGAAACAGCCTTGTTCGCCTAGCTGAAAATCGTATTTACAGCATTTGCCCAAGCTTTCTAAAATAAACGAGTTGGAGCAACAAATACTTTCTCAATAAATTCATGAGAAAGTCTGCGCTGGAAATATCCTGGTTTGTCAATTACATAAAAGAAAACTACGGATGAATTGCAAATAGCACCACTGGGTAACTTATTTGAGGAGATTGGTGTGGATACAAATAGACTTTCCTTTAAATACTATATGGCACATATTATGTGCATGCATTACGTCGTCGAAAATCTGTTACAGCTGCTGTTGATATAATTCAAAATTCCTTAAGAGTAGCAAGTACTATAAATCAACGAGTATGGTAATGGGGCAACTTGCTACAGCCTATGCGAAAATTGATGACAATATGGCAGAGTAGGGTATATAATAAGTGACATGTTAAAATCATAAATAAAGACATCTGCGTTGATTTTAAAGTATAGCATCTTCAGTCATCCATTAGGAAAAAACATAAAAAACATGGGGAAGATATCTAAGCATGAAAATAATAAACCAATTCATACAGCATATATTACGAGCAGCTTATCAGAAAAGCAAGTGAAACATACAGAAAGGAACCTGGAACAAAAACATTTGGATGAAGAATTTGTTGACCATGTTCACTAGCTCTAGTAAATAATATTTACTGTTATTTACTGTACGCGCTCACAGAGAATTTCAGGTTTTTGTTATATGCGAAAACTATACCTGGTTCAGGATCTTCGTCTTCCATACAGTTGGGCTGTAAGATGTATCTGGAACATGATACAAATAATTTGCTGTCAGGTGTGAATATATTGCTTTTGAAGAACTTGCAGGACGAACTCGACAGGCGAATGTGAATCTCTGAATTCGACATTAACCAACCACGTTGAATATACTTTCCATCATCTTCAGAAGGGATCAGTAAAAATTTCAACATAACTCACCAAAAATGCCGAATTTTAGATTAGTCATCGATGTCTTGTCAGTAGCATTTAAGTAGTCTGCAGTTGTGTTATAAGAAGACGATGTTACCTATAACATAAAACTCTCTTGGCTTCCATCTTGACTCCCAAACTAAGACTCTGAGTTTCCGTGAATCAGAACACCCCTCATTAGCATCAATCAGTTCACCAACGAAAAAACGGAATTCAAACTTGGAAACAGCCTGAAGTGGGATGTTACATTTCCATGTTTCGACACTGCAATATTTTTAGGTGTAATTTATACTAATACTTGGTAGAATTCGTTTTCTGGCGTTGGCAGAGGAGAGACTTCTCAGGATTCCAATGGCCCAAAACATCCAATGAGCCGGAAATACACAAAACTATTTTCCGTTCATATCCGGAATCAACCGTATCCACATAAGCACCGACATCTTCCAAGGAACTTAGGTCGACTTCTACTGACAAACACACCATTTGAGAGCATAATTCGTTTGTCATCCTTAAAAGCGCGAAAAAGTTTGAATGTCACCGAAGTTCATAACCTTTGATAAGATTATCTCTTTGATACTGTAAAACAAAGTAATTCTTCTTTTGGGAAACAAAACATACCAGTATAAAAAAACATATATTAGTCACTTCAATAGCTTTAACTTCTTTCTCAAGTTTCCACTAGCTAAATAACACTAGTCTGCAAAACATTACAGTTTTTTGAAAATAAACATTTTACAAGGCAGACTAAACAAAATTTATTACTTCGCACCCGTCTCTTGGAAAAGGAGATCAACTCACAGTTTTGGCTGGATTATCACACGCTCGATTCAGACAAATGTCTTGAGTGGATGGCCGATTTGTGGCCGATTTCGGGACCTTTGTGAGTTTTTCCACGAGTTAACAATTCTCTTGGTTGAAGCATACAAAATATTAATTGTGGCATTTAAAAATCAGAAAAATAAATTGCAGCTCAGTTTGGTGGAAAAGACTGTAGGATATTATGTGTTTGTTTTCCACACCCAAATTAGGCAAAACTTGACAATAACGATAAATAATTAATTTTCTCCACCCTTGTAACACTACTGTTATTATCATTCTTATATTTGCAATCCTCTCGTTTTCTTTTCCGTTTAATATCTCGTAGATGTAAACATCATCTAAGCTTCATATCAATTGTCTGTTTGTTTTACCCTCACAAGGCAATTTCAAGAAAATATTACATTCAGTACTCTATAACTTTATCAAAAATACTGTTTGAAACAAACCCACTGTTATTATTATTGTAGTTATTATTCTGATTTGGACCTTGCGCAGCTTTAACCCCATTCCTACTGTGAATTTGGACAAATTCGTGTAGTGACTTTCATTTATATTTTGAGTAAATTAGACGTACTATTGTGAATTTCATGTTCCACCATAAGTACTGTTTTTGGAAAAAAGCAGATTATTACTAAACTTGTCTTATTTAGTAATTATTTATATTCCATTTGTAGCTCTCCGCCCATGGTTCTGAGGGGTCTGTTATCCACAGTACGCACTTGTGGCCAGAACTTTGAAGTAAAGCGAACAGCCCAGTTAATAATACACTCCCTAAAAAGTGATAGTTCCCGAAACCCACAATAAAGCCGAAATTACCTTTATTTGTCCGTGGAAAATTATTATATAGCCTCTTTGAATGCAGTAAGTCGCAACATAGCTTTGAGAGGATCGTGATAGAGAAATACTTATTTGAAATTTCCTTAAGTTTGGGATGCGTAAACAGGTTATTAGGGTCTACTCCCTAGTAATTCCATATCGGTTTTGCAATCTAAGCAATTCATAAGTGTTTCTGAGTAGTTCATCACATTTTTATGTTGTTATAGGAGTGCAGACTTGGACAACTAAGTTTTTACTTAGGTCGCTGAAATATCAGCAAAGTCAAACGAAACTCAGCCGTTTCACCGATGACGACCACATGATTTATTCGTACCGATTAAAACACCTAATGGCAATCATATTTTTCAAGGTACAATGGTTCAGCGGTGGTGTTATTGTGTGGTTGTGGACTTCTGTAATCAATTTATATCATCGCCAATAAATTTATCGTTAAGTCGTCGTGAGAGTTGCGTTAACTTTTCGTCAGTTGGGACAGTGTAAGTACAGCCTGGCTATCAGATAAGGTAGGCTAGGCTAAAGATTCATTAGATGGCGTGAAAATAGTCCACATCCAACAGGATTGATGGCCATACAGCAACCACGAGTGTTATTTCTAGTTGAAGCTAACCGGAAGCCTAACTATCTGATTTCCTGGGACTGAATATGCCAGGCGTGGCAGGATGGTGCTAGCAGAAATCTTCGAAGGTATGTGGCCGAAATTAAGGTGACGCAGTCGATTGCTGTACAAATTTCACTTATCAAAGACCATATTAAGGTCATACATGCCACGGGGAAGAACTTAATGTTCATGTATTGTGGGATGGGTTATAATGAAAGAAGTATATTTGCAATATGAGCTGACAGGAACTGGAACTTCTTTTTTTATGCTGATCCACTACCAAGAGATTTATAATAATTCAAAGCCAGCCCCTCTGCCGTTTAATACATGAATATACACATGTTCCCCTTAATTATGTTTCCGAACTTCCTAAAAAGACTTCTACCTTGCCGTGATTTGCCAGATAAGGTAATAATTCCGCCCAAGGCACGTGCAATTTCTGGCCCTGAAACAGTGTGATAATAATTCTCTTAAGCTCCGATTGAAACATAGGGTTTCGGAAACATATCATCACTTCCCTTCGCTCCATGCGGCCTTCCTTAGTTATCTCCGCGACTGCACATAGCCTCTCACTCCCTCTTCACACAATCTCCTAGATGCCAAACTCGACGCTCAGCACTTTGTTTCCAAATCAGGTTCAACTCGAGGATGTGATGCCAGTCACTGCTCTGCTCACAGTGTGTTAAATTCACCTCCGTTTCGTTTCTTCGATACTACTGGTTTATTTTAATGCTAACTTGGCAGTTATTAGGCACACTTTCAAAAACTGTCATTTTTCGTTGCTATTTTTGCCGTTTCAGACCGAAATTTTGAGTGTTTCGCGACATGCCCCGTTAAGTTCAGCTAAAGTGACCGGCCAAGTTTAAGTAGAATGTGCTTATTCACAGCTTAATGCGCCTACTCTGCATCTAGCATTGTCATTATGTAACGCAGAAAATCAAGAAATATTACGAAATGCTAACTGGCACTTTAAAAATCACTTAAGGCTTGTTTTCTGTGCCTTTGCAACTGATTTCTTATTGACTCCAAAACATCCCATGCCTTTCACCTTGACCATTTCTCTGAGACAAATATCTAAGAAGCTTTAAACGACCTATTAGGATGTCTTGGTGGGGGTAAAAGAGCAAATTTGAGCATCGCCAGTAGAGTGTAAACTGAAAGACGGAACTCTGGGCTTAAGATAATTAGTTGAAAGTGTCTTGTTAAGCTCACATATAATAATATATATATTTCGTATAAACGGGTAAGTTTACATGAAATGCATGCCATTTTTACAGGCACGATCAATTATGTTACGAATTACAATTGTTAATTAGCATACATTATCACATTTTCAAAAAGTTCATATTGTTGAATTATAGTACAAGCAATCGGAACAGATTCTTATAAATGTCAATTTATAAATATTTCACGAAGGTCACCATCGAAGTTGAGCGACAACCCGAAATTCGTTCCATTTCCTGATGATAGTTATGACCAATCGATAAACAATATATATTTGAGTGAGTGCTATTCCTTCAAATGCTTGAACGCTATTTTAGGAACTGAAGAAAATCTGGCGCAGCTGCAAAATGGTATAGAATGCAATAATGAATAATACATTATTAAAAGTGTATTTACAAGATAAATACAAGAAGCTATGTAGTACTTGAAGTGATAATACGCATTTACAAAGTATGATGCCAACCATATTGGTCTTACCATGGAAAACTATGACGTTTTCTATGAAAAAATATTTATTCTCAAACATGAGTGTTGTTTTTTATCATCAGAGCAACCGAACTTTACGCGAGAAAAGGGTGTAAATGAGAAGAGGGAAAAATTTCAGCTTTATTAAAGTCCTAGGAAGCTGAGATAAAATAGAGTATAATAGTAATTAGGTAGAAGGATTATTGTGAAGTTACTGTGTAGCCCAAACTTTTTGATAAGGAGAGGAATACTATGGTTCGCGCGATCCAGTCGTTTCTTCAACATTTCTGTGAAGGTCTATAGTCTCTGGGGGCCGGCTAATACCGTACTTTCACTTTTCTTCTTATCTAAATTATGATCCTGTAAGATGGATCTAAAAACGCTAAGGACCAGAGTCATGTTATCGGGAGTATCTAGTCGACAGTTTTCTCACTTTCGCGCCACTCTCTGGATTTGTAAATGGTATTTTAGGCGAAGTTAAAGTACTATAGGCAAAGTCAAGGTCTGTTAAAAGTTGACACTCAAGAGCAAATGAGATTTAGGAAATATATATTATTATTCACTCGGCAGTGTGGCATTTGTAAAGTTAATGTTTACCCCATAGTGACATGCTTGAGACAGCCCCCCTCACCACTGCTCCCCTTACACCAGATAACTGTACTTGTCAGTGTTTATCTCATAATCTATTATATTAGAGTGGCACCATGACTCAATAACAATTATTATGGATGGCGAATACATGAATGTGAATACTCTGCGCGTCGGCAGTTTATTATTATTTTATTTTTTGATTACAGCTTGATGCCACACCGTATTTTTAGGTACAGGTATAGAATTTTCTGCATGGATATCGGTAGCCAAAATTTTGCAGGCCAACCATAGATATCGGGTGTGCGCCGGCAGGGGGTCGAACCCCGGACCATGTGCATGGTCGGCAGGAGTCCTAAGCACTGTGCCACCGACGCACAGGATAGATCTAGAACTACTAAGGATTAGGTGAAATTGAGAGCTGAAATATCGTTTGAAGTATTTGAGTTGGTTACTCAGGCAAAATTATTGTTCAACATTTAATGGTTTTGGGCGGCATGACATACTTGAATTATAAGAAGTGTCTATATCCTGGCCTCCCACGTCCGAGGCTCTGTCCGATCCTTTTGGTGAACAATGAAAAGGTGCAGCGCTAAGTTTGCTATAAAGTTAGATTGTTTTATTCTTAGTTGATTTGGAGACATTGGTGGAAATTTCTATTTGGCCTATGCCTTTACCCGCATAGGACGCATCCAATAGATATGCGCAAATTAATCGATGCCTGCGTTTCTCTCAAGAGGCAGTCAACACTAGTGACTTGTTGTGAAAAGAGTTGACATCTCCGCCAGCTGTTCGGTTAGTTATGACAGGGACGTGGAGGACAGAAAATCAGTGGCACCTGATGGTGCCCACAGCTTATCGCCTCACTTATTACTTAAGGACAAGTTCGTGCCCTGAAAAGTTTCGCTGTGTATATTGCTTCATTGTGGAATTACTCCTAGAATATTTTCGCTATATAGCTTATCCATATTTTTTCGCACACAGTAATTTAAGGACCTTAAGTGGCTGGTAGATGAGTATTGTCTCTTGCACCATTCAGGGTGTTTTCATTGTGATGTAATTTTTCTGTGAGTAATGAAGTGAGGCTTGGCTTTTTACGGGAGTGTGGCGTAAATGCCCATTGGGAATCAGGACCTATTTCTGTCATCAATTAGACCGTTAGCATAACTTTGCGCCCTTTTTCCCTCCCATTTCACTTTCCTCTTAGGTGAATGTAGATGATGATAGTATACGGGTAGCGTTCTTCAGCATGACTCGTTTATCATCACGTAAAGGCGAGGCGAAGATGACGTGGACCTTTAGGGGGTAGGTGTCTGTTTATGTCTCAGTCCTTTCTACAAACATTTCTAGATCAACAATACTGGTAGTAGGTTTGCAGTAGGACTTGTGATTATTACCTAATGGATGCCTTCTACTATTTTTAGCCTCTGGATATGAGGTATGTTGGAAACTCCAGCACTCAGTTTGGTATCTAGACCTTACGTTACTTCTCTTGTAAAAATTATAAGGCTGTCTGTCCTAGTAGCCGATCCCATGTCGAGTTCGCAAAAGCTTTAGGGATTCTCGCTGGCATCAGTTCGCAGACCTCAGATTTAATGCAATTAGCCTGTACTGATAATTCAGATGTACTGGCGGTCTTTTCTGGATATCCTGCATTCCCTGACTTACAAAATTTTATTTAGCAAGTCTCAGCTCTTCCTGGGTAACCACTTTGATCACTCCTTCTGAAGTTGACGTCAATACTGGTCTTGGTAACTGAAGTCTCGTGACACCCTCAGAAAGCGTAGTGTGGGAATCTACATGAATATCGGCTGCCGCATTTATTGGAGCAATGCTACTGCTAGTTATCACCACAGATTTACCCTCAGTTTTAGTTGCCTCCTATAATAATAATATATTCTCATTTTTCTACATCAGGGACCCCAGTTTACAGGCGTCATCAATTCGATACATTACACATACGATTGGAAGGCATAGTTAGTGATGATAATATAATAAGTTACATATTTATTCCTACCTATGTAGGACACACCAGTTATATAGGCGTGGACAAGTATTATTTAAATTACATGATTTAGGGTTAAATTACATGGTTGCCGTCATTTTGTCTGTAGTTTGTGGGAAAAATTTGATAACTAGTGTTCAATGGACCACGTTTTCCCAGATTACCTATAACTATTGTTGTGTTTACGGGAATGAAACTAGAAAAACGTGTGTAATGATTGCAATAATTATTATGTGCCACAAATCACTCTAAAACCTAACGCGAACGTTCAGTTAACACAATAATGCACAGGATAAACCTGAGAAACATGAAAATGACGAGCCTGACATTCAAAGTGGACAGAAAGTCGATCACTGATTGAGGAATAAACTGAGACGAATAGGACTAACTAAGTAGGAACTGCAGTAGTCTGATTCCTCCAAAGCTCGTGTTTTCTCCCGATCTTTACTCGTTTTAATTGGCTTTAAGTGTATCTCATTACGAATTTCTTTTCAACATTCCGTCCGGGCTGCGAAAAATATGTGGTCAAATCGAACAATGTAAAACAGCCACCAGGCAAAAGTTTTACTTGATTAGGTATGCACAGATATGGAATAAACTGCCAATGGAAATGCGTCAAGCAAGTACATTGGCCTCCTTCAAAAAGGTGCTTAATGACAAACTACAAGAGTTTGCAAACGATAGTAGTTCTAGTTCCTATCTGAGAGCCTCCGAAATTATAGGTCCATTTAATGTATAAGCTTAAATACTACACCTGTTGTTTTTTGCCTATATTTATAATTCTAGATAAAACATTAACGGTTAAGATACGTATCCTCAAACAGACAAGAAATCTCGTTTGTAAAACTACTACCCAACACAATAAGTGGAATAAAACGGACATAAACCGACAGCATGAAAAAGGTATATCTCACCACAACATCACATGGACAGATGAACGCTCGTTGGGCACCATATATCCCTCACCAACTGCAACCCACCTTTTCTTAGATAATGTGATGAACTTATACCCATAATGTTGCTGAGCAGTTAATATTCTCAACTCCTGTCGGAACAGCTGAAACTCATAAACCTTCCTAACGCTAAGAAAATACCCGTAATCAGTAGAAATCCATTAATTAATGCGTCCGAAGCTTATGTACTTACTCCCAACAATGACATTGAAGATCAAATGAGATAAACACATCACTGATCTCAAAATAACACATCAATGAACTATAATTCGAGGACTCTGCACACAACAAAGTTATGTATGAATATTTACTTCAAGCTTTATTTTTTTCCCAGGCACTTATAATCCATCCACCAAAGACCTGGTTTTTTTTGTTAATGCGAAGACAATACTCCTGTATTTCCTGTTGTGTTGCACTCACTGACAATCTAGCAGATTTTTCCAACTTTGCACAGAAATGATTGTATATAAGTGAAAAGGCTGTTTTATACTACTGGAATTAACATTTATCAAGTGTATGTATAATCTCCATCGAACATGTAAAGCATATCTTGCTACTGCCTGTAAATTTGATTGAATTATATGGTTCTATTTCTGTAACAATTTGATGATGCCTGTAAACTGGCGTCCCTCATGTACTGTACTATGAGAATAAATTTATTTATTTATTTATAAATATAACTCCTGTCCTCTTTATTGAAACTTACTGCTGATCATGGAAAAAACAAAATGCATCAAGTATCTTCTATTTTTTAAAATTTTTTTCTACTCACATCTCTGACTCACATTGTATTCCAAATTATTCCGTCATCAATTCTGTACATCCCTGGAATGTGCAAAGCCCAGCACAGCAAGTCGCAGAAAATCAGGCTCGTGGATGGTGACCAGAAGGAATTTTTTTAGTTACAATATTCAGTAATGACGGTCATATTACAACGAGAAGGTTAACATTAACCGCTGGAGTTCTTCTATGAGACATATGACAACTGTCTGTGGGGAGGATTTAAAGAATAGAAGTTAGGCCAGACCTTCCTAATAATTAAAGGGTTTTGCGACTGGAGTCACTGGTTGTTTTTTGGCTAGGTGTTAATATTGAAACGTTAGATTGTTACATATAATGTGCACGTCCAACCACCCTTTATGTCATTATTTATGCAGGAGACTTACTACTTTCACAATTTCAGTTATATGGCCAGTCGGGTTTACATTACCCCTTTTACTCTTCATAGTGTTCTGGAGCTTGGTATGAATATTTAAAAGGGAGATATTGGACTTTCAACACCATCGGAATGGTACCCTTTGGATGCATATTATTATTCCCCATTACTTTAAAAACCATTGCACTAGCTTTTCCAGTGCTTACGTCGTGAAAATCCCACGAGTGCGGCCCTGAGTCATAATTGCCTTCTAGTACCAGAAGTTGCATTCTTCACGCCAAATCTTAAGGAATGAGATGCTACGTTGCCAACCTCAACACCAACGTGCAACTAGATTAAAAAATCATCAATGAAGCAGCAAAAAGTATTTTGTTCGATTCCCCTATACAGGGTATTTTTAAATAAGAATTGCTGAATATTTTCAGGTTAGACATTTGAAGTCTACTCGCGGTTAATTCAACAGTTGCGTCACTTCTCGACTAGTGATGCTGTACTTGATTCTTATCAATGTGTGTCTTTTTTTCGGTTGTTACATTGCTGGATGTATACCTATCTCATTCAAAATACCAATGGTGAGCGCAATTTTTGGTGTCAAAAGGTTTTTCAGTTGCCAACATTTGAAGAAATTATGTTGCACAAGTCATTGATATACCCGACAGACCTCAAGAAACGCATTTATGCAAAAAATTTTACTGAAGGCTTCACTTAGGCGTTTTTATAGCCTTTTTTGGAGTTGCGTAATCTCATCAGCCTTATGTATATTGTCACAATCGATTTAAAATATCTCTTGTGGACATGAGGTTCACTCACCGGACTCTTCGGTAAACGAAGAAATTAGTGTGTTCATTCAAAGTTAGTATCACCACTGTCCAAAGCGCATCTTATGTTGTTGGATGAACATATGCTCGGAGTCCTACTTACACCCATTCAGGTGTAAAATTATCTAGTCTGAGAAGTCGTTGGTCAAGAAGTGTTTTAACCATTCGAGGTTAGTCATTATGGTATTTGATTACACTGAAGTGATCAAAAGCAGTATACTGTGCTTGAAAATCAGACCATTTATGTATGGCAAACCTCAAAGTATAGTACTAAATAAACCTTTTCTTAGTTATACTCTGCCACATCACTGTCTTACGTTGTAAAGTCAGATTTTGTCAACGTTTAATTAATCTCCACTTGTATGCTTAGGCTAGGCGGTTTAATACCCACTTATGCAATGGAATTTAAAAAGATGTGTATCATCACTAGTGGTTACCCTAAAATGTGATCCATAATCTTGTGCAAATGCTACGAAATGTATGCGTAGTTGAATTCTGCCTTATTTTCAGCCCATTGGTTTGCTTTTGAGCTGAGCGAAACCATGACCAACTTGAATAATGTGTAGTTATTTGGGACTGAGTCTGTAGTAAGTAAATACCGGCAAGATTCTTTTGGAAAAAATTAAATACTGACTTATTAGGTCTGCAGCAGGGTAGGCAGCTCGTGAATTCATTTCCCAAAGCTTTGGAAGATGATAATGGATGGTAATAGACGTCTTTTTATCAGTTCTTGTTGCACAAACAAATTCTCACTTTCCTCAAAATTTTAAGTGTTGTATTATTAGTTCTTACCTACTTGTTCCAGTCGTTTTACTTTTTAGAATCAATGAATTCTTCGAATACCTCTTATGTTGAAGACGGTGTATGGGGAACAGTGGTTCATCAGTTTTTCCACTTGACACAATATGTCGACCAAATGTCTGAACCCTACACCATCCAATCACTATCATGTATGGCTCCTTAACAATTACTTGACAGTTTCTAGGATGCATTTCAGTTCTTCACTGAACAAACCCTAGATAATTGTTAAGAGTGGTGCCTAAATTTTGTGTGTTTTAACTGCTGCCTGTAGCATAGGGGATAAATCACCGGTCATTGAGTTCCTTAGACTTCAAAGTGACATAAGGAATCAGTTTATTACCTAGATGTATTTGAAAATTGCATTCTAAAAGTCTTATGACGGTTCAGATTTGTTTCATCTGCTTTAGACTTAGCTTTATAAAATCATTCTTTTCATTCATGTGTATGTTGCATTGTGGAATTTTTCTGGTCAGCGTTATAAGGTGTCGCAACATGAACTTTTATAACCAGTTTATATGTTTGTGTTTGTTTCTCGTTGATTTTGTATTTCTGTGATGTGTAATACTTTCAGTGTATTATTCAGTTGTTGTTAAGTCTTTTTGGCAGCTGTAAAAAGTGGTTCTTATCATTTAGGGAACTGTCTTCGCTAAAACAAATGAAATCTTAAGGCCTAATGTTACAGGAGCCCACTTGTAATTTGTGGTTTAAAACTGTCTAATTTGCCTAAAATTTCAATTTTACCTTATTCCACTTCCCCTGAATTATAGCGAATATGTCAGAGTTACCCCTTTTGTTGCCAATAAAACTGGAGCTGTACTTAGTTATTTGATTACCCATTCTTTTACTCCTGCTGTTACGCAGTCTGCCTTACCTTTAATTCCTCTATTCACGACAGGTCTCTAAAAACCGCACTTGAAGTTTCCCCAGTCTGTTCATTATCCAGAAATAAGAGGATCGTTTTTATCGTAAATTTATATTCCCGATTTACTAAATGCACTCATTAGAGCGGTTCAAATGCTGCAGGATTCAAACTACGCCTTCCTCAACAGTTACTGTTTAACTCATGGTAACCTTAGAGTCGTACTTCTTAACTGGGTTCTAGTTGAAATCTGTCTGGTGTTAAGATACAGTGAAGAAAACATATGCGTATTTATATTGTCATCATCTTGGCGGTAACCTCTTTTGTGTAAAGAAGTTGGCTTTTCGGGCATTTGTTAAGTGTATTTCACTAGGCTTGTATTGAATCACGTATGATATCACTGCATAAGTGCGTTAGTTAGGTTTACCAAAGAGGTTATTTTGTAAATTCTTCTTTGGAATTAATATTTTAATCTTAAACCATAATGCAGAAACAAAATAAATGCTTCCACTTCTATACACAGCAATTTAAGGTGTATGGTAGCTATCTAGGGTCATTAGGATTCTAAGAATCAGTGGATGGAGAATATTAGTGATATAACTCGAAATCCTCATGAATGGTAATCACAGCACGGATCCAGAAAGCTCGGGCCGCTTTCGCTAACTTACACCGTCTCTGGCGTCGGCGTGACATCCGGCTGTCAACCAAGGGACGTGTATACTGCTCAGCAGTTCGCTCCGTCCTTCTCTATGGCGGTGAGACGTGGCCATTGAGAGCGGAAGACATGAAGAGATTGTCTGTTTTTGATCACAGATGTTTACGATCTCTTTCTCGCGCTAGGTAGTATAATAAGGTAAGTAATGTTGACGTTAGGGGTAGAGTGTTGGGCAAAGAGGGAAAATCACTCAAAGAGGCTATGAAGTTACATAGATTGAAATGGCTAGGTTACGTGCTGCGCATGCCTAACCATCGCCTCCCCCGACGGGCACTACTAGCTGATATAGGTGCAGGTTGGAAAAGAGTAAGTGGTGGCCAAACAAAAACATGGCCTCATCAATCCATGAAATCCCTGACAGTTAAACTGAGTCAGGTAGGGAGATGCAGACTTCCGGGTTGGGGCCCTCGGGACTCTAAGAATCAATGGCTGGAGACAATAGATGACATGGCTCAAAATCGTTGTCAATGGCGTAGATGTATTCAGTCTCTTTAACCTTCATATTCCTTTCTACCATTACTCATTCTGTTTCACTCTTATACTTATCTAAATTCTATTGATTATTTTCTCTCATTTTCCCGTCTACCTTTGTGTGCTATTTGGAACGTGGCAACTCGAACTGCACTTCGGTGCCAAGTTCTATGTTGAATCCAGCAGCAGCCTCATGAATGGTGCCCTCCGTTTTGCCATTTAGTCTTCAAAATTTCCCACTAATCTTCATTTAGTTATCGTCTCTTCCGTACATTTTCATTCATTCTAGTTTCTTGACAGTTCTTGTCATTACTTTCTCCTTCTGTGTGTGTGTGTGTGTGTGTGTGTATGACAACTTGGAATGCTGCACCTTATGAAAAGTTCCTCGTTGGCATGTCAACCAATGTTTTTTTTGCATGTATAACAGACAATTCAGTCACAGACCAATTAGTGAAGCTTCTAAGATTTAAGTTAATAGACAGGAAACACTGAACCTGTGCTTCTGTATTATTCTCATTCAGCAATGAGGTTTATCAACATCCTTAGCGCGACTGATATCTCCTAGAAGATTCAAACATATGTGAATCGGTGCAGTAGTCATAGTCTTCTTCCTTGTGATTCTTTCAAAACGGACATTGATGTCATTACCTACTTAGTGATCACATTGAAAAATTGACCGATATAACTCAACCATCACTATAAACCAAGCAACAGAAAATTATTTACTTTCTAGTGAGGAGTGAATTGTTTACAAAAGTTAGTACTTGACAGGTATGTATGAGAATGATATTGACTGATTGAAGTTGTTACAACAACTTACTTTTTGTTGATGCCGGGATTAATAACAAGGAGCAATCAAGGGAATTCGTAGTAGATATCAGTTGATAACTGAATCACCAAATACGGAAATTAATTCTAAAAATATATTTGCCAGGATAATACCAAAAATTTAAGGTTGTTTATCAATCATGAAAAAAGATGTTTGTAATGATTTTCAGGACATTATGAAACAGTACTTTCATTTTTGAAGGTATTCTATCACACAACCGCCTTGGTTATAACATTAATTTTTAGTCATCTGTCATAACAAAAGTTAATAACATATGAATTGTGCGAGAGAATAAAAGACAGAATGGTTTGATCACGTGCTTTAATGCAAAGGGACTCGAGTGGTCGAAATGTGGCCCTCCCTAACTTATGGATCACTATTTTCTCATATTTCCGTATGGTGTGAAATGTATTGATGAGGTTTCCAGATAATACAATAAATTGATCAAAGCAAAACACCAATAAATTGAATAGCTTATGTTTCGTTAAACTGCAGTTAAGTTTAATCAAACGTTGCTCTTGGTAAATACTCAGGATTTATGTTCTGTAGTATTTAGAAAAACGAAATTAAAATTATATTAAATAATCAATTTAGTGACAAAGTAATTTTTCAACTTAAAGAATTTCTCTGGTAAACTTCGCAGTAGATTTTCTGGAAAATGGTTTTATTTTCCAACAACTCTTTTATCATCTTAGTGAAGAAATTAACTACCATTGTTCTCGATATACTATTTTGTGTCATTCACAAAATATAATGGTCTTCAGTGAATTAAGAATGTGTTAACTGTACGGGGATCCTGTAAGTACACAGGAGAATTGACCTGAATTTCTTTTGCGGAGAATTTCTGTCTCTCTTTGTTAGACTGATTGTTTGCCTGCTATTAGATAAGAATATGTGGTCTAAATAATGAGATTCTTTTTAAGTTATATTTATATTTTTAAAGGTGCTAACATTGTAAACACCTTGAGACGTTTCATTATATCTTTTCTAGTCCAAAATTCGTTTACTGACCGTGTTTGGCGCTGGTCTTCTCCTCGGTGCTGCATTAGTTGTAGTCATTCCAGAAGGTGTTGCAGCTATCTATCAATCACATAGTCATCCACATGATCAGAAGAATCATCAGCATAATCCTATTTCACGAGTAAGAATTTTCTGTTCACTTCATTAAATAAACAATATGAAAAATAAGTATGACTTAAACGCTATTTTCAGCCAGTAGGTTTTAAGCTTTTTTTCCTACTCTGTTTGCTTTAACTCATACGATAAGCGTGAATTGTAGACTGGTAAATGTAGAATTTGTTCTAGGTAATAGCTGTAAGCACTTCGTAGTGGAGATGAATTGGACACACTTTGAGGAGACCGTTGAATGACATCACATGTCAGTCCCCTCCGGTGAACCCGACTGGGGAACGACAAGTTGGGCGTATGAGTATGACATGGGGGAGATCGTGTGTGGAGGAGATGAGAGCTTATGGTCAGTCGTAAAGCCGGTTGAAGAGGATTTCAGAAAGCATAGTCAGTTGATTAGGCGCTACTGAAACCCTTTTTTTCACTCGGAACCTAAGGGAATACTACTACTACTACTAATAATAATAATAATAATAATAATAATAATAACAGGCACTTTGATAACGTTTTAAGCTCCCTACAGATAATCGTAGCTCGTAGTGTCATACGAAAACTTGTGTTTTTATGTCCAAGATGGGGATAGGATGTTCGGTAGTTGAACAGAATCAAAAGGAATCCCTGCTTCTGATTGCTAAGCATTTGTCAACAAGACTGTACGTAGAATCTGGAGGAAACTCTTGTCCCGTCAGATAGTCACTTATATCATCAAATGTTGCGTTGGGAGATACTACGACTTAGTATGTATTTTAGATCATGTTATATAGTTTGGATTATTTTGGTTTTCCATGAGGAATTAGTAAAAGATTGGAATTTGAGTTGAAACTTAACCATGAATTGTGGGACTTGCAAATAGCTGGTATTTAAATTCGTAAATATTCTCGAGTCCATAGTCGCAGAATTAAATGAGGGTCTTGGGTGCTAACCTTGTGGTAAGTACCCACAGCTGTTAAAAGAAACTTTAGCTGGTGGAATTGATGTAGTTAGGGGTATAATTTAGAGAGGTGAAATACCAAAGATTTACAGATAACGAATAACAGCAGCCTCACTATTACGAAGAAACTTAGTGTCATGTCATATTAAATCTTAACAGCCAGTTGCTGCCGTTTCGTTGTTCTACCCATTACTATTCTTCAATTAGGTGACTTCATCAATGCTAAACAGCTTTATTTTAGCTTATAATAAGAATATAATTGCTTGCACAGTTACGGACGTGACTCACCTACCGAGAAGCTCTCGACTTCTAACCACTGGGTCACTAGTTCAAACTCACGTATGGTTTGGGCAGTCAGGTAGTGTCACTAGTTCTCATACAAAAGGGTGGCTTATTGTCAAATGCATGAAAATGCATAATGGTTGTTGAGTAAGAGACGTTTACACTTTATAATTTCGTTATTAATAGCCTTTCTAATGATCCAATGTTTTACAAAATTTACTCTTCACTATTCTGTACTTTATAATTTCTAGAAATTGCATGCACTGGATTCAGGAGCATTGAATGCAAATGAAAACCCCCCACTGTCAGTGAACAATAATCCTGATCAAAATAAAAATGAAGATGTCGAGAAACACAATTCTTTAAGCCGCAGTGATAATGATAAGAATCATGAGCATACACATAATGATACTAATATTCATCAAAAAATAGGTCTAGCCTTGTTATTAGGCTATTTATTCATGTTGCTTATTGATCAGTTGAGTTATACAGTCTTAGAGTTGACCTGTTGTCAAGGTATTTTATTTGGTCTGAAGAGATTGTGTTGTCGTTCAACAAGGTATATTCCACTGATTGATAAATCGAGTAGCAGCGCTAGTAATAGTACTAGTAGTGGAAGTGGCAATCCTAGTGTCACTATTACTGTTGGCAAAAATGCAGCTACTTTGAATACCATTAATGCAACTGTTAATCCTGCTAGCAATTTGCTGAATGAAAATAGCAATCAATCAACAACCACATCAAGTTCAATTCAATCAGCTAATCATAAAGGATTTATTGTTACGTGTGGTTTAGTGATACATTCATTAGCGGATGGATTAGCCATAGGTTCAGCATTTGCATTGAATCAATTACAGTTGGAGATAATATTATTTTTGGCTATTATTTTACATAAGGTAAGTTGTTCCAATACTTTGATTTGATTTGTAATTTTAATGTGTTCGCGTGTATGTGGTCAGTCGAAATCATGAGGCATATATATAACACTGTAAAATAGTCAGTTTTCAGTCGTTAAATAATTGGAATGACACATTCTGCTTGAGTTTAGTATCTGATGTAATATGAACAGGAAAATAAAGAATAAATCTTAACTGCAAAGATCTTTACATGATAACTGACTTGGTATTCCAGTGGGAGTTAAGCGTAGGGGCTTCAGAGTTCGGGCTCCACTCCATCTATTTCTGCTTAGGATACTAGGTAATATCTGTAACGTTCCCGCATTAAACAGCCCAACACCTACTGTGTGTTTCAACGTAGAACTTTGCACAGATATGCAGCAGTTCGAGTTTCCACACTCCCTCCATGTGGCACACAAACCAAGAGACAAAACTAGAGAGAGTTCCAGAAGAAAGACAATAAAGAGAAATATGAGGCGAAAACAATAGTAATATGTAAGAACAATGGAATTTTATTGGATATGATAAATCACAAAGAGTTGATGCATCTGCGCTATGCACTGAAAACGATTTTGAGCCATATCACTACTTGTCTCCAGCCATCGGCTGTTACCGTCCCGAGGACCCCAACTAAGGAGTCTACACCTTCCTACGTGACTGACTTAAACTGACTGATGAAGCCATGTTTTCGTTTGACAACCACTGGCATTTTTCCAACCTGATCCATCTTATATCAGCTAACATTGACCATCGATCGACGAAGACGATGATTAGGCATACGTAACACGTGTCCTAACCATTTCAATCTGTGTAACTTCACAATCTTGTCGATTGATTTCCTCTCTTTACCTAGCACTCAACGCCTCAACTCAAAATTGCTCACCTTATTATGCCACTTCACATGGGAGATAGAACGCAGACACCTATGATCAAAGGCATCTAGCCTTTTCGTATCTTCCACTTTCAATGGCCATGTCTCACTCACAGCCAGCCATAAATGAGGACAGAGCGAACTTCTAAGCAGTACACACGACCTTTTACCGATAGTCGGATATCACGTCTAATAAGCCAGAGATGGCGCAAGTCGGCATCTGCCAAACGAGCCTTCTGTATCCGTATCGTCAGCAATCAACCCGTTGGGGCTGATGCAAATTCCCAAATAAGCGAAGTGGTCAATACGCTCCACCACTTCACTCCCTATCTTTAAGCTAGGAGTCAGTGTAGTCCAGTCCAGTCCTGTAGCATCATCTTACATCTGGTAGGAGCGAATCGCATGCCAAACATTCGAAGATCGCTGCCCCTCAAGGTGTTCAGAAGACTGCATTTTGTCAACGTCACCTAGGAGCAGGACTATATCATCTGCATATTGTTAGTCAACGAGATTATACCCTGGTAACAAGTCGATCCCTGAGTCACTAAAGTCAGCAGTTAGGGTTAATTCCATTAGTACATCTGTGATGAAATTAAACAGAAAGAGAGACAGTGGGCATCCCTGACGGACACCACCAAATGTCACCACTCCAGATGACAACTTTCCGTAGGCTCTCACCCGGTTGACTGCATGAGTTCGAATAGAGTGAGTATCTTGATCAGTGCAATGTATTTTCTCGGCATTCCCTTCGCAGCCAAACATCGCCATAGTACCTCTCAGTCGACAGAATCGAATGCCGCTTTCAGGTCAAGAAATATGACAATTGTTGGACGGTGGTAGTTATGCCTATGTTCCAGAATCTGTCGAAGGGTAAAGATATGATCAATACACCCCCTTCCTGGTCTAAAGCCTGCCTGTTTCTCTCGTGTTTGTTCCTCCCGATCACCACTTAGTCTATGCATGATTATTGAGCTTAGAACTTTAGATACCATATTGGCTAAGCTAATCCCCCTGTGATTATCAGAGGAAGACTTGTCTCCCTTCTTGTATATCAGGATAATCAATCACTCACACCAACCCGACGGGACTTCCTCTGATTCCCAAACGTTGCCTAATACCTTAGTTAACGCAGACAGTAAACTGTATCCACCGTCCTTAAACACCGGTGGAGTCATTCCATCAGGTCCTGCTGCTTCGCCTCGTTTCAGACTAGTGACGGCCTTAGTAACTTCAGTTAGAGTGACGGAGAACCTGTGTTTATATCCCATTCAGGAAGGTGTTGGATGCTTGGGTAAGTTGAGCATAGCTGTAGGCCAATTGAATTGCTCCTCAAAGTGTTCTTTACAACGTTCTAATCGTCTGTCCTGGGAACTAACTATTGTGCCATTTCTCTCAGAGATTGTTTCACTTATCGTTTGCCTTTTACCACCTGTTTCTCTGATAAGCTTAAATATTTTTCTGGTATTACCTATTGCCCAGGCCTTCTCCATCTCTTTCTCTTTTGTCGCCCACCGCTGTTCATGGTCGTTACGAGGACTTCTTATTAGTTTGCATTTGAGTAGCTTTCTCTCCTCATCATATTTAGAGCTCGCCGGAATCAATCTTCTTGCGTTCAAATGAGGTAATATAAATATGTACCATGTTGAACCGTGGTTAATTAGAATAATATTTTGACAAGATTTCGGACACCAGGTAACATCATTAGCTCTCTTCCATGATCACATGTATCGATCTACATATGGTTTCTAAATAATATGCGACCATACGGTACAATGGAATTGAATGGGATCGAACTACCGGTGACTGAGGCTATATGCTTTTAATTGTCTAGAGTTGATTGCAGTTGCCTCGTAAGATAACATCAAATGTGTTGGATATTGGTAAAAATAATAGATCATTTGCGTACAAATGATCAACTTCAACACAAAAGAAACAACCTAGTATGCTACTTCATTAACAGTTGCTAAGATGTAACAGGATTAATAGAATGAGCTACCTATTTGTTAAATAAGTTTTTTTGGTAATTTGTTATTTGATGGCAAGGTCATATTACTCTACAATTTCTTTGCAACGGTGTTACTACTAGCGTGATGGACAATAATAATATGCTTGAAAATTAACTAGTTATATGAAATAAAAGGACATATTGGTAACCAATCGTATTTTAATAGGTGAATTAGTCCAAATTAGAAGACGGACGAAGTCTATTGTTTTCTGTACACATTGTTTGAGATGCATGTGATCAGTACAAATTGCTTCCATAACCCTTTTTTAAGTCATTGGGTCTCAGATGGAAAACAGGCCTTCAAGTTTTTAAAGTTTCACTAGAGGTGGCTTCGTCGTTTATGCAGGGTGAAGTCGCTAGCCTCATGCCTAATCTCCTCTCCTTCCCGGGATATATATATATATATAACCAATGCATTACTTTGCAAATAGTCAACACGGTCTTTTTCTGTTGGATGTGTGTGTGTGTGTGTGTGTGTAAGGATGTGAAATTCCATTCATATACGTTTATATACTTTGTTTACTTATTAGTTCAATTAGTTCATTTATTCATTTATTTGTTTTCCTTTTTCCATTCAAGATACCAGCAGCTTTTGGTTTATCATGCTTTCTATTGCATGAAGGATTTCCACGTGATCGAATTCGATTACACATGATTGCTTTTTCACTTTCATCTCCGTTGGCTGCATTTTTCACTTACTTTTATTTGTCAGTATCGTCAACAGCCTTAGTGGATGATGTAAGTCATTGAACTGTTGTTGTTGTTGTTGTTGAATTGCTTTCTCTGTTTGCGAGTGTTTGTCTGTCTGTGTGAAAATCAATTTTTACCCTATTTCTTGTATACTTCTTTATTGTATGATTGAATATTTCTATTACTAGAGATATATTTATGAATTTTGATCGTCTAGTCCACAATCAGCCCAAATAAAAATGGGAATATGTTACTCAACAACCAATAACATTTGCATGCATTTGACAGTGAGCAACACTGATCATATGAAAGCTCTAATAGCTGTTCAAACCTCGGTAGGTGGAACAAAATCCCAGCTGGTGTGTCTCTGTGGTTGAAAGTCGAGCGTATACACCAGTGAGCACCACACCTTCGTAGAATTCATGAGGACTGGCATTCAGCCTACACATGAATAGTGTCTATCAAGTGTTTAGATAACTTCCTAGCTGGTTAGCAAGCACTACTGGTTAAAGTGAGCGCTTTCGAACCGCTCACATCAGTTAGTAGTTCATACCATTGTGTAATTTACAGATTATTTAAAAATCGCATTGGTTGTAGTAGAAATTATAGCAGATTTAGTCATAGTATATAATGTACTACGACTACCCAGTGTTATGAATCCCTGAATCTCCTGTTATCATTGATTTACTGTTTTATTTAATGTTTGAATTAACTTTACATAAATCATCATTTCATTTCCACTTACCCATTTGAAGGCTGCTTTCTACATGACTGTCGCCTTTTTAAATTTGGGAATGTTCTATTTTATGGACAAGATTACATTTCACCTATTCATTCACTCATTCATGTATTCTCTACTGATTCTTCTGTTACTTGAGCGAGTGAAAAGGTTTCCAACAAGATGGTGTTTTGAAACTTTGTTTTCTTCCGGCTGTGTTTGTTTATTGGTGCTGTACATTTGGTTGGTAGATTACTAGCCAGTTGGTGTAGGAACACAATGCTAAGTCGTCATCAGTTCACATTATTTTCTTACATAACTTTGATTTGTGTTCCACTAGCATTCATCTTTCTCTACTGTTTTGGCAAGTAACAATGTATGTTTAAGTTTCGCTAATTCCTGAATTTCTCACGTGTATGTAGATAGATCACTTGGTGGTAACTATCATATTCTTAAGCTTTCCACGTGCACATCGTAGTCACAGAGCTATGTAATACCACATTGTTTCAAGCTTTACTGCCCTCCATTCAACAAGGAAAATAAATAATTGTAAATTTAGGTAATATCGGCACTGACATTGCTGAACAAACGGTCACATTAAGACAACTAGATTTCTTGGTTAAAGATAAGATAAGGTATTCAAGTCACCACTGGATCTTTGTAGGATTTCATGGTGATGTCAAAAACTATAATTACTATGAGGATAGCAATAATAAAAACGAAGACAAAGTAAAGCAGAGTGATATCAACCAGAGAGAGTATCAACATGATCAAGACAAAGTAAGGGGTGTGACAAAGCTTTCTTCAATGCACTTTTTTTTATTCCTACACGTTCCCAGTGGAACATAGGGCTTCAAGCTAGAGGCTTGAAGTTTCTGTAGCAGTGTTTATTTTTACAGGATAGGGTTGCTAGCCTCATGCCCAACCTTTCCTCTTCACCAGCTTTTTAGTCCTGGCTCAACGAGGTAAAGGAGTGCGTCTGCCGGGGATCGAACCCCGGACCATGTGCATGGTCGGCGAGCATCCTAACCGCTATGCCACCGACGCACCTTCAATGCACTGCTTAGGTTTATATGTTTTTGTATAGCTAGTGCTTCTGCCATACGTTGCTTATGGAAACGTCCAGTTCTAGGCTGGTTGAATTCAACTTTGTAGAGAGCTTTAGAGAATAAATCACGTGGGACTGACTGACTGACTTGACTCAAGAAGTAGAAAATTAGAAGAATTCATCATTCTGTGTTTTCCTTTCCTCAGCCGAACTAGGCAGTGTTCATCTATGCGTCAGAAGGTTGAGAAAAAATAAACACAAAATGACGAAGTCTTCTAATTTTCTACTTCTTGAGTTAAGTCAGTCAGTCAGTCCCACGTGATTTATTCTCTAAAGTTCTCTACAAAGTTGAATTCAGCCAGTCGAGAACTGGACGTTTCCATAAGCAATGTATAGCAGAAGCACTAGCTATACAAAAACATATAAGAAGAATGCCTTGTTATACTCCTTTCATTACCATTGTCCTAACAATGTCCTTTTTGGTTGATATCACTGTGCTTCACTTTTTATTATTGTCGGCATCATCGTAATTTTAGTTTATAGCATCATTTGACCCACTTTAAACCTTTTTCATCATATCGATTCATCTTTTGGTAGTCTATTGTAATCCTTCAGCTCAACTAATGGAATTTTTTCACCTTAAACATTGTCTTACTTATTTTTATTTTCATCATGCGTATATCGACTAAGCACCTGATATAGAGTAGTGTCACTTAACACTTTTCTCTGTAATGTAAATACAAGTGTACAGCTTGAAAACGAAGTCGTTGAAATGAAATACTTTTTTTCTTGAACACATATCTGGTTTATGCTTATTCATGAAAAAAAAAACAGGCAAATTTCCTCACTTAAATAAATGATTCAATTTTCAATTTAAAAGAGAAATTCACCTATTCTGATGTAGAAAATATATCCTCCTTATTGGGTATCAGTGTATTCAAGATTTAAATCCAGAAAGTTCGACTGGTTTACTATCTTCTATTGAACATCAAAGTTTTCATCAATATTTATGGTGTATATTTCGTAGATATTTTCTTATCCCAACCAACCATGAGTTTACTCGCCTTACCTGGGGTAATCTTGTCAAGAGTAAGAATATGCAGATAATTAGTCATCTAGAAAATAAATTGTCCCCTAATTTATATAACAAAATTGCTTTATTAGTCTCGTTCTCCTGTAGGTAATGTGGTTGGTGGATTTTCTGATCATTTCCACGAAGTTTATTCTTGTCGATTCCTGTCTCTTCTGAAAAGAAAGCACTTTTATTAGACGGGATATAGTTTCTTAGTAATCATATTGTGACGAGAGAAGATTTGGTTGCGGACGTTTATTAGAGAAAAAGACATCATATTTATATATTCTTAGTTACATTACAGTCCGACTAGGTCAGAGGACAATAAATTGTTCTGATTGGTTGGAGATCGGCCCGAGACTAAACAAGTTGTCCAATTAGGTTGTTTCATATCCACAACCTAAACTAAATCCAGATTTGAGGAGTAAACACGTTTACCTCTTCAACAATTGACTTAAAATTTTAGTTTCGGCAACTTCCTATCAATTTGCACCACTTTACAATATATATATATATATATATATATATATATATATATATATATGATTGTACGGCTTGATAATAAATACCTTGAGAAGAGTGTTTTCGCTGAATATTGTGTTCTTAGGATGAAATTGGCGAAGCTTAACTGTTGTGGTAAAATCTTGGTGACCTTGAGCAACCAATCAAAATTCAGACGCAGTCGCATAATCGCTGAAAAATGATCTAAACAACACCGTAAACGTGATATTACATTAGATAATTGTCTTTTATGTGTTGTAGGAAAGAATGTCTCCTATTTCGTGGAGATATTGTACCATGCGTCACAAATGCACTCATCCAGGTGTCTGTACATTATGGTGCTTTCGGATACATTGATATTCCTGACGTTGCTGTTCACCCTAAGCGGGACTCTAGTCCTAATCTTAAGCCCTAACCCTAAAAACAATAACCCTTCCTAACAGTGTTAATTCACAGAAGAAAGTACCTAGGGAATAAGTAGAATACTGTGCCTGCCCCACCAAATCCATACAGGCGGGTAGAGTTTGAAATGAGATGACCTTTTATTATGTTCCTGAAATCTGATTGGTGTTTCAAGGTCAACGTCTGGCCAACCTTGGCTCTGCCAATGATAGTTTAACTTCGCTCTAAAATTGATTGGAATTCGCGATTTATTATTATTCTGCTCTACTTCTTATCATTGCGGCCCCTCAGGTTAGATATATAACCGATTGGGAAAATCAATCGAAGAGGCTATAAGGTTACATAGATTGAAATGGCTAGGTCACGTGCTGCGCATGCCTAACCATCGCCTCCCCCGACGGGCATTACTAGCCGATATAGGTGCAGGTTGGAAAAGAGTAAGTGGTGGCCAGTCAAAAACATGGCATCAATCCATGAAATCCTTGACAGTTAAACTGAGTCAGGTAGGGAGATGCAGACTTCCCGGTTGGGGCCCTCGGGACTCTAAGAATCAATGGCTGGAGACAATAGGTGACATGGCTCAAAATCGTTGTCAATGGCGCAGATGTATTCAGTCTCTGTAATCTTTCATATTCCTTTCTACCATCACTCATTGTTTCACACTTATACTTGTCAAAACTCTATTGATTCTCTTCACTCATTTTTTTTGTCTACCTTTGTGTGCTATTTGGAACGTGGCAACTCGAACTGCTGCACTTCGGTGCCAAGTTCTATGTTGAATCCAGACAGACAGATAACCGAGTCAACTAGTTGGAAATCCGCTCCACCTCACTTGCTATGAAGAGACTTCAACTCTGAAACAACTGGTATAGCTCACTGCATAGTGCATTAATACACATATGGTCGATGGTACGCATTCATGCATGCATGTATACACGTATACTTTCGATTTGATTCATCAATGAAGCAATATGTGCCTAAATGCAGCTGTGATTTGCTTTCTTTATCTAAATAGTGTATTGGTCATCAAAACAAGCACTAATATTCTTGAGACGGTAGTGTTTGTGTATATGAATGCTTATACTGAACACTATGTGTGATATGCTGTTGGACAGCTGAATTACGCAAATAACACGGATGGTGTACACCAACTAATGTCTAGCCTAACTATAATTATTTCTTAAAATTGAAATTTATACTGGCGGCAACGTTTTTTAGATTTCTATTTCTATCAGTTTGCATTTAAAAAGAAATAGTAGTCCGTGTTAAAAATGAAAGTTTTTCAGATTTCTTATGAGGAATGCTTAACTGTGTGTGTTCTAGCACAGTTTAGTGCAACTGGATGACCAATCAGTTTAAACAACTATTATTAATTAAAAACTGGCAAGTTTAAAGTAGAATTCTGGTTAGTAGGTCATTAGGTTGTGATTTATGCAAGTTAGTTGAAGTTTATCGAACGTGTTTTACAATGTGACGCCTAAACTATGTAACACATCACAGTGGTATGTTGTGACTTGATATTTGACAGTCATAGTCAGTCTGCTGTAGGCTTACCACTGCTCTTCATTTTTTCGTTGTTCTTGAGCTTTGAACTTGCGTCACTCACTTCCGAAGTTAGTAAATTTACCCAGTGACCGAGTCATTCAGGTCATTGTTAATCTCTTCTAGAATAATTGATATTCATGAATTGATTGCATAATGGCAATCCGTGTTGTTCACAAGGCTTTGGCTTTAATTGAAGTCTTCCTACCGATCGGTCATTTTTACTAGAGTGCATGTCTAATGCTGAAGAAATCATCGAGTCTGGCGGAGAAACTCCCACGACCAGATAGCAAAGGTTAGAGAGTATCAGACAATTTCCATTCTCATCGTGCCTCATTGATTTCGTCTTTTATTTCAAAGAAAATATGATTCAATAATTGTAAACATATTTGGTTTCCCCATTAAGTTTCCGGAGAACCATCACATTCTCAAGATGATAAAGGTGTTTCATCTTATTTCACTTGTACTCATCTACACTGCAGTCAATTTGGATGTAGAATAGGTCCGGTTATTCCATGTAGCTGAGGTTAGAAATAAACTATTTAAACGTTGCCAAGATACCTAAAAATTGTTATATAGTGGTTCACTTGTACATCTCCATTACTTTTCTCGGTACAAATATACCCGCTTCAGATCGTGTGTTTGTACTGAAAAAAGTATTCTCAGAAAGGCTCAAAACATTCCTTATATCTCACTCATAAATTGAGTTCGCAAATGTAACACAGAAAGACAATATTGTAACATTTCTCTATATCCTGCTAGCAAGAAGGCCAGTTTCAGACCTGTTGTACCTGTTGCATACAGACGAAATGTCATCAATTGTCTGATGATTCGTGCTAGAAAAACCTACACAATGGATACCCTGCACTGTAAATTGAAGAAATTAAAAAACTCATTATATGGGAATGGTTATCTAGATTAGTTTGTGAAAGTCCCTATGATGAAATCAGATAGAAAGAAATACCTGCAGGCGGTGCAGATGAAGTGTATTCGTAAGCTCTCATCATTTAAATGAGTTACGGTCACTCTGTAACTGACATTGAGACGGAGGAAAGCAATAGCTAGAAAATTCTCCGCTGGAACACTGTGTTTTAAATCCACCCGTTTTATTGTTCTGATACAGGTGAACGATAAGCTATTGAGTCTGGTCACTTCACTGTGCATTCCTATATTTAACTGCTCTTATGGTGGCAGTGACATAGGTAGAACGACTCGACAAGCCCACCGTCGCTTTTCTGAGCATTGTGCAACGCCGTTAGGTAAAATAATCATAAGGTGAATCAACAGTTCCTTATTGGTGCATCTAGTGGTTACGGAGCACATGATTCATATAGACTCAATCTTGACAATTCTATGCTAGGTGCTACCTCAGTTATCTAGGCCTGTAGGCCTTCGGCCGCTAAACACAGTTAGGGCAGTTGCAATAAAAAGTTTTCAATCCAATCTACGTGTTTAGAAAAAGTTTGTTCAGTCCCTCTCCATCCTACTGTCTTAACGCCCAACCTCTCCCATTGACAGTGGATAACTGTAAATTATATTATGGGTAAAATTTATTCTGATAAAATCACAGTGTTATACAGTAATATTTACTGATGACGTTTCGAACAAGATATCCTTCCTTCAGCTATAAATGTCTCCCTTCAACCGGTTACACTACTTTGTCCCATCCCACTGTATGGTTCTTTGTATCTGTACGAAGTGCTTTAGCCTACCTTTTTTTCTAGATTTCTTATCTTACTAGACTCTACTAGTGTATATTCTGTCAAGTCTTTGTGCTCCTATAACCTAGTGGAACCTGGTCTACGATATAATCTGTCTATTTCATTTCACAATCATTGTATGATATTAGATAGAATAAATTGTTGTGTTAATTGCGTTCCACAGGATCCTTCATGTAAACTATGAAAACCAAGTTTCAAAGTTATGTAGTTACAACTGACATCATTATGAACAATAAATTGTGCTTGAAACGTGATCTTGTGAATTATACTGGCATAATTTCTATGTTCCTCCTAATATATATGCTTTTATCCGTCGTTTAGACTCCAACTGTGACAAAAGTTGTGGAGATTTAGTGTCCAACTGTTTAAAACATATGAAATTGTATGCTGTTTAGAACTAGAAAATTGGATTCAGAGTATAGGAATAACTGGTTGAAGTTATTCTAATTCTTACTTTCTTTGTCTACATATAAGTATGATATTTGTTTAAATTCTATTTTTTAGGATGTGGTTGTCGCTTCAACAAGAACAGGATTTGCTCTTCTACTTTCCGGTGGTACATTTCTCTATGTAGCTGCTACTCATATTTTACCAGAATTGATCAGTTCATCTGGTTGTGGATCACCTGCTAGTCTCAATCACCACAATAATAATAACAATAGCATAAACATTGGCAAACAGACAAGACATACTGAATCCGAAGATTTATCAGGACGTTTATCTGATTATGCTTTATTCACTGTAGACAGTAGTCATGAGTCAGTTATCATGTATAATCATCCAAAAGCGAATGAATATTTAAATGCCATTTCACCTGTGCATCGACTGAGTGTTATCGAGATAATTGTTTTAAGTGCTGGCACAATTGTACCCATCCTTTTGTCGGCAGGTCATTCTCATTAAAAATTGAATGAAACAATCCTTCTTATTATGCCTTGGTCAATCGTGCAAGAAATAACAGTCTTTCGTAGTTACTGTATTCATCTGAGAAACAACTACTTCGGGATACTCGTAGTTCTGCTCTAATGATCGATCTACGGTATTTTTTACATTTTCTTTGTACTGTTTATATCGACTAATATTGTCTAGTTGGGAATATTGTTCATTATTGTTAAGCTATCATATCAGTTAAACAGTATCTTGTCATCAATTCTGTGATATGTATTTATGTATTTTTCTTCTTGGTTGACTGTACTTGGCATATATCTTCAAGCTATTCCACATCCTCAAGATCCTAAATCAATCAACTGGTAGTACTCAGTGTACTTGAATAATATTTATAGTTTTGCAAAATGGAAAATACCTCTTTAGTTAGTGTGTTTTTGTGTGTGTAATTTTTAAAAGAACCTCTCATTTTATTCCATGTGTATACATAAGTTATTTTTCTTTTCGTTTGTTGCTTTACTTTGTCAATCTTGCTTTCACTTTATCTTGTAATAATTTATTATGTGAAGTAATTTCGTCCCCATTTTGCGGGGAGTGTAAAAGGCGTGATTTTTTGTATACTGGAGGTTTTTTTTCACTGATTTAATTGGTATATGAAAAAACAGAGTGCCTAAATGGTGTTTGAATACATATTTATATTTTTGTGTGAATGACATTCAGTTCTATTTTCTTTATATGTGTGTATAAACATGATGGATAGGTGGTTTCTTTTAGAAGTAAACTGTGTAAAATCACTCCTCATGATATACATGGTCAGTATTGTAGTAAGTTTGTATTTCCCCAGTGAACGAAAAGCAAAACGAGGTGTTTTCACTGAGGTTTCACCATTTAACGCTGACAGCTTTGTCAAAATAATATAAATCTAGGTTGTATGTGGTTACTCTATACATGTCCTTCTGGATTAGTTCAATTCTGCGTTGTCACTTGAATGAATTGATGGAGAATATTTGCAGACTGTTAGATAAAGTATAAAAACAGCACGTGTTCATGTAATGATATATTTTGACCACATGTGGGTTAATTATTTCTGTTCGTGAGAGGTGACGGGGGCGGGATGGATTTAGATCAAATCTTCAAGAGCTCGTAGAGACGTGATTTGTTTCAAGTTTGACCGCAAATCGACAGCCGTCAGAGAACCATTGAAAACCAGGCAGTACTGGACAGCTATTTTGTCCTGACTTGGGACTCATTAAAAAAATAGGAATTGAAAGAAGTTAGAATTCATGAGTCGGGTCCCAATGGCTGAATGGTTTACGAGCTTGACTTATGAACGCGAGGTCCTGGGTTCGACCCCCGCAGTTGGTGTGCACTTCCGATAAGTCCCCGACTAGGACGAAACGGCTACTCAGTACTCCCTTGTATACCAGTGGTCCTCTAACTGATATCAATCCATGGTCAAACTTAAAACAAATAACTTCTCGAATATCTCAGTTGCAGTGTGTCTGATTGTAGAAATGGCTGACGCGCGGTCCAATCTCGAGCTTCAATTCACTCTAGGTGTCTTTTACTAACACTGTGTAAGCTGTAACCGCCCACACTGCTATTAGCTTACAAGGCTTTCCCTCTCATCATTACAAGTCACCCTCTTGGTTTCTTACCACGGTTAGATCTATTCCACAGGTAGCTTCTGCCTATTTTCTTAACAACCAGTAACAGCGAACGAAGCTGGAAAAACACCTCTGTTAGCCTCTTGAGACTACACCACTAAATTCAGCAGGGGAATTTTAAAATCACACCAAATCTGACAATAGTCCTCCCTAGCCAGTTACCTAGCATCTGCAGCCATAGACAGTGTTGTGTTTTGAAGATTTGCCCACAAGAATCAGGTGTGGTTACTGCTGTAAACCCATTTGAAGCACATAGTGTCAAGTGATGCGTCGGCTAGATCGCGTGCAGTTGATGGTGTCTGTATAGCCTTTAGTGTCAGGACAGAAAAACAATACTTCACTGCATCCCAGTGGATAGTCGTGACCTCGCTATTCGGCTTAACGGATCCGTAAGAAAATGGAAATATTGTGTCTATTCATATTATCCACTTATACCAATAGACTGTAGCTCGAAAGAAGTAAAAGATGACTTCCAACAAGAAGTGCCTAATTCACTGCTAAAAGCAAAACGGTCAGATACAGTCATTCTGTGCTACAGGAGAGAAGCTATGCCCGTCAGTAAAGTATGTTGGCGACACCTTTGGGGCTCCATTCTGACGAACTGACAACAGAGGCTGTTCTCTACAATTCTGTCCAGATAATCAATTGTTCTTCGTCAACACTAACTGCAGACATAGAGAGAGACATTGCCTGAACTGGTTATCTTCGTCATAAAAAGCAAAATCACGTAACAATGCGCCACCTATGTAGAGGGTCGATGGAAGATTTTTACTCCTTCTGACGAACGTGCATAAGCTTCGAGCACGTTTTTGTCCATACACATATATGATTACGATTGAAAATACATGGGAGATAGACGTCCATGAAGATGGTACGCGCACAGAATAACGAAATCCCATTGGCCTCACTTAGGAAATAAATACATAAACGCGTATCTGAGGAAGAGACAACACTTATCCTGGAGAAGAAAAGAATAATATTCAGTTAACTGTAGAAACAGCAGTCAAAACACTTGGTAACCCGAGACCCATAAATTTGACTGGACTCATATCGATGGCTTCCGAACCGCAGGTAGAGTGGAAGCTACTCAAAGACTGTGAACTCTGGTGTGTGACAAAGGCTGAAGACTTGGAAAAAGCATTGGCAGAAGGTAACAATGGACAACAATTTAATTACTGGCTGAAAAACACAGGGCTAGGCAATGAGTTAACGAGAAGAAGGAAGTTTTAATAACCTCCGAAGAGACCACCGAACTGTTGAAGGGAACACTTGTAGGAGCCGTTAAAATCACAAATAGCCAGGCTAAATCTGCTCAATCACTAACACGTTCCTGAAAGGGACTGTAAACACATGTAACTCAAGTTCGCCTTTGCCTCTTCGAAATACATTATTTTCACTACTACTACTACTACTATGCTTCAGGCTGTCTTATGACTCTTCTACGCCTATTCCTGCACCCCCATCCCTTGAGTGTTTGAGCACTGCTTAGAATCGCATCCCTCTTCGTATTTCGCTTTATTACAGCTATGAGAAGAAGTGCATGGTATGTTACTGTGAATTCAAACATTTTTGCTGATTCTATACAGAAACATTTACGGACGTGCCTGCTACCGCTGTGAGGAATAGCCTATCTGAAATCGGTTGGATTAAACAGGGGTCAGGTCTGAACCTGAACTCAGGGTCTGTATCTCTTTATTCTTAGCTTTGTGGAGAATTAGATACCTGTTGGAGATATGAGCTTCGCCTCAGCTGTAGTGTTTGCTTCGGAGAAACCTTTTTCTTCCATCTTTCAGGGACGTTTTACGTTGTGAGGTGGTTACGGAGATCTACATTCTAGAAAGTGTCCAGAGACGAGCGAAAAAATGGGTGATCGGCCTCCGCAGCAAATCATATGAGGAAAGACTGAAGAAATTAAGTCTTTTCACACTTAGTTGCTGTAGTCACAGGGGAGACCTCATCACCGTTTATAAGATCTTAAATGACCAGACCCACCCTAATAAAAGCATCCTGCCATTAGGTGATTATAGGCTTCCACGAGGTAACCCGCTAAGGATAGCACACCAGAGACCAAAGACTCGAGTGCTTTCACATTCCTTCTCACTTCGAGTTTGCCGTCTCTGGAACGCCTTACCGGCGGCCGTAACTGCAGCGCCATCTGTGGAGACTTATAAGCGGAAGCTGGACAATCATGCAGAAATGCATGGTTTGTGTCTCAATGGCTTATCCTCTTAAAATTTGAAACCACATTGTCAATGGACAAGCATACAAGCTAAATCCCCACGACCCGTCCTGTCTTCTCTCGCTGTACCGACTACTCTATCTTTTCCTTAGGTCACCTTTATTATTTCACTTATCTCAACCTATATTATCTACACTACAACCTATTATTATTATTACTATTCTACTTTTATGACTACACCGAATGACCAACGGGTGTTAGGTCAAACTCCATTCACGGCAGCAACACAGTCCTAACATACTGCACACTACAAATCACACCTTGACCAATCCTCGCACCACTCCTCTTGGAGTCTACCAGAGTTAAAGCAATCGAGTGGCGCGATTTACTACGCATAGGTTCACCGAAGATCTGGAACCTCTACCTTACAATCAAGAAGCGAGCTCAAAGAAATCACTGGTTTATACAAGCTCGTAATCAGGATATTGGATATTGGATGGGGCCATTCACTGGCTTCCTTCTTGTCGTCTGACCTTGGGGATGGCTATCTGCAAGTTCGTGGGTGCACACGTTTGTCTCCGTCATCCGACTGGTTTTCCCCCCAGATGAGGTACCTTTGCCTCCTAGTTCCGGCATACTGAGCAAACTTATTGGCAGAAAAGTTAAATTTTAAGCACCACTAACTACCAACCAATACATTACCTCGAACGCAACAATCATGTGAAGGAGGCAATTTTGTGTATAGAATACATATATTTGTGAAAAATGCATAAAACACTGTATGAAGAAAGTTTTACAGAGCATAGCATCCTCTCATATATGATAAAAGTAACTCTCAGTTTTATGTTGGAGTATTAACATAGTATAATTCCATTATGGGTAACCTTTTATTTTGATAAAGGCTTATATTGTTATACAGTATTATTTACTGAGGGATAAATTGTGCTCGAAAAGTTATTCCTAAATATTACTGTATAACAATGTGAGACTTTATCAAAATAAATTTTGCATACAATGGAATCATACTTTACCACGGTGCTCAAGTTCTATTTTTAAATCAACAGAGTATTTTAACCACATTCTATGCGTGTAGTTATTTAGGTCTCTTAACCCTAACATTAACTATGATCTTTCCTGAACCTAACCCTAACGTGAAAATATCCCTAAACTAACTGTAATCTAACTCGAACCAATCCTAATGTCGCCTTTATTGGGTTAACCTGGCCATAACTTGTCATTGGCTTAATCTGTAACTTAATCTTTTCCAAACCTACGCTGAAACTTGCCGGAGATACCATTTATTAACATGATTATGTGCTGACACGTCGGTGAGATGTGGATAATGACAGCATTATTTGCCAGTTTTCAATAACTTGCTCGGTAAGTGTTTCAAGGTCATTGGTGAGGATGAACTCTGTTGGTAGTTAGTTGTACTTGAAGTTTAACTGTAGTGCCTAACACAAGAAGAGCCGAATTTAAACAAAAGCATGCTAAAATTCACAGAGTTTGAGGGGTTAAGAAGGAAAATGACTATAGCTGCTTGAAAATTAACATATGAATAGCCGTGTAAACTATGAAGTATAAATAGCTTACCCAATGATGGTCTGATAACTGAAATGTGGGTTATTGAATTAGTTACCAGGCGAAGTTCGAATTATGATAAAATTATATTCTCAATTTATGTACATGAGGGACTCCAGTTTTCAGGCATCATCAATATGATATGTAATACGTACATGGAATAAGCATTTTTACAGTTTTTCACTAACACAGAGTACATATATGAGGAAAGGTAGTGGAATAATGACATTAGGTGCACTTCACATTGGTTAAAACAATTTATATGATATAATCCTAGGCACCATCATTGTTTGAATTTATCGAAAAAGCACGTAACGACTGGGTCGCATGTAGTCGATACAGCCGGCTATTCATAAAAGTATAAGAATGGCTTGTAAAACGTTAGTTAGTTAGTTTACCGACAACAGTATTTTCAGCAATATCATCTGCAAGAGGATCACCACATCAGTTAGTATCCAGTTAAACATGAGACGTATTGATGCACCAGCATAATCAGCAACCAGTTAATTTTTTGATTCATTTTGGTAAGAAACCAGAATGACTGTGAACCAATCCATGGGAAGTGTCGAATGAGGCGTGCAGAAGCAGAATATTGCCATCTAATGAGTCAATTGGATTCGAAATGCCGCTTTCAGCATAATCTTTTTACTTCTTAGATATCCATGTTTATTGGCGCGGTATCGGTTGGGATTGGTCAGCATGAGCAACATATGGATGAATATCTAAATGTGTACTACTACCGTAATGCCGAAGTTTTATACCCATATCAACTGTACTACAGCTTGTTTGCCATGCCGATTTATTTAATTCCGTTTCGTGTGGGGTTTGGTTATTCTACGATTCTGACATATTGGATAAAGTATATCCGTGATCATAGGAAGTGTACGTTTGCTTTAAATGCACTAATTATTATTCACGATATTGTCGGTAGTTATATGTTGACATGAGAGTTAAGGAAAACGTTTCCAGCGTATAATTCTGCGCAGACTTCCGTCTGGTGAATATGCCACAAGTAGTTAAAAAGAAGTGGGTGGAAAGAAATTGATAACGGAATAGTTCGATTAAATATGTGTATAGTGATGAGAATTTAATTAATATTGAAGTTTTCTTTGAGTATAGGGAGGTGTGAACTGACTCATTGCAGTCGCTAAGATTCTAAGAGCCACTTACTTCCCAACCAAAACCAGTAACTCTCTTCTTAAACAACTCATCATCTCTCACTCAACAAGGTATGTGGCTCCACGGAATTGTTATTTACTCAGCTGCGATCGACATTACGGTTTGTGATGAAATAAAAAACAATCTCATGTTGTCATCAAGGTCTACTAAAAACAAAACAGAAGAATTTAGGGAATAAATAAACAACAGTTCACGAGGGAAAGTACAAGCTAGGAAGTGATTTCAAGGAAATAGATGGGTGTACTCCATGACGCGCTCTAGGTCGTGTACCCTTTGAATAAGATATGCTTTTGTCCGTCTAATTGGAAAATACCTGTTTTGTGAATTATTCCCTTGGATAACCTGATCTTCCTAGCCGGTGGACTAAATTGAAAGATTAGTTCAACACTGAATCTCTGTGTGGCACTTCCAGCTGTCTCGAACTACTGCCAAAGTTTCAGGTGCTACAATCTGAATTAACAATAATCATTTACATTTCGTATAAACTAGTGTTTACAAGAAATACATGCCATTTTCAAAGGTACGGTCAGTTACGTTATAAATTACATTCGTGAAGTAACATAAATTTATACTTTTTCAAAGGTTAAATTGTTCGACTGTTGTACAAGCAATCAGAACTGGTTCTTACAAATGTTTAACTGTAAATCCTCCACTAAGGTCATTATCAAGGTTGAGCGACAACCCAAACTTCGTTCCGTTTCCTGCTGATTGTTATGGTCAATCAGTGGACAGTGTGTATTTGGGTAAGTGCTGTGCCGCCACTTGATTTAAAGATATCTGTGGACAAACACTGGGAATCGCTAGAAAGGATTATTAACATAGCAATCTCAGATACCGTTCCTCTGGTCACAACACAGCAGAAGAAAATGTCTTCATAACTGAAGTGAGGTACGCAACATAATATGCATGAGAAGCGGAAGGCTTAGTCTACGTGGCCAGTATCTAAGAGTTAGACCAGCCACGATGCATACCTGAAACTCAGGAACCGGTGCATCAAAAGAGTCAAGAAAGACAGGTCATTTAAAGCTAACCTTGCCAAAACACTCCTGGCGGACCACGGAAGCCTGCACGATTCGTGTCGGAGAGAAAAGCCATCAGCCAGAATGCATGCACCTTAGTAGGTTCAAATGGTCAACATCCCACTAGTTTGGAAATGGATGAAGCATTCAGTTCTGCCTTTGCCAAACAGTTAAAGAGCAATAGGGGTATTACTCGTACAGGCCCAGAAGGCTTCAACGCTCTAAACAAAAGCGGTTGTGTTACTAAGAAAGTTACAGAGGCGCACATCCGAAAATTCCCCAAGTTGTGATGACATCACATCATCTGTCCTGAAACAGTGCAATGAAGGTCTCTGTAGGCCCTTACGCGTCCTGTTCCAAGGCTCGATGGACTCAGGGAAACTGCCAAGGGAGTGAAAAAGGACCATCCTTTCTCCTATTTACAAGGATAAGGATAGGCAAAATGTCACCAGTAGCTCTGCTGCCGGTGGTATCGGATCTATTGGAAATTATAATTGATGATCACATCAGGGAGCACTTGCATAGGACTAATAGACTCCATTAAGCCCAACGTGATTTCAAGAGAGGTAGATCCTGTGTAACGGACTTACTTTAATCATGTAAAGATTGCACGTCATGTTGGGATACTAACGTTCCAGTCAGTATGACCTTCCTAGACTTTGAGAAGGCATTTGACACAGTTCACCATGACTATCTTCTACACAAAATGGGTCAGTTAGGTATAGGTGAGTCGCTTCTCTCATGGTTGAAGGACTACCTGGCAGAAGTGAACTTCTGCACTAGGGTCAATTGAGTCCGATCATCTTGGTACAACTCGTCATCAGGAGTGTCGCAGTGTTCTATCCTAGGACCACTGATGTTTTTGATTTTTATCAATGACCTACCATGCCGTCTTAGCTGCCCGTCTATTCTGTACTCTGGTGACGTAAAGATATGGAGGACAATAAAGTTTTCAGAAGACTCAGGTAAGATGGAGGCAGATATAAAGCTTCTGGAAGACTTGGCGGTGTCCAATAGTATAACTTTCAACCCGAAAAGGTTCAAGTTAGTGATATTACACGCCTGTGGGCTTCAAAATGCACGTTACAACCTGCGCAATGAAAGCTTGTAATGTACAACGTCAAGGCGTGACTATGGTATAGTTCAGTCGGAAAATTTGGTCACAATCGTGAATTCCACTGGGCGTATGCGGTCAGACACTGTACACGTAGACAGTTAGGTGCACTCACTCCTGGGCTCTTTCAAAGGTTGTACAAAATATGCATCAGACGACACCTTGAAGTGTACAATATCGCAGATCCACCTCTGATTAAAAAAGACTCGAAACTTTTAGAAAGTGTTCAAAAACGTGAGTCAAAAAGAGTGATGGGTCTACGAAACAAACCATAGGAAGAACGGCTTCAGAAATGAGGTATTTTTCCACTTAGCTGCCGTCAGATAAGTGGATACTTAGTTACTGCCTATAGGATTATAAATGACCAGAGTCACCTAAACGAAGTTATTCTACCATTAAGTACGTAAGGACTTCCGCGTGGGAATCCACGAGGGAGAGCTCACAAGAGGGAAAAGACTGAAGTGCGCTCCCATTTCTTTTCACCCCAAGTTTGTCGTTCTTATAACTCCTTAACGGCAGATGTAGCTACGGCACCATCCGTTGGTAGCTTTGAGCGAAGACTGATAAATCAGATAGCAACATAAGGACTGAGTTCAAACGGTCTATCCCCTTAAAATCACATACACTATTAATGGGTAGACACCCAAAGTCACATTTCAATTCGTCAGATGCTCTCTTGTCTTACTCTTCTTACTACTCAAAACCATCACGCACCTTGCACCATTATTATTATTAGGGATGTGTGTATATCAGTTTCAAATTCCATCAGCTGTCTGTTTCTATGTTTCATTCTTTTCTTTTTATTTTTTAGTCTGCGTAACGTACACCGGAAGAATAACCGGTGAAAGGATCAACTCCATTCACGGTAACCACGCGGTCTTAACACACCTCATACTACAAGCTACATGTAATCAATCTGGCACCAATCCTTTTGGAGTCAACTGAAGGCACGATAGTCGAGTGGCTGCACAAATTAAACAAACGTCTACTGAAGGTCAGGAGCTTCTGACTAACAAGAAGTGAGCAAGAAGAATTCAAACTGACTTATACTAGCTCGTAAAAATTACATTAGATACCATTAATGTTGAATATCGGACTGTGCACTGTTTGAGCAATGCGTTACAGGTGATGGGAGTATTATTTTTGTTTTTGTTGGCTTTACTTACCAATCTTACTTCCTGCGACTATTATGAAACTCTTGGCGTATCAAGATCTGCAACACCAGTGGAGATAAAGTCAGCATACAGAAAGTTAGCTAAGAAATGGTAATGTTAATTATGTACTGTATATAATTTACTTCGTAGGCATCCAGATAAAAATCCAACAGAAGAAGCAAGTAAAAAGTTCATAGAAATAAATCAGGCATATGAGGTGATAATATTTTCTAGAATTATGTATAATTAACACAAACTAGGTTTTATCAAACACTAAGAAGCGTCATGAATACGATACTTTCGGAAGAGTTCATTCGGATGGTAGCGTCCCTCCTCCTGGACACCGTCCTTATCGTCATGAGTTCGTACACTCTCCATTCGAAGAACTTTTTGACTTCTTTCCCGGCTTCAACAGTGCTCCGCAATTCTCAGTGAATGTTGTAGTAGGTTTTTCATTAGATTTCCATTTAAAAATTGTGCATTTGGTTTTCTCTTAATGTAACAGAATGCATATCCTTTGAATTTTTTTCTGGTGTTGTTTTGAACTAGTGTAGTGATTAGGCGTAAGTTAAGGGATTATTGAGAATGCTGAAGCTAACATATAGCTGCTTAGTTCACTCATTTCGATTAAATCTTTTTTTCAGAATTCTAGCCTACTCGTTAGTTCTCACACAACCATTACGACGTGCCATCCTAATAAGTTTCTCGACATTTAGTCCTCATTTTACTGTGATTTTCTTTCGATGATAGAGCTAACTGAATAAAATTCTATGGTAGTTGTCTGTTCATTTTAGTGTGTCTATGCTGAAAAAAAATCAGCAAATGCATCTCTTTCAACTATTATAAAATGCTGAGGAATGCGTTTTATTAATAGTGCTTCGATCGTTGAGCTTCAGCAGACAATTATTTGAATGTATGATTTCTTTTTGGAACTCAAGGAAGGATTGATGCTGGCAACGAAGATGAATTATCTGCTGAAATAGCCATTGTTTGCTAAATGTTAAATATACTGACCTCAATAGTTATTTGTTCATCACAAGTTTCCTTCACTTGGAATTATTGTGGATTAGCTTTCATCTTCATCATTTCAGGACTTTTCTTTAGAATGCACTCAGTCATCTTCGAACGTTTGGTCGAAATTGGTACATGACTGTGTGTGTTTTATTGGCTTTGTAGCTATAAAATTTTTGTAATGAGAGCTGACTTCAAATAAACTACTCATCTACTTTCTAATATTAACTGTGCAAAATTGGACTGCTGCACTTTTGTGCTCGTTCAGTCATTAACCACTTGGTTGCTCACAAGCAATGTGTTACGGGTTTCTTAATCTGTCTGTATTTATCTTAGATGTAGTATCTTTATTTATTTTTTTTATTTTGATTTACAGCTTGATTCCACACCGTATTTTCAGTACAAGTGTGGAATTTTCAGCATGGATATCGGTAGCCCAAATTCAGGCCGACCATAGATATCGGGTGTGCGCCGGCAGAGGATCGAACCCCGGGCCATGTGCATGGTCGGCGGGAGTCCTAACCACTGTGCCACCGACGCACAGTGTGTAGAATACAACTTCAAGTCAGCTATTATTGTAATACGCCTGTTACATTTGTATACAAGTTGGTTAGTATTGCTTTGTAGAACAACGGTTACAGAATACCGCCGTTCATGTTTTTTTTTGGTATATTTTCCACTAGAAGTTAAGAAATTGTTGTAGTAATTTGTATCACTTCAAGAAAATAGTACAGTTTTGTTTAATAAGCATGTTTTGTCATCTAATTTTCTACTTTTTGTCTTTCGTTTTAAGAATATTGACTTCCGGAGCTATCGCCTAACTCATCTTCCAAGATCTCGGACGGTGCCATTATTCATTCTTGGTTATTCAGATTTCTGTTTCCCTTGCCGTCAAGTTCGTCCACTTTGGTCTCACTTAGCGGATGAACTTACTCCATTGGGAATAACTGTAGCTAGTGTTAATTTAGAACATGATTCTGCATTACGTGAGGAACTACGTGTACTACATGTTCCAAGTGTGACTATAATTGTTGATGGTCAGGTTGGTGAACAGTTTTCATCTTGTTAGAGTAATATTTTGTGTACAGAATTTGTCTTGTTGTCTGACTTTTAACAGAGTACATCTTTACACTCTTATTATAGCATTGTAGAGGTATTTAATCTAGTATTACGTATTATACTAGTCAAAAGGTATCATATAAACATGATAATCTGTGTTTATTCTTTCTGTAGATGACGTTTACATTGTTTCCAAATATTTGAGATGATCGCAGATTATCCTTCGCCATTAAAGATATTATTTCCTGTACCCATCTTGAAAATGTATATAACTTTATGGAATAGCGTTTACTGTTTGCAGTTATTTACTCAGTAACTAGGTGAAATTCTAATTCATTTATCAAACCAGAAAAGTGCTGCCAGTCGCCACTGTAATAGTGACTCCTTGGCGTACTGGAGCAAGTTTTACGTGTTGTTAGTGAGTTACGACTATGTAATTTCACGTAATTCATGTTTAGTTTAGAAGAAATCAAAATAATATCACGAGATTGATACAATCCTTTATATCAAAGGGAATATTATTTCATTGTTTCTGCAAGAATATTCTACAGTCTACATTTCATCTATGTGAGGGGTGCTTTGTTCTGCTTTTTACGAAATTTTTCATCAAACATAACAGATAATTATAGATATGGTCAATGTCGTAAGGTGTGTTTATACTGATACTCAAAGTGCTATATCGCTCACAATCTTAATAACTGATTCGTTTATCCTTGTTACAGTAGTTAGTTGCATATTGCTGATCAGAATAAAAGCTTTTAGGCCCTTGAGTTCGCATACAACGCGTGATGATATGTAGAGTTTATCAGAGAGTAAAATTTCCCTCACTGAATAGTACTATACCTTCATAACACAAAGGGCATTGTATATTAGCATAATTCATGTAAAAAACCGTAAGTTGCCTTGGTCGGGTCTTAGGTATTTCGAAAACAAGTGGTTGGAGACTGTTGATGACATGACTGAATATCTTTCGCGACGGCATACACCTGTTGACTTCTTGTCATCCTTCCGATTGAAAGTGTTCACTAATCTGTACTTAATTGTTCTGTATTTCGTACATTTTCGGTCATTACGGCTTCATTACACTTTTTTCATTTGCTTTTGTGTGATTGTCAAGTGTTACAGCTTGAACTAATACAGGTGAAAAGTCCTGTGTCTTCAAGTCAATCAGTTAATCCATTTTGGTATGCTGAATTAATCTCTTCAATTTTCGAAGACTTAGGAGAAGTAAAAAATGTTTCAGTGCATGTGTACTGTTATTTTGGCACCGTACACAGTGGTATTACCCAAGTGTCTTCCTTAACCAAATTTAGAAACAGTAGTTTACAGAAGGTGAAATTCACTTTTAATAAATGAAGTTTAGAGGTAAGGTTGTAATAGTAGAAAGTGTTACACCAAAGCACGTATGAAACGAGGTGAATAAAAACACTATCTGAGTACTGTACACAAATGATTACTCAGACTTATTCATGTGTAGATTTTAAGTATATTGAATTACATCTATTTAGTGCAATAGAAGAAAAGAATTTCTAAGCCTTACACAACAAATGTAATATGATTCATTGTCCAATATATGAGGTTTTGATATGATTTGTGACCCGTATTTTAATATATATTTTTTATATTCATTTTCCGGCATTATTTGATTACAGATCCTTTTCCACCTGCTTAAAGCACTCCTGAACACATTAATGATATTTAAACTGATTTCACTCTAGCTACAATCAGCTCGGTGTTTTTAATTTTTAAAATATGAATAAACAAAACTATTCCCTTTTCTTTTTAGATTACTTACTATTCTCGAAGTGATTTCAATCATAACAGCCTAATTGATGCTTTGAGAAATGCCATTATGAAGTCGAATCCATCAAAATCTAAAGCGCTGCCAACATTCCTCAGTACAACAATTGATACACCATTAATACAAATGATCAGTGACTATAGTCAATTTGTAAACACATTTCATTATGGTTGGCGTCGTGATAGTCGGCCTAGAATGCTATTCATTAAACCGCTAGCACTACCACCATTGCGTTATTGTATTGCTGCTTTCAAAGCTGCAGATCATTTAGCCGCAGGATATATTAATTCTGAGGCTGAGAATAATTATGAGTTAATTAAAAAACTTAATGTGAATCCAGATGAGGTTAGTTTCAGTTTAATGATTAGCTACTAACTTGTCGTTTTTTAAATGGCTCAGTAAAACTGTCTTATATTATCGTAAATTTCTTGTGCGTAGTTGAAGACACCCTTTTTCATTGAGTTGTCCAGATTGCTATCTTTACGAATTTAACTAGTACATTGGTTAGTCCTTACTACCTTTGTGGCTAAGAATTTTAACAACCGCTGAGTTAAGACTGATTTAAGCTATCTGACAATCTGTTTTTATTTACTTCTTAATTATTATGTGCCAACTGAATATAGTTTCAGATACTAAGCTGTAAGTGTCGTCTCTTGTGTGTTCGCGTGTGCGTAGGGCGGGGGGTTAGAGGTTAAGAAGAGGGAGAGAGCTAATGTCCATTTAAATCGGTCTCCAGATTCATCACCCACTATAAACCTATTCAGTACTTCTATTGGAAGAAAATTATAGACAAATAATATTTGGATGGTCATGTGAACATAGTGAACTTGGATTGAAATATACTAAGTTGGTGGTGAAAGTCGGGCGTGTCAGTAGATGTATTAGTTTAAAATACCTACAGTTCCGCTACCATACAATAATGACGGCAAATTGGGTGTGACAAAATCAGTAACGATTTGTGATTATTGGTTTTTCAGTTGAAGATGAAATTAAGTGTTGGGAATGCGACTTATTTATTTAGTCAATAACATTGGAGATTTTGAAGTATTCAGTTAAAATTTTTATAAAATATGCACTCCAAGATGAAGATGACACGATTGCATTTGATCTTTCTGGGAATACTGTTTGTTGATGTAGACCATACTTGTAGTCTTGACGTCATTTAATCTGTTTAACAAAATTTTTGCATTGGGTATCAATAGGGAGAGGCCATGATGGAATTTCACGATTGATTGTCATTTTAATCATGGTTTCATATCTCGAATTTCGGTTAATTTAGCTAACCACAGTGAGTTGACCAAGTCAGGTAGGAGATCAGTCACTCGCCTGTGACAATGTCTAACGGTCGCGTTATATATATATATATATATATGTATATATATATGTATATAATTTACAATCTTCTCTATTATATATGTATATATATATATGTATATATATATGTATATATATATATATGTATATATATATGTATATATATATATATATATATATATATATATATATATATATATAGCGAATTGGCAAAAGCTGGAATTCATGAACCTCTGGATCGCATCCCAGCGGTCGAACAGTTGACCAGCACCCCTTGTCACCGAAAAGCCATGGGTTCAGACTCCAATGGGTACGTACTGATGAAGAGTCCCAAACTGGGACGAAACGACTGTCCACTACTCCCAGGTTTTCCAGTGGTTCTTCAACTGATATCAACTCATGATGAAATCCTGCAACAAAAGTATTTTATTAAAAACTACTGAGCATAAATCAACCTTTTCTCTTTATCTATTCAATTTTGCTACTGTTACAGGAGACATTTTTAATATTCCACGAAGACTCAAATGTACCAGTGTATCGTCAAACAGCAAGTAAATTGTCTCCTTCTACTCTAGACAATGCAATGTTAGCCTATAGTCAACTCCTTGTACCAAGAGTGTATAGTCGTGCTCGCCTGTTAGATTTATGCCCAACTGATGGAAGTGAACCAGCTAGTAAATATGCACAAGAATCTGATAAACGTTATCATCACAGCCAGTCATCATATCATTATTCACCTAATCATCGTCATATATGCTTAGTACTTTTATTAAATTCACGACAATTGAATGTTGAACAAATCCATAGTCTTGGTGATATTTGGTTAACAATGTTTAGTCGTACTGTGGAAACATCTAAGAAAGATTTATTAAAGTTATATCATATTGGTCAAAGTAACTTTCATTTTATGCCTGTATATATTTATGCTGATCGTCAAATTGAGTTATTGACCAGATTGAGTACATCCTCCTCATGCTCAGAGGAATCGTGTAATTTAATTAGTGAAGGTGAGTTTTTGCAAACTATTTTTCATAGGAAGTTGTTTTCTGAATGTTTAAATGGTTATTGCTAGTTAAACTTCTCTTATTTTGAATAATTCTATGCTGCTCTTGGTTATAATATGATTGTAATTCTAGTATTTACAATTGTTTAGTCTCATGTACTTGTATCTCGTTTATTGTTGGTGTCTTCAGTTAAATTTTGTAACATGCAGATTCGTCTCATTGAACTGTAGTTTTGATTGGCAGGTTTCAATTCAGGTTTTTCTGCTGTTTCAATTCCTAACATCTGACACAAAATCAAAATATCACTGTGACTAACAGGCACTACTCATTCATACTAGTAGTTTCCAACTACCTACCTGCTGTTCACTACAGTATACTTATTATTATTATTATTATTATTATTATTATTATTATTATTATTAATACCTTGGGTTCTGAGTACACAAATACTTCACTATTCTGACAACTAAACGAATCTATGCCCAGTGAATGTATCATCACTATTCGCTTAGGTTCCGAGTAGAACAGCCATCTCTGTAGCACTAGCTGACGTCCTCTTTCTACCAATCAAGCCTGAACTCATATTTGATCATATTGATGTCAGTTTCAGATGGTGTGGATACATACAGGACTGTTGCTCCTTCTGGAGCACATGTCTGGAATCCGAACATGCTTTAGTATGCCAAGTTTATCGTGCTAATTGATCTTATTTGTAAACATCCCCTTTAAACTGATTTAAGTAAACTGGTAGCACCTTCTACCTCTGCGAAGTCCAAGTTAAACTCAAGGCTATTTTATTATTATTATTGTTCCCTTGGGTTCCGAGTGGAACATAGGGCTTCAACAGCATATATACATTTTATCCTATTCTCTGAGGTCCTCTCTAACTGGTCCCATGATTGTGCATAATCTCATGTCTCATCCTCCCACGATCTTTGTGTCACTCTCGGACCTACTCTCAACTCGTTGCTTCCTATTCGGGTTCCACTTGAGCGGTGGTTTGGCATGCGATGTCATTCGACAATTTCCTGAGCGTGTGTGCTCAATCCATCTCCATTTTCTTCGGAATGTTTGTTGAGCAACAGGTTTATGGTTGGTTAGTTCCCGTAGTTCCTTGTTGCCAAATCTTTCCGGACCATGTGCACGATCGGCGAGCGTCCTAACCGCTGTGCCACCGACGCACATTAAGGAGAAATTATCAACAGAAAGACAAGGGAATGCATATAATTAATTATATTAATAGCTGTGAATAGGCAAAATTAAAAGTGTACAATCATGTTACGATTACATAAGAAGTGTCAAATAGCACATCACGGTAAAATTTGACTGTTTCTCTCAAATGTACCATTTAAAGCTAACAATTATTACAGCAGGCCTCTTAAATTATTTAGTATGTTATTGAAGTGAATTTTAGATTTTCCCGTCGATTGATTGGACCGAAGTGCTCGGTCTCAGGTTGACATTTCAGCTTCTTGTGCAGATGCTTCGACGATGTTTGGTCATTTAATTAGAATTTAAATGATGGATGGTGATTAGCGGTGGAATCCAGGATGCGCATTTCGTCCTACTTGGGACTCGTCAACTGGATATACCTGCATTCTGCAGTGAGTGATGAAGTTCCCACTGTGGAATGCAGGTACATCCAGTGACGAGTCCCAAATAGGACGAAATGCGCATCCTGGATTCCACCGCTGGTCACCATCCATCAACCAAACTCTACTTCGTATGTTGTTTATCCTGATTCGATTTATCACTTTTCTATGAATAACTTGTATAGATATGAAGGGAATACTGAGAAATATGAAATGTTTCAGAAGACTTACTGTTATGTATCTATTCATTTTGTAAAAGCCACTAATTGGGAAAAGCATTCAAGATATCTCGTGAAATTTACATTCATCTGTTTTAGCCATTCAGCATATTTCAATTCAAAATGGCTAACTTTATATCCTGTGGGTATAGTTGACGACATTTTTGATTGGTTGATGTTAACACCCTATCATCCCACTCGAATATGCATAGTGTTCAGTTATATTAGGTAATGTACTTCTTAATCATTTAAGTTACTGAAGCTTCACAACCTTGTTCACTGATATAAATAAATCTTTTACGTAGTGATTTACACCTGGAATCCGTATTGAGCATTTTGTTAGTCTTCACGTCAAAATGATGCTTTGAAGTTATCAGCAAATAGATACTTGGGGGTAGGCTGAACATATCTTTCACATTAATTATTCAAGTTTCGTTTCCTTTAGGTAGTACAGAATTGACTCCCATATGAAGTACATTTACCCTTTCACTAGGCATTAGAACGTGTCGCCTACTGAACAATTTCTGCGTAGGCTAACCGAAATCGAATAAATTTCGCTTGGCAAGCGTTTGACATTTATCTACAATTCTGATTTATTGTCTCACTAAAGGTGTTGTTGTCAGCTGTTTCAGTAAAAACTGGTTTTTGTTTGTTTTTCTCCAGCTGCGCAATTCCAAAACTTTTAAATATTTTCGTAGTATTATTACGGAAGCTCTTCGGATAATGTTTAACCAGCATTAGCTTGAGTTGCTTACTTACTACTAACTATAGATATGTTTTTAGCAAATTTTTATGTATTAAATCTTATACTTTATCCTCTTCTGGTCCTTCTCCTTTCTTCATTATTCTTAAGATAATATGGGTCGTTTAGCTTTGATTTGGCGCATCAGTTCAACGGAGATTGTGTATCATCTTCTCCCGGATAATTCACTATCTCATCCAAGAAAATATATAAACCAAGAGACCTTTAGACAAACTCCGCCAGATGATACTATGAAAATGCAAAAATCTGTTGAACAAATGTCTATCGCTTTAATCAATGACTTAAAAGATGTTATGAAAACGATAAATGACAATAAAATGTATTCATCAAGTCAACTGTCTAATTCAATTGAAAAACTGAACAATTGGTATCTACTAAAAGATTGTATGATTGAAGAATTAATTGTCGATGAATTAGTTGCCTCAATATGGATTAGACTACGAAATAGAATATTACAGATTTTTGTCGACATTGGACATTGGATATTTGAGTAAGTTATTATCTATTACTGTACCGGTTTGTCACTAGTCTTTTTCCCTCATTGATGATTGTGGTAGTGAATGATTTGTGTGTTCCTATAGAGAATTGCAATAGTGCTTCCTGTATTATTATTATTATTATTGTTCTCTTGGGTTCCTAGTGGAACATAGGGCTTCAACTGCACACCTCCACTTGCTTCTGTCTTCTGCTGTACTTTTCACTTGCATCCATGTTAGTCCATACTGTTTCAACTCCTCTTCACACGATCTCCCCCATGTCACCCTTGGACGTCCCACTCGCCGCTTCCCTTTCGGGTTCCACTCGAGCTATGGCCTGACGCGCGATGTCACCCAGCGGCCTCCTCAGCGAGTGTCCAATCCATCTCCACTTTCTCCTGCATATTTGTTGGGTGATTGGTTCTTGTTTTGTTTGTTCCCATAGTTTCTTGTTGGTGATTCTTTCCGACCATCTGATCTTCAGTATAGAACGAAGACAGTTGTTGATAAAGGTCTGCAACAGGCTGTTGGAAATATTCTTTGTGACACACTGGCCAAGTTTCTGATCCATCCGTATAGAAGAACTGACTTGACGTTTGTATTGAAAATCCGAATTTTGTTGTTGATGCTGAGTGACGAAGATTTCCAGATTGGTTTCAGGTTGATGAATGTGCTTCCTGTGTTGTGTATAAATTATGTATGAATGAGTTTTTAAGATCGCTAGAAGCGGCGATATCTCTGTCAATTGAAGTTAGTGTTACTACTTGATGCCGAATACTCAGAACAAGTTTAAACGTGCGAGATATCTGTTGAAGGACAATTGTTTATCCTATTTATCTGAGTTTTCCTGCCTCTGGTTTCTTTGTCAAACAATCACTTAGCTAGAGAACTTATTTGTCACGTAATGAGCTTCTGTGTTATTGTGGAGGCTGATGAATACTAATCAGTTACCTAAGGTAAAGTAGGTGAACTAGGATTCAAACTCAGGACTCTCAGATTGGAAGTCAAATGGTAAATCCAATAAGCTGAACTTCTACAATTGTTGAACTAATTTAAATGTTTAGAAATGATTGGAGTATTATAAAAAAAATAGTAAAATATGCCAATAAACTTTTAACGAATCTATCATAAAATGACTAATAAGTGTTTCTTTGTTATTGCACAACTCCTTAGTAGTATACATGATAGAATGCTTTTAAGAAATGAATTGCGGGCCTCCATCAAAATACCGAGTCTCAGTGATATGTTACATTAGCACTTTCACTAACTGCGTATCACGAGTTCTTTCCATATTGAACTGTGGTTAGCATGATTGCAGTCTCGCAAACTGCTCCCTGTACCTCTACCTGAACAATTTGATGCTATTGAAAATTTTTTTAAAGTTAAATATGTTGCATAAAATCGCCCATAGGTATGTTCCAGACTACAGTTGTCTTCGTTCGATATTGAAGGTTAGATGGTTAGAAAGAATTAGTTGCAAGGAACCCTAGGTACATACAAACCAAGAACCTATGGTTCAACAAATATGCGGAAGAATAAAATGGAGACGGATTGCACAGACGCTTAAGAGACTGTTGAGTAACATCGCGCACTACGTGGGTACTCTAGTAGTGAAACACAAAGGGGAAATGACGAGTTAAGCCAAGGAGGATAATCCGGAAGAGATCGTGTAAGGAGTAGATGAAAGCTTATGAGCAATCATAGGGCTAGCTAAAACGGAATGCAGCGAACAGGATGAAATAGAGATGTGCTGTGGAAGCCCTATTTTTCACTTGAAACCTAAGGAAAAATAATAATGGAGAACCATTCGAAACCAGGGAGCACTGGACATCTGTTACGTTCTAGTGTGATATGCTTCTGCAGCGTCCAACTATGAACCCACTGAGGATAGAACACAGAACCTTCAGGTTACAAGGTGAACTCGTTGATCATTCAGCCACCCAGAAGAAATCTAACGCCCCATGAATTCCAACTTCTATGAATTTGTGATTTTCTATAGTTTGTTTGTAAGGGTTAGTTTTGTTTTTGCGAGTTGATCACGGATTGATATCAGTTAGAGAACCATTGAAACCACGGAGTACTGGACAGCTGTTTCAGTCTAGTTTTGGGAATCGTCGGCAGTACTCACCCACTGGGATTCGAACCCCAGGACCTTCCGGTTACAAGGCAATCTCGTATACCATTCAGCCACTGGGACCCGATTCAATGGCCAACCCATGAATTCTAACTTCTACCGATTTGTGATTTAGCACGACCCTAACCAATGTCGTCGATGGGACATCCATCCTCACACTTGACTGGATGGACCTCACTGGTCACTACTTCTCACTAGAACTCCAGGAAACTCCATCCTGTAGCGGGTCACTAGCGAACATCGGATTAATTTTCTATAGTTGGTTTGTGATTTATCGCACCGCCGCCAGCCAATGTTATTTATGAGTATTTGTCTTCATACCCGACCTGGTGAACACTTCACTGGTGACAACTTCTAATTAAAACCCTCTTGTACTTCTTGGTTTTCAGTAATTCTCTAATAGATGTCGATCTAACTGTCAACTTCGTCGGTGCCGGTTTCTGATGAAAACCCATTTTACTTTTAGTGGACAATATTTTATTCTTACCGCTTATCACCTTATGCTTTCGGCGTATGATTTGCAATCGAATGAATGTTTTCCTACTACTCTTTACCTCACCTCACTTACACAGACGGGAATGAGATATCTGTGTGTGTGTTTGTATGTTTTACATCTGTTTGTTTTTGCTTTAATGATAGATAAGTTGGTGTAGTTATTTGTTAACATCGGTTTCTTCCTCTTTTCTCTCTTTTTTTTACAGCCTTGCAAATCATCCATTGGCATTTGTATTTTCTAGTTTTATGGTTATCATTGGATTATTACTATTCAGTTTATTATCGACAATATCACAAGGAATGACATATGAACAAGCTAAGCACAATACAAAGACGTCTAATAATAATAATAGTAATAACAGAAAAGGTGAAGAAGAATCCACCAATACAACAGCTACTACTAGGGGTAGTGGTAGCACATCCCCAAGTCAATCCACTAGTTATTCAGACACGTATGAAGAGTGATTTAACCATTTTATCTTCTTTTTAAAAATTCATCTTTTTTGCTATGGATTATTTGTTTGAGTTCAATTTGCATTTCTCATTGATTGATCAACTGACTATGTTGCACCGAAATACTGTGTCGATGCGTCAACTCCGTATACGGATGTTTCAACGATGTTTTTAAGATAAGTATGATGTTATTTTCCTTAATGCGGTGGGTATTAGCACAGTGAAACCCACTTCGGCCAACTGGGCACTCGTTATCTGGATGTACCGGTATCTCCAAGGTGTAATAATGCTTTTCCCACTGGGACTCGAACCCAGGGTGTAATTAGAGAGTATATCTCTTATTTTTATTGGTAGAATATTGCGAACCTACGAATTTGAAGGCTGGTGATTGTTTCTCAATTCAAGTTCTCATTCTGAATTTGGTTACTGCCATCTGTTACACCAATGGAAGACATCAAAAATACCAAATAAGATTGGGAAAATAGTGTAAATACGCATCGATAAGGACCGCTGGAAGTTATGTAGCAAGAAAAGTAAAGTAAAAATAAATTTAATCTTATTACTATAATAGTTCTCTTTTCTCTTATTAATGTTTAGATCATCTACAATAACTCCAGTCGTAGCTTTAAATCCTTCTACATACGATCGCCTTATTCGTGATGCGCCTAAAGGTTTTAGAGTATTAATACTCTGTATCCGTGGTACTGGTACTCCTCAGGATGATCGATTACGTGATCAGTTTAGTTTTGTAACTCGTCGTGTATGGTAAGTTCACTGTAACTTTTTTTTTGTAACAGTATTTTCAAAATCATAAGTGAACTCCGGTGTGAGATTTTTTTATATAGCTGATACAAAAATTGCCGTATACCACAGCTCCCTTAAAAGGGTTGACACTCATCAGCAAGGCATTTAAATGTGTAGAACTTTACGTCTTAGTTTCTTAACACTTGTTCCAATCAATTAAAATATTATGCTTTATGGTGTAATGCAGGGTTCGTTAATTTCCTGTTGGCTAGTGTTCAATTTCTCTCCAATTTTGAATAATGTTAGTTTGTCTAGAGTAGCATACAATAAATGCTACTGTTATCACTCACTTCGTGCGTCGGTGGTTCATAATAATGATAATACTTAAGTTTTATTTCAGAATATATGTGAAAATATATTACGGAAATTTTCAGCGTATTTAGTTCCAAAATACTTCCTCGTTATACAGGATTTAAAGCAATAATCTGAATTATATCATATGTCGTAGTGTTGTTACATATGAAGAGAGAACAAATTCACTACATTTTTTCACTAATTTCTTCAAGAATTTCTTAGCTTTTAGTCGGGAACTATTTGAATATGCACGCAGGTTCATTTAGTGTTCATCTGATATAAATGTATGATAAAAACACTAAGAAATGCAGTACAGAATAGTCACTTTGATGGATAGAAATTCTGGTAGCTCGGTGATTTAAGTAGGCCGCCTAGTAGGTGCTAGGAAGCTCGTCAACCACCCATGTGGTCTAGTTTTCGACCTCCAGCCAATGCACTCCTGTACTTCACTAAGCCCAGTGGTAAGGCTGGTAAAGAGGAAGGGTTGGGCGTGAGGCTAGCAACTCTACCTCGTAAAGTTAAAAACCACTGCTACTGAAACTTCAAAGTCCTAGCGTGAAGCCCTATGCTCCATTAGGTGGAATGCAAATGAATAAAATAGTAATAATTGTTCATCTTAAGTGTGATAGAGTAGAGTTATTAGGTTAAAAACGGTTGGCATGTGCAGATTTTGACTGATGCGGGGAGTCCTCAGGAATTAAAAATCATCGGTTGGATGTCACGGTTTGACATTGTTCGCATTAGCACAAATCTATTCACTCCTTGTCATCTTCTACATGACGAACGGCTTTAGTAGTATCTCAGTTGCAACCAAATTTGTTGATTATAGCATCATGCTGTTTTTGTTTCTTTATTTTGTGTGCTTCCCCAAAATAGGCCAACTTAAATTTATACTTTTCCGTGCCAAATTCTAAATTATTCCCTTAGTCAGTCATTATAGTAGTCAGTCAGTCAATCAACTTTATATCCTCTTAATAATCAAATTTATGCATCTTAGCAATAACAACACGTTTTCCCTTGTTACCTTTTTTACTCGGTTTGGTGTATAGATTTAGCTTGCTTAGCTTGCATCTACTTATTCCTGGGAGGCTGGGTATATTAAAAACTTCTGTACAAAAGTGTTACTCTTAGTTCTGGTACATGGAAAATTTTTTCTGGGTGGTAATTGATTTCGGACTAGATTAGGTTGATTAGTTGGTGCACTGTGGTTTTGTTTTTCGCTCATCAATCGCATTACTGGTTTGCTGTGCTGTAAAGCAAGTAAAGTGATGTTTTACAATGTCTTCCAAATGCCTTTATATACATATGTGCAATTTTCGCATTTTCTGGTTCGCGTATTCGTTTGGCAATTAGTTTGTCCAGAGAAGTAGATTAAAAGTTTTATGGTGTTGTTTCTGTTTCTTGTTCGATATTGCATCATCCAGTACAATTATCAATTAATTACTGAAGTTAAACTGAAATTTATGATCGTTTTTAAAAACTTAATACATATTATGTAGTTGGCCATGGTAAAGAAGGGGGCTGTACAAATTTCTTTTCAACACACAGATTTAGCTTTGATGAATTCCGATTGCCTCTGCTTTATGTAAAAGGTGTACTCGTAGACCATTTTGAGGGGTTGGGTGATATACGACAAATAACTTTAAAAGTTTTGTTAGAGTCGACTTAAGAGAGTATGGTCCTCTTAAAGATGTAATATATAATCTTGATTTCTATTGCTGATATGTTGGTTATATATTTATAGTTGTGAAGAACGAAAGTGAGACCAAGGACATATTGGAGAAATTCAATAAACCGTATCCTGGCATAAGCTTCACTCTATCTCCTTTTTGGACGTCCCAATGACCAAACGAACAGACGGAACAATATGTAGACCTTTGTATAGAAAACCTACTTCCACTGGACAATATACTCACTTCCTGAGCGTTGCAACTCTACAATACAAACGTAATCTCGTTAGATCTCTGGTTCACAAGGCTAGAGTTATCTGTTCAAATGAGACACTGAACGACGAACTCGGTAGCATTCGTGATCTACTAAGTTGAAACGGACATCCAACTATATTCGTGAACAAACACATTAACTCAGAAAGTAAAAAGTCGAAAGTACCGACTGTTCCCCAAAAATCAGTTTAGCTAAGGTTACAATTCATGGGTGATGACAATAGCGAGATCTTATTACAACGTCTGAGAAGGGCCTTCGAAAGGACTTTCAACGCAGCTAAGCTATGCTGTGTATTCACTAGCTAACCAATACTTAGTCCAAGAAATAAAGACAGACTGACCTGTTTCACCTCTTCCATGTGTATTTACCAGTTTAACTGCCCGTGCGGAGCTAGTTACATAGGGCATACGATCAGGCAAGTTCATCGTCGAATTTCTGAACACCTCAAATCTTGGTTTGACAAGGGTCCGAATAAAGCTATACGCAGCTCAATGCTAGCTCATCTCGTCGATACTGGACATCAAGTCGACTCTGACAAAGCTTTCAAAGTTATCGTATATCACTCAATCTTTCGCATGGTCTACGAGTACGACTTTTGCATACAACAGAAGTAATCAGAATTCATCTGAGCAAGGCAAATCTGTGTGTTCAAAATGAAATTTATGGATCGCTAATAGGCTACTGTACTGTGAACCATCGAACCCACAAATCTATCAAGCTGTTACTTATTTAATAATAAAAAATGCACATAAGTGTACACTTTTGAACAACACAGGTCAGTAGACAGAAGAAATTTAATGGAAATGTGATGATTAGAGATGCACGGAGGAAAAACAAGTAAATAAAGAGTAATGAAAATCTTCAGAACTTGGAAAATGACATGGTGTGAGTACAACTGCAACATTGTAAACGATTTTTAACTATGCCAGCAAAAGTCATTAACTGTCTTTTCTTAGCATCATTGGGACTCTAGACAGGTGGTCTACACCTCCCTTCACTGCTCTAAGCAACAGTCCATAACTCGATTGATTAGTGCTATGCTTCAGTCGGACTCCTTCTGACTTTTTTTGAAACATAATCCGACTTTGGCTAACATCTCACACCGAAGTAGACAATAGCTTGGAATTCTTACCATGTGTCTTATGCCACTCAGTCTATGGAGCTTCACAAGCTCGACGGTTGATTTTCCCACCTTACTTAATGCTATCTACAATCTACATATCATACCTGGGAATTACTGGTTGTTAAATATTGATGCCTTCTTTCAACGTTCATGTTAACTAAAACAAAATGATAGGCAATGGGTGACTCAGATGTGGTTTCTTTATATATAGGAAATATATTTCAATCAAAGAATATAAGGACTTAGCGGAGAAATACATACTTTTCAATTAGATTTTCATCTCTCCTTAATCGCTTCTCTTGCTTTGTGTGCTACATGGAGTGTGGCAACTCGAACTGCTGCACATCTGTGCAAAGTTCTACGTTGTGACCAGACCATGTCAGTCACTCTCATCTCTGCCTCTACCCTAATATAAATAGCACTTTTAATACATTATAAAAAATTTACTAATCTAGTGGCTATACGTTTGTTAACAAAAATTAATCAATATCAACATGTCAAGCGGGCGATAATTAACCAAGAAATTTAATACAAATAATTAACGTATAGAAATGATTTCTAGTGGATTGCATAATGCATAATTTTGGAAAAAAATAGAGTAACTAAGAGAGTACTCAAGTTGGTTACGTAATGGACAATTAAGGATGAAGTAGTCAGAAAAACTAAGTAATTTGACAATGATAACTAGTAGATACACAAAGAGGAAGCGAAATTAAGTAGTTTTTAGTTATTTCTAGAATTTGAAATCGGAGTAGTTGTGAAAAGATAGCGCACCTTTGCTGCAGTGAATGTTGTTTTAAGAGTATTTTCCATGGGCTGTGTTACTATTTCGCTGATGTTATCACAAAGATGCTGCAGTTTTATGAACAAGGGCTTTTTTAGAGCTGTTGCCATATTGATTTGCCTTGGCGCTAAATTCATATTTTTTCATCAACGAAGTCATCTGGATAGCCATTTTTACTAAGTAAGCCTCTGATAATCATAAGCACCTCATTGACGGAATCTTTTGAGCAGATTGTCATAGCTCTACGATCCAAACACTACCAAGTTGTATTTATATATTTCAAAGATGCAAAACTCAAAAACCGAGTGTACTCACCCGTCGTTGTAGGTTTTCTATATTCACTGCTTCTTAGCGTATCATTGTCTTACCTGGTCAGAGAGACGATGACAAATCAGTGCACTCGAATAGATATTTTCCCTACACAGACTATAGATCTTGTAGGTAGGTTGAACATGTTATTTGTTTATTTGTCGTCACGTTTCTCAGTAAGTAATATTAACCAACGCAGAATTATGTTTGGAAAAGGTTTTAGGTATTGAGACCAAAACGTGACGCCGTTACGTGAAGTCGTTCGCTGTCAGTGTGTCAACAGTACAGGGAAATGTTGGTTGTCAAATGGAAACCCTCAGAATGGTGGTAAAGCCATTCTCAATGTTACTGGGTTTCCCCATTCCTTCAAGCTTAAATTGTTTCCGGTAGTTTTCGATTACTTTCGCTTATTCACACACGCTTGTCCATTATAGTATCTTTTTCTTTATATTCTTTTCTATTTTGTATGATGGTTCGAACAGTGGCAACTTATACTGAAATATTCCTTGTCAACTTGTTTGCTGTCCTATCTTTTTTACATTTTGGAATTAGGTTCAGTAAAGTGCACACGTTTGTTTTGTTCTCTTGTTCTCTAGTTGTGTGTATCCGCCTTTCTTTTACAAAATTTAGTGGAACACAAATCCAGCGTGCCTGTCTCTCGATGGATCGATATGCTGGTTGGCTTGCAAAGCTGCTCGAGTCAACTAGATCTAATTTTCCCGTTCGTATTCGTTCAAATGGCAGTGTATATAGAAATAGACAGCAGTTAAAAGAGGATAGTACCTGCAGTAGTAGTAAAGCTGGAACATTGTTTATCAATCCAGTAAATTGTGTTGGCACAGTGATTGCTGTCAATGGTTACCGACGATATTTCAACCTCTATCATCCATTAATACCTGGATCTCAAAGTAGTTCTGATGAAGCTGATGTAAGTTATTCTAATTTATGATAATTAGTATTTTTACATCTGAAATCACTTTCTTGTTGTTCGTTTTAATGTAAATATGTACTCTTTAGCCAATCATTTTAGATTACAAGTTTAAATAATGCTTCATTTGTCAACCTTTAAACAAAACTTATATTATAAATTTTCATGAGACCTGTATACCGTTGCTGAAAGTTGATTAGGTTATATTCTATAGTCCGTTGAATCCGCCTACATTTAGCTTCAAGTTACAAAATTTTAGTTTATTGACTGTTACAGCGTCTCGAATTCTCCCCAATCTTGCAAACTCAAGTTTATAAGATTCATCTTCTAGTTCATACGTGGCTGATATGTTTAGGCAATCGACTGTCTATCAGCTGATACGTCCAGGGTTCAAATTATCAAACCATATGACAGTTTTTGGCTTGCACTTACACTTAAATGATGACTTCTATTTTAAAATTTCTTACAAAATTTTCAATGTGAAATTTTAATTATCTTTTTTTTTAAAGAAAACGGCATTTTGAAACCTACTTGGTTAGTTTACAAAATGTTAGTAAATAATTTAAAAACTTAAACTAATGGTTCATTTCTTGTTAGTTTTCCACAGCTTAGTGATAATAACAACCAGACTATATTATCATTATTATTATTCCCTTTCGTTCCCAATGGAACATACGGCCTCGATACCACCTCTTCATTTTGTCTTATCCTCTGTAGTCCTCTTCTCCTGGCCGTACCACTGCCCGTAGTCTGTCATCTCCTCCGTACATGATCTCCTTCATGTCACTCTCGGACTTACTCTCAACTCTTTGTTTTCCTCTCGGGTTCCACTCGAAGGCTTGGCACGCGATGTCATTTGACGGTCTTCTCAGCATGTGTTCGATCCATTTCCATTTCTTCCACATATTTGTTAAGTAATAGGTTCTTGGTCAGTTCGTCCCCAGAAGTTTATTGTTTATAATTATTTCTGGCCTTTTATCTTCACTATGAAGCTAGCGAAAATAGCTGTTACTAAAAGTCTGTAGCAGGCTGTTGTAAATACTTTTTGTGATTCGCTGGCCAAGTTTCTGACCCATATGGGAGAAATGACTGACATAACACTGGTATTAAAAGTCCGGATTTTGTTCTTTATGTTGCTTAGTGCAGAAGATTTCCAGGCAGGTTTCAGAGAGGTGAAGGTCTGTCTTGCCTTTCCTTTTCTGCCTTTGACATCCTCATCTATGCCACCTGTAGTTGAAACGATGCTACTCTCTCTTTGCCTCATTTATTCGGAAGTCGTATTATATATGTATATACTGATGATGGTGGTGTTTAGCCAAGATTTTAGATTGGTTTGGACTGTTTTCCTGTTTTATCCATAATTGTACACTTTGACTTCGATTGTGTCTTAATCTGGAACTGTCACTTTGTATCAGAAAAGCCTTTTGATTTTGATTCAAGTGTAGCATGTTTACTATCGCAAGGTAAGTTGAAGGTGAATCCTGCGGTGACGAATTTTGAGTCTAGTTGAAAAGAGCTGTCTGGAACTCCTTCTCTGTCTCTTTTCCTGGTATTAGTACTCAGTGTTGGTTGTCTTTAATATTCAGCACTGAAAACTAACATCCATGCTACTTTAGGTGATTTAGTTGCAATTTGTATATCGTACTGAAGTAACAGCCTATTAAAATTGTGTTAACCATCCTGTTCTCTAGAGACTTGAGTGAAAATGGTTCTTTGGAAAAAAGATTTCTAACAATAATTTTTCCAAATTATTAATTATTTGTTGTTGTTCAGTGTCCGTCAGATTGCTTTGCAACAGTGTGTTACTGCTGCTGCTGCTGTATATTGAAGTAGCCTAAAAACGGTAAATGTAAATGTACATGCCTGCAGAAGGATCTTTTGTTGATGTTTTGACGGATAAAAACATTTGCAGATGGAGTTAAACAGACTTTCAAGGAAATATTTTAGCGACTGTACTACTTTTGAACTTCAGGTTCATGAGGCATATTTGGTGATGTCTCTGATTTAAATTACCTCTTGGATCCCGTCCAGGGAACTGTAATACGCCAATAGACGCTAATGCAACACGGCTGTCCTTCGTTCTACGGCACCACGTGGTAGACTGACTAGATGTAACTGTGAATCGTAATCGATGGTGAACATGATACAGTATCCTTTTCTCTTTCTAAAGGTAATATGAAGTAAGGAACTATCCTTCGAATGCTCATGATAGGTTTGCTCATGCTTGATGCTGTCCCCCATTTATTCTGTTTCTCTTCCTCGTATACTGTTGTTTTATTACCTTTTTCTGTGGCACATCTTTAGGTGCTCATATTGTATGAAGTTCGCGCTTAAATAAATAAATAAATAATCAAGTTTTTAAGCGGTTGTTTCTTATAATTTCATATACTTATCCATGAGTAAATGTCTGTTTCAAACTAATGTTTTTGAAAGGGTTCTATCTATGCATACAGGGTATCTGTTGAGCACTTTCGATAAATTTTTATAACAAGTGGAAGGGGTTCCAGGATCCCTTTTTTTCTGTATTATTGTAAGAAGTGGGAATTAGTCAAATCCTCGATGAGCTTACAGGTCCATGATGTTAAATCAATTCCCAAAATAATCTAGTGGTATTTTTTGTCTCCTTTTTAAAAAATATCTTAACTATTTCTTTCCTCCCCCCATAGGATTCAGATGGAGAAACAGCATTACTGCCAACTGGAACTGGGAAACGTCTTCGACGTAGACGCATTTTCGGTCGTGCATTCGGTTTAGAATCCGATGATGAAGAAGATATCCAATCCGATGGTATTAATAATCGTGAACATTTGAAGTCTAGACATCAAATCAGTGATGGTGCATTATTTGACAGTGAATTGTTAAGTGGATTATCTAATTGGTTAGATCGTTTATTCGAAGGATCACTTCCTCGTTATAATATTGCAGAATGGCCAATTGGTTTGCTTGGTGATGATTAAATTAGTAGTATAACAGTGTGTATTGATTAGGTGTTATTGCATAATTCTTTACCCAACGAATCATACATTTCTTTTCATTCCCTTCATATCATAATACTTGAAGTATTTGTTTACTGTACGTACGTATATATATATCAGTGTATGGATGGTGATCACATCTCAATTAAGTCAACTAACGTTGAGCATAAACTAAATACTCTTTGGAGAGGGATAGTTCCGTTGCTGTTGGTTAATAACTGACTTTTTATTCTTTGTGATTCTGTTGCCATGATAAATGTTATTACTATTATTATTGTTAAGAATTCTATACTTTTATTCGTACTTACAGTTACTCGTTTTTTTTATTGCTTTGGATTCACCTTTTCTTATGTATTACAGTCTTTTAAAAATTAGAAATTTGTTTGTATTTATGCTTATTTAGCACTTCATCTGTTTATTTATTTCAAAAGAATTTATACCTCTGAACATGTGCTGTGGTTTTTCTAAAATCTTGGGATGTATATAGCGAACTACAGTGAAAGATGTCGCCTTGTGAATTAAAGTGACCTAATTATCATACAGTTATCAATATTATTTATTCCCTGCGTTCTGATTGCAACAACATAGTGCTTCAGTGACACATCTGCATTACACTCGACTCTATACTGGATCAATGACTCTGACTACAAGCTTTTATATCCTCTCCCGATGATCTTCTCTATGTAACTCTGGAACACTCAGCCCATCGCTTCCTATTCAAGTTACACTTAAGAGTCTAACGTTTGACTTCATTCAGTGATCTCTTCAGCGTCCATCCAAACAATCTGGGTTTTTTCGTATGTTTGTTGGCCGATAATTTGACGGCTGGTTCTCCACCAGATTTCCTAATTGTTTATTCTTTTGACCTATCATATGGTCTTCAGTATCGAGTGAAGGCAGCTAACTGTTTGTGGTATGCATTCCAACGCCCTGAACCGTATAGCAGCTCTCATTGCCTTGACAGAGATGTGCACATCAGCCTTTCAGCTGTAAATTAGGTTGAAAAATCTGCCTAATTTGAAGTAATGCTAGGTAGTAGGATCTAATAAAATGACTTCAGAGGTGTATAATGACGGTAGTGATGAACTTTTCTGGGTTAATTAAGATATCAGATAGTGTTTGGGAGCCAGAGATAGTTCATCAGACTGATGCAAATCATTGATTAGATAATTATGAAAGTTTATAAGGAGGGAAATACATCTTTCTATTAGAATCAATAGGTAGTCAGCTTGTCTAACACGCTGTTATAAATTCTAGGTTCAGTAGTGATACATAGGCTAAAGGGTGCCCAGGGAAATCAAATCTTCGAAAACTAGAGTGACTTTGTTCTCGGAAAGTCATGTATTGATCATATCTTTACCCGTCAACAGATTACGGAACGTACACTGTGTTCGGAGTGTTCCACGCTTTCCATACTTGTTGGTGTGACTGTAGTATTTGGCTCCGTTGACCAAGGCGTGAAATGTTAATTTCGTCTGACAAAGTGTGCTGAACTGAAGGAAGCAATTTGGTCGGAAGGACGCAGCCCTGTAACAGCTAATAAGTAATCGTCATTTCAAGTGATCACAATCATTTTTGTTCTTCAAGGATGTTCATCGTCTCCGTTCTCATTTGATGTAATAATAGGTGTGTCCCTGAATGACTTTAGTACCTTAGGAGTTGACTAGTTAGCCGCATCAGTCTTGTGGATTTAGTACAAGCAAGTGATGCAGTTTCTGTAGTTGAAGATCCTGGCGAAATGAGAGATCTTTTGAGCATCTGGAGCAGAAATCTAACTATAGTTGGCATGCGATTCTCCAGTATCAAATGCGGGATGATGCCACAGAACTGGTCTACACCGACTCTAAGTTTAATAATAAGCAGTGAAGTAGTTCGCCGTGATCACCACTTTACTTATGAATTAGCATCAGGCTTAATGAAGTGACTGTTGATGAAATCTCAGCCCAGACATGAAAGTATGGTATAGCACTTGTCAAAATACTACATCTATCGAGTAGATATGATATATAGCTAAGCCCCATAGGGCGTGTGCATTGTGCAGTTGTTTGAATGTGAGACATGGCCGTTGAAAATTAAGGGCATCAGAAGGCTGGCCGTCGTTGACCACTAATGTTCTTGTCCTATCTGTAATATTAAGTGGTATACAATGGTGAGTAGTTTTAAGGTTAGCTGTGCAACGTTCAGTGATGACGGCAATATAACTGACGAGGTTGTGAAGGTGGATCTACTAGGATGTCTGGGATACGTGGTACACATGACAAACTATCTCCTTCCTCGACTGGAGATGCTAGCTGAAATTGGACTAGGCTGAAAAGCAGCTGCAGACGGCCAAGTAAAACCTCGGCATCGATACACGATGTATTTAAACATTGGTCTCAGCGAAACAGGATGGTATATACTTAGCGGATGAGGTCTTCTTGATGCTAAGAACTGATCGCTTTGGACTGTTGGTGACGTCTCAAAATCATTCTAACTGATAGGGATGCATCTACTCTTTAAGAGCGCGAAGACTCATTAAATTCTCTTTACATTCCATGAGCTTCTTTACTTGCACATGTCTGAGCAATTATTACTTTTTTGTACAATAATCTGGTTGCCCCTAATCTACTAGTTTGACCTATATAATTGACTCCACTCAGTTATTACGTGGTATTTGATGAATTATACTATTGTTTTTAATTAGATCCACTAGGTCCTTCAGCCAACACAGTTTATCTCTGAGAGATTTGTCTGGTTTAAATGCCATCATAATTCCAGTATGGTTGAAAATTCTACGTGAGGCCTCTTAGGTACTTTCTTTAGTTGGCAGTCCTGCAGAGGCTTGAAATTCTATATTATTTTCGTCATTTTTAATGCTGGTCTTAGTTTTCCTATGGTTCTTCATATATTTCTGAATAAATTCGATGGGAAGTTATTCACTAGTAATACTTCCTTTGATTCATTTAATTATTTAAGTCTTCTGGCCTTCTAGTTGGGCCATTCACTTGCATGTATTCACAATATAGGGTGGGACAGGGTGAGAGTAATAAAAAGTGATCATGTTATGTGGAGAGACAGATAGGTTAATCACTAAATCTTTTTTCACCAATTCAACATCACACACGTGTAATTGGAATGACGCAACGCCTATACCGGAGATATGGAGGGTGCCAACAAACAACGAAGGGAGGTTGGAGAAACATAATAGAGAGAAAATATGTATAAGACGAATTGTGAAACAGTATGACTTAAAGAGATATGATTATAGGCAATAATTTATGCTCAAAACCTTGTCATTGAGTTGTTAATACTGTATCTCTGTGTGATAGTTAAAATAAACTTCTCTAATGTGGAAATACATTCTACCATGGTGCCGAAGTTCTACACTAACATCAAGACCATTCTTTTATCGTGTCCATTTTATCTTCTTAAGACGCATCTACAGGATTACCCCAAAGCTACTTTCATAGCGTTCCACGGCTACTTCATGTAGCTTTTTCAGTAATAGTGCACATATTCTCGGGCATTTTCCTGGACACTGAAGTTGAGTTTCCTTACACTAATTGATGATATTAACATATATCTGCTGCTTTTCTTGATGTCATTCCCGGTAGGTTGACTCTGTCCGATTTAATTCCAGTCTTGATTTTTCTTTGAGAACCCCATGAAACCTTTATCGCTTTATGTATATATGTGCTTGTACAACATGCATTCAGTCACAAATCCTTTGAACGCTTAGAAGTCGGAGAATAGTTTCCCTCCTTATTCACTTCTCCAAGAACTTCTCGAAAATCAACGAGTTCTTTCCCGAGTATTTTGCTCCCAGTTTCGAATTCAGATCACCGAAAAAATCTTCAACAGGTTTTACACTATTTTCAACATCAGTCATTGTTTCATGGTGCCCCGTTGATAGCTTGGGGCGTCCTATTCTGGAATATATCTCTTCATTCCGTTCACAATTTGAGCACCCATATCAGCTTTAAGCATCGTGTGGACACTTCATATATCTCTGTCTACTTGCGCTCTAGTATCAGCTGGCTAGTTTCGGTGAGGCTTTCACGTGCCGTCGCCAGTGGTCTTCTCATTGACGTTTCTACTAAATTCCAGAAGAGAATAAGTGTGCATTGATTTTTCTATTGAGCTTCATCGAAGATAGTGTTGAATTTTTATGAGTTGGTGACGCTAAACCTACGTCCAAAGTTCCGTGATTTCGAGGTTTGTCACCTGTTGACAATCTATGTGAAATGTAGTGAGCGTAGCCTACAAATTTCAGACAGGACTGTTTCGATCGAAAAGGCGGTGAAGTAGTTGTCTACTTTAGGAAGATAGTAGCTTCTAGTAGAGCAGTAGCTATCGCACATGAAATGGATTTATGCCAACTAATGCATTGTAGGGTAAAATCAAAGGGATAACACAGATGTCATCGTAACACCTGTTTCCGAGGCTATGCCAGACATCTTGCTCATGGAAGAACTGAACTGATGGACATCAAACAACTTACGTCTTGTAGATCACATTACAATTCCTAGCACTGGTCTTCAAACGTGGAGTTATTTTTCTCCCACAATTGGGAATAGGAGACGCACTCAACATTCAGCAACCGTAGCTGGATGCCATCATGCTATGATTAACTCACATGGCAAAGTAGTTGTCATATATGGTCCTCAGAAACTAGCTGTGACACACTTATTGATAGACAATATAAATGCTATCGTTAGTGCACCAAAGTCAGGAAACAAGTCTATGAGTCCGGAAACTCATACTGAAGTGCCACAAAGTCAATGCGAACAATCATTACTCTGTTATCCCGACCCACAATCTCATGGAACAGATAAGTATTGATCTAAGTACATCACCAAGGTTTTGACACACATCACGGAACAGAATTTATGGGTGTATCGCAAGGTGCTGAACTGGGGACCTCGCATTTATTTGGTGTATTACGTGGGCCCACCGAATTCCTAGCAACGAATAGAGAGCGGAATGTTGGCAGCAACGTACTCACTTTGCAAACATATCTCAACAATCTATTAGACAATTTCAAACGGTGCATTCCTCTTATCACCGCAACGCAGGGTTCATATGTACTCACTTAACAATTACGCCACAGCATATGAGCCACTGGCAGTATACCACTCATTTTTAGTTCGTAAGCACACATTTTTATGTGAGATTGTTATTTGGAAAGGTAGGCCGCACTGTGGCACCTCGCTTATTAAGATCTTTGTGTACAATGCATTTGCGATATGAAAACTGAAAAGCTGTATAAATACCACTGGGTATTGTCCAATTTTTGCTTTAGAGGGAAAGCTGGAGAATTTGGTAAAGAAGGAAGGACAGTGTGGCTGTGCAGTTCCAATTCTGCCGCAAAACCCGTTCGGACAAAAAGGGAAGGAGAAGGTTAAGAAGGGCGACCAAATTGGGAAGGCTGGTGGATAGGAAAGTGAAAGTAAAGGGATCTTTGTTTCTCCCTTCCATTTTTTACAGGTGAGGCGTAATGTCTACTTTTCACGCATTAATTCTGCGCTTTTTGTCACCATAACGTTCCCTCTTTTCCCCTTATGTCGCCCTCATTACCTAATACCTTCCTTTGAATTTTTAGAAGAAATTTTAGAATAAATGATCCAATAGCTCTCATTAATTCGCTCAGGAAGGTATTAGATTAGCAAAGATGCTTACTGGAAGTTAGTTAGGATAGTCTTTCATCCTAAAATCCTCAACCAGTTTCTACATCTCATTGTTCAAGTTTCGTCCGTACATTAGTAGTAAAACAAACTTTCTACATATAGAAATAGTTGTATCAGTCACAAAAGATGCTTCCGCATCGTTTCATAAAACTGAATGCAAATTTCTCTGTGATGTCACTGTTCACTAATTTAGACTTATAATTGACCTTGAGACAAACGCGCCTTGTATCTACGGTGCGTTACTTATGGTTTGCAGAAATATTCCATAAATGCTGTACATGGATTATATTTTCGGCTGTGACAGACTTTATTACGGATCACGCACTTTATAGTAATGCGTGATGTTTTAAGCGCATTAACCTCGTTGGAGAACCAGTCGTCGAATGTTTGTTATTAGTTGTAAAATATAGCATAATTTTATATATTAGGTGTACGAACCGAATATTATTGAATTCATTGAATCGCTGTACATTTTTGTGAAACATAAATTTCGATCTTACGGTGTTTCGTGGAGGTAAGTGTCATTCATTTATAATTTTCATTTTAGATATGTGAATCGTCTCAGGAATTTTTTGCTGTGTAACATAAAAGACTGTCAATACGCTGCTGATCAAAAAAGTGTTTTGAAATGTTCGCGGTGTTGTGAAATATTTTCCAACTGTTCCGTATTACTTTCATTATACAAAAAATACTCAATCTTGGTATGCCTGGAATTAGCTGCTTCACTTGGTAGTTCTGAAGATGTTGCCCTTAATCGACTTTCATGTCACTTGTGTAACTTACACCGCTCCTACACAACTCTTCATCATTTCTGTCTAACTTTGCGTGATGGTAAGTCATATGATACTCGCGAATAATTTGTTGTTCATATATGATATACAAAGGAAGTTGATAATTTTGTAGTATAAGTAACTTGTTTCAGTTCATTCCGAAATGTTTAGCCTTTGGAGTTCCTAGGCGAATATTTATAAATATGGTAATATGCCGGGTAATTATTTGACGCGATGTCTGCCCAGTCTGTAATTTTGTGGGGAATAAACTTGTCGGAAGATTGAACAAAGTATTAGGATTCTTTTAGGCACTACGTGCGTCTCACTCACACCATGATATTTTAAACCATATGTGTATTATAAACTAAGCTACTTCAATACTCACGCCTTTTTCAAGCGCGGTTCACATGCGTGATAGCTATTATTCAGTGTATGTGTTGAATTATATTTAAATAGTGTTTGTAATTCATAACACGTGTCGTTTGTTCTTGAAAATCTATATTTATCAGAAATATTTTTCTGGGTTACAAATACCGCTTTCATAAGAAATTTTGTGTATAAACATGTTGTTACTCGGTAGTTATCATTGTGACTTTATCGTTAGTAACGATCTTTTTGCTATTGTTCCTAATTTGTGGTAAATAGCCTGTTGTGAAGAAAAATAAGATTTGTAGAAGATATTCATAAATACTGGGTAGCACCATACGTTTAAAAAATTACTGTAACTTTGAAAGCGTTTCATCGTTTGTAGACAACTGTATACATTCCACTTTTTATTCACTCTACCTGACACTTTCTTGTCAAAGTATCTATAATTTAACTTGGTGCAACTATTTTTCAGGGCCGCATGACCACAGATTTCCTCATTCTGTTTACGGATTTATTGAAAAGCCTAACTGTAAATCATGTACGCATATTTTGAAAAGAAAAGACATTCCATTTTCTGGGGGTAAAGGTACGTGTTCATTTGCAGTCAGCTTTCCTAATGCAAGTTTAGGAAAGAATCCAAGTGGTCGCTGTGATGACCATACATCTTCACATGGAAAAAAACGATTTAGAGTTTTTAAAAAGGATCATTGTACTTTGTCACATTTGAGGAAATGTATTAGAAGGCCAGAAAGCAGCAGTGACTCTTCTGATTCGTATTCATTGAAAGGGTAAGTATATTGCCGTAGCGTTTTTCTATTAAGGATTTTTCACACTTATATATATATATATACATGCTGAATGTGAAGGGATTTTTGTCAGGAGCCTCTGATAAGACCTGTAATGGGTTAAAGTGGGTATTTGTGTCCCTTGGTCTTTAATTTCACTTTGGTTGATTTCGGTTCGGGTTGAAATCAAGAGTAAAAGCAGTGAACTACTTATGAATGTGTTTAACATATTGTGTGAAATAAAAATAGAAATAAACGTATTTGTTCTTCACAATAAAGCATGTTAGTATTCCATGACATATCCGAATTTGTTTTCATGTTATTTCGTATAGAAGATGAAAGATTTGGTGAATGAAGTATTCCAGGGAATCGAAGTCGGTTACTACTTATCATACATCCCTTATTATCTTATATCCTCATTTACAGATTATTATTATTAGTGATTACCTGTTATTAACCACTTTCATCTGTGCTGTTTATGAAGTATGACAAATTAGCTAAGTAATTCGCAACATCTTGTTTTACTGTAAATTTGTAAAACCTAACGATGTTTACCGTTTTCAATGCCTAACATAAGAAATAGATTGACGTAAAGCCCTTCTTAGAAATATATCAGTTCATTTTGTTGTGTGTAAAAACGTCTGGCGATATTAAAATAAAGACAACTGGACATAAGAGAAAATAAAAATCAATGATAATAGATGAGTATACTCGTTTTAAAGAAAATAAGCCTTCGACATTTTTATTTTATTTTAGGCTTCTAGGCGTTAACACTTAACATTTTGAAAGCTTAAATTGGGTAGCTGAGATTTGAAAACTTCGTGGGTTATATGTTTTTATTCATATTAGTTGTAATGTTATCACTAATTTAGGACCTTTAGATTTGCGCAGGTAACAATCACTTTGGCAAATATCCTATAGCTTTTCTTGGCACTCATTAAAACTTCATTGAAATGACTTCTGTTTAACTATTTTGTTTTTTTTTATAGTGAAAATAAGCCTGTGAAAGATAATCCCTTGGGCTGCCTGAAGGCTGAGTCTATTCCACATCAACATCTATCACCTCTAAATGATTCAAAGTGTATTGACGTCAATTTATTACACTCTTATTTAGACAAGCATTTAACTACTGAATTACCTCAGCCGTGTTTGTATCCACATGTATTGCTTATTTTATGTAAATATATTAATGCTATTCAATTCATCATACATATGGATGAAAGTTATTCAGTTCAGTACGGTGATGCTTTAACACATTTTAATATTAAAATTCTTGAAGAATTGCAAAATGTAACTATATCGGTTTATGAAATGTTTATCAGTACTAGGTGAGTATGACTAATAAACTTCCTTAAGAATTTGCTGTTACAATATATTGTCACTGCAGTGTTTTTGTATCTGCTTAATTGTGATTTTCTATTTTACTACATAAATTTCCTTAGTTTTCCAATTATTCGTTTACTTTAGTTCAGATATAACTATCTGCAATCAACTATCATGTATCATTACCACTGTGTATATGTAGATCATAGTATGTTGTATTTTTCATTCGATTTGGTTAGAGGCTTTGTGTATGGTTATTATTACAGTCTCTGTATTTGAGTGCTTTTTCAAAAAAGCTTTTCGTATGTAAATGCTGTTGGTTCGTAAACGAACTCGAATAGCATTACTCTGTACCTGCCTGATTGTGGTTCAAATCAACAGTGATTAACTTCTTGGATTGTTGTCATATTTCCGTCTGACTGGCCGTAACTCCCAAAATTACCAATCATTGGAGTTTAACGACCTCATTGACTTTCCCTTTGTCTGCTTGGGTAAAAAAGATAATGACCGCAGCTAGTGATTCGTTTTCTTAGATTAGTTAATTCAAACTTACTTTTTGATCAGTTTTATAGTTTCATTTCCCACCTGTGATGATCATTGCAGACTTCAGCTAATACGTTCAGGTCATTAATGTTTCGTCTGTACTGTCTGATGTTGATTAAAATAATGAATCTGCATAGATTTCTTAAGTAGAAATCTTTCAAAGAACAAAAAGAAAGATATAGAGGGTAAAATGGTTCGAAAGCCGATTAACTTGTTGTTAATATTGAATGCTTTATATATCTTTTAGATTCTGGTGACAAATCGACAGAATCACAGTCACTTCGCATTTTCTACCGAAATTTAACAGAAGCTCAGAATATATTTCCAATCGCTTGATTAAATGTTATACTGTGTGAATAGTTAACAATGAAGCATGCCTTTATCTTTTCAAGTATTGTTGCACTGCATAAAAATAGAGAATACATGGGCTTCACCTTTGTTGATTTATCGTTCTTTATGTAAAATATAAACTAACTCAACGTCTTTAAGGGAAATCTACATCAAGGATACGTAAACTCATATGATGGAGTAGTCGTAAACTTGGCCATATTCACAAACGTTTTGAGTAAAATGCATTTGATATCTTCACATAGAATCAAAAATGGAGGAAAAGGAGATCAAGAAAATGAAATAACCAAGGATATGATTAAAAGACGTAGAATGCTATAAAAATAAAAGATACGGCATCTAAATGAATGCTATATCGTAATCACGCCCGATAGGTAGCTGTTACCTTGGCGTCGTGGTCGGGCTTGCATATCTCAATGACCCAACAAGCTACACTGGCTGGAAATAATGTTTCTACCATTCCAGAAGGTTTTTTAAGATGTCAGTTAGACATTGTGTAAAATGTTTACATTATGCTGGGAGGGAGGGTTGTGGCCAAAGTCGTACTGCTGAGGAATGGAGATGTAACAGTAGTAATCTGTTCGCCTCAGGTGACCAGCATTCCAGCTATGCTGTCTCTCCACTCTGGAGAGAGGGGGTTAGGAAAGCTTGACCCCAAGACTTGTACATCCGACTTACCCTACGGTGGTCCGTATTTGGCGGCAAGCTCCTAATACGGAAACAAATCTAAAACCAGCTCAAACAGGCCGTGTGTCACTGGACTCAAGCATTTGTCTCCAGGGCTCTACGGTCATACAACAGTAATTTTCTGTTTTACGTAACCCGGACACACACTTCCAAAAGCACACGAAGCTCTCCTGATGCTGCTCATATGATGTCATCGGCACACAAGAGCGATTTTATAAGACCAACACTGACCAAACTACTGAAGTCTCTATAAGCTATCTAATCTTAATTAAACTAAGGATCAGTGATAGATCTACTACTTAGCGAATCTACGAATATCATAGTCGAAGATGCATTCATACGTATACGTAAGCATGTATCTTGATTTACTTTAATTAGGCAAGTTAAGATACTAGCAATTCCAGTAGACAAACATTATTTTTTTTGACAGAGAAAATAAAATTATTTCAATCTCATAAAATATTCTATCAAGTTTTTATCTATCGTCTTTGTTTTTTTTTGTTTTTTTCTTTCCATTTTTTAGGGATGATTTCTACCTAAGTGTTGTACAGATTGTTTGTCAAGCTATTACTGTTGTATACGATTGCTTAAAATATTGGCAAAAGTCAATTGTCCACTTGAATTATGATAGTTCACTCTTGAATTTCATAACATTGATATCTCAGTGGTTTCATTCAGAAGAATCAAAGTTCATCTGTTTAAAATTAACTTCTCTTGATATCCTTTTAAATGTAATTAATTTAACCTCACAATGTACTGATGTATACAATCAATGTCATAATATAATAATCAATTTTTTAAATAATATCCAAATTACAGAAAAGCATATTCATGAGTTGTGTATCACTAATGATTTTAATTCCGATGTACATTCTGAATATATTGCTGATTATTTTATGTGTTTATTTCATAAATTATATCAGTCAGATCAAAGTTTATTGCAGCTTACACCACCAATCCAGGATTCTCCGTGTATTATTAACAAAGAATTCCCGTATTTATTTGTTTTATTGAATTCTTTTGTATCTCAGAGCAAATTTTTAACTGTTGACGAAAATACTGCTACTTCCTAATCCATATTCATTAGTTCCTTATCGTTCATTTTTATCATTTTTGCATAATCATGCATTGTCTATTTGTTCTGTATATATGTTAAATGAATATTTTGTTCAATGGATTTTCGATTTGTTGTTCGAATTGTATTTTTCTACTTCTCCTATTATTTTTAATCACTTCAACACCAACAATAATAACGATGAATTATGTAGTCATTTATATTTTAAAATTATTTATACCTTCTTAATTGATTTAGTTAAAAATGAAAAATTCGCATGGTTAAAAGATGTTTTGTTTAAGCTGACACAGAATGATAAATCATCTGTGAAAAAAATAAATTTTTTACATGAATTATGTCAAATTCATAATGCTACTACTACTACTTCTGCTGCTCTTATAAGTACAAAACGCTCAGATCTATGTCGGGCTAATATAATTCTAAACGAGCATTTAATGCAAAATTTTCTGACTTGTCTGTTCAATGAAACCAATACTACTGATAGTAGTCGTTTAAGTAGTGATTATTATCCGGAGTGTGTGCATCATCACCTTTTGGAATCGTATACAATACTGCTTGGATTCAAAATTCAAGTGTTGCATTCAAACAAATTTTCGATGAGTTTAAACTGTTGGCAAGATTCAATCAATACTGTGAAAGATATGAAAAGCTCTAATTTCTTGTTAAGGTAAATTTCTGATCTACTTACTATTTTGAAAATTATCTATTGGCATAATTTCATTCCGTTTCTTATGAGAATTTTAGTTTCTAAATCTATGCTTTGAGATTGTATTATAAAGAAGTGTTTGGCTGAATTTATATGCTGTGTGGAGTCATTATTGTTATCTGGGAGGTGTGGAAGCTTTAGTAAGTACGGAGATGGCAGATGCACTTCTTTTTGGTTTAGTCACTTGATTTTCAGCCTGCAGGTCTTGAATTCGAGATCCGCTTCAAATGCCTCAGCATGGTCTACTGGCTAGTATCCTCACTTTTTTTTACTATAACTTTGCAACCCATAGACTGGTACGTGAAAAGACCTATTGTGGACAATTGACTCCGAACAGCTACAGTTCTAAAAATGGAGATATTGGAAGTATTATTACTAAGGAGAGCAGATTTCTGATCTTTCAGTCTAACAGCCATACTTTTTGTATGAGGGGAGTTGATGATGCCACCCAGATCAGAGTAGATTTGGATTCTTACTCTTGAGTAAGTGGTTGGGGGTTTCAGGGCAATAAGTCACATCTCTTCCCCACTATTTCATATGACTTCGGGTTGACGAGAAAACATTATGGCAGTTGTCTCTTCCTTGTTTGGGACTCTTCATCAATGAGCGTCCACTGGGATTCGGATCCAGGACCTGCCGGTTACAGGGCAACCTCGTAGTTGATTCAGACACTGTGACCCTATCTAACGGCCCACAAATTCCAACGTCTACCAAGTCGCAATATAAATGTATCGTGGTTGTCGTTTGGGTGACCTGTGTGGATTATTGACTCTGTAGTTACTAACTTGTAGAATCCACTTGCATTCCATCCGCTCTCACAGATCCTTCTCACTTCTATGCCATATCTTCTCATCTCTTCAGCAATGTGAGCGGATTTTCTAGCTATGAACATCTGCTCACTGGCTTCCCGAAGGCTTTCACCAGTCTGCGTCATTTTGCTTCTGCTCCCAGCGAAGAATAGGTTTATTTTTTAAATATTTTTCTGTGCTTTTATTTTAGTGATCCTGTTGATTTTCCGGGGTATAGTCGCTAGCCCTACACCCAACCTTCCCTGTTTTTCCGGGCTTAAAGCTGGCTAGTAAACTAGGTAAGGTTGCGGTCCATTATGGTTTAATATATACTGATCGGTTTGCTAAGACTAATCATTTCACACTTAAGGAAACATTTTTCACATAAATAGTTGTAAAAAATATTATTACTATTCGCGTTTGTGTTTTTAACATATTTCTTTGAATTTGCGAGTTGATACTCTGCAGATTGCCTTGAAGTTACCAGTTATTTAATGTTGGAAACACTGATATTGTAATATATGAACGTCAATATTACTTTTTATATCTAAATAACGAGTGCTCACTGGTATGAAAAAAATCGAGGTGTAACTTCTTGATGGAATCCCTATTTCTTCAGTTTCTACCTTTAAAAAGAAACTAAAGAACTGTTGTTTCATCACAAGTAAATAAATAAAATGGAGATGGATCACATGCACACTGAAGAGGCCGTCGGGTTACATCGCTCACCAAGCCCTCGAGTGGCACCCGAATGGTAAATAGTCAATTGGGCGTGTTGTGGAGAGTAACATGAAGTAGGTCGTGTAAACAGGAGATGAGAGTCTATCGGCAATCATGGGGCCAGCTACAGAAGACCGCATAGAACAGTGCAAATGTGGAGAAATGCTGTTGAAGGCTTATGTTCCACTTGAAACCCAAGGGAATAATAATATTAGCCAAATGAAGCTTAATTGCATTGGTGTAGTTGTGTTCTCGAAGCAGGACTGATTTCTCCTTTGAGATTTGAAGTCACAGTCAGAGACGTTAGCCATGATTTCTTCTGCCAGCTTATAAGTGCCACATGTTCAAGGTTTCCTGCCGATTGCTTCCTTTTATAAAACATCGGATGGTAGTCATATGAAATTGTCTAGTAATAAAGAAATTCAGACTCAATCCTACGCATTCGTAATGAGTGACAACACCTACAACACCCATACTTTTTAAATTTTTCATTTTTTAAATTTTCACTTCTAATATTGACAACCAATGCAGATGCATCTAATTTTCAGGAGACTAAGGTTGAGGCTAACTATCAGGATACATACTGTACTTGGAATACTGTATTCAGTGAATACTTTTTCATACGAACTTGTATTCAATATCTATTAAATTATAATCTAATTTTTTGTTGATTTATCAAAGATGACTAACTGAGATCATTACTGTACTGGACATTGGATAATAAATTTAAACTACTTACCAGGACCCTGTGTTTATTTAGCACACAGAAATTGCAATTGTAATCTCAATCGACCTCAGATCCGACAGTGTCGGTGTTTGTTATCTTACATAAATGCTAATATATATATATATATATATATATATATATATATATATTATCTATGGCTTTTTTCATACAGTTTAGCATAACAGTAATGGTTTATTAACAAGTTTTAAGTAAATTTTAACATACATATTAAAAAGGCTAAATCAGATTAGGTTAAACGGAAATGGCACAGAAAGTGCAGCCACAAAGCATCTGTTCTGTTTGAAAACAAACTTCACACAAACCTTATCCAAAAATAACCGATCTTAGTAATTAGGCTTGTTCGTTTTATCGTTAGCGATAATCTTCAAATGTGCTGATGGATATTAGTGATTATTGTTACACTTTGCAATTTAATATTAAACTCTAGAAGTATTTAGGTGGATGGTGACAAACAGTGGAATCCAGGAGGCGCATTTACTCCTATTTGGGACTCGTCAGCTGGATGTGAGTTATGGTCGGCTGACAGTGACTCGAACCCAGTGCCCATTGTATCAAACGTCAAAGCGTTATCCACCAGACTACATGGACTACGAAAGTCAGCTCTTCTTGTGCAACGGACAACAGTTATCGCTTGTTTTCAATTCAATTTTCATTTTCCTGTTGATTAACTGAACCGAGGAGACGACATGTCAACAGAGGCTGAACATCTTGGTCCAATCAATCAATGCAAAACTTTAGAAGCTGACCTGATAAGACTCTCTGGACTTTGGTGCCCCACTCAGCAAACCTTTATCAAACTTAGATTATTTTTGAGATTTCAGCTAGCCTAAATCTTTACCCATGTAAATGCCTAAACTCCTATTGGACTAGTGTATGCATGCGAATCTGTCAATGAATGATAGTCAGTGTATCGTCAGTTGCATAAACACACATTTTCTTCATTCTGGTAAGTAGATGGATAGACTTGATTCTATTCTTTTAGGTGTACATAAGTAAACCACAAAAATAGCGTGTCTTCGATACACGAGCATAGCAACCGGTCACTGTCCAAAAACCTCTAAGAGGAAACTCATTCTAACCTTCATTCGCTCGTCAAAAGGTCAATCTGTCCATCTTCATCATTCTTCTCCTTAATTAGGCAAACAATTAAATCATGAGAATTTTTATGCTTAATTTGTTTAATAGTGTTATACAGTAATATTTACTGAGGACGTTTAAGACAGGAAATACACTTTTTTCAGATGAACTCCTTCTTTTAAAATAATGCTATCAAAATAATAAGTTCATGATCAACAAGAAGTCGATTGAATCTCATTAATGTTTTGTTCTGAAATTCTTTAATGTTACTCATAATTACTACTTTGAATTGTACACTTTAGGTAATATCTGACTATAAGCTCATAGTAAGGCGAAACTCGAATCTGTCACTGACTGGCTGAATCGGAAGTCAAATGAGTAAAACAATCAACTATATCTCATCTACATATTACTCGACTATTTACTACATTTGAATCAGTTTTCTACTTTTCCTAATATCAGTAATACTAGTAAACTTAGATTTATTATTATTCCCTCGGGTTCCAAGTGGAACAAGGCTTCAAAAGCATATCATCCTGTTCTCTGCAGTTTTGTTTAGCTACCCTAAAAGTTGCCCATAAGCTCTCATCTCATCATACGATCTTCTCTTTATCATCCTCCGATATATGCCAAACTCTCCGTGTTCCATTGGGATTCCACTCGAGGACCTACCTAACGCGTGATGTCACTCGATGGTCTCCTCAGCGTCGGTCCTATCCATCTCCATTTTCTTCGGCATATCCTTTGAGTAGTCGATTCTTCGTTGCTTCATTCTCAGGACTCCATGCTGCTAATGCTTTCTGGTTACCGGATCTTCAGTAACGAGCCAGCCAAGGCAGCTGTTGGTGAAGGTTTTCAGCCTGTGGGATATGCATTAGGCGACGCGCCATGTGAAAGAGCTGGCTCGACATCGCGATATTGAAAATCCGAATTCTGTTCTTTGTGCTGAATGCAGTAAAGTTCCTTACTGATTTCAGAGTGATGAAGGTCTGTCTTGCCTTTCTGATTCTGCCTTTGGCATTCTAATTCGTGCCTCCACCTGTAGCTAAAATGATGCAGTCTAGATAAGCGAGTAAAGTGGCCTCTTTCAAATTTCTCGCGTTGATATTGATTGGTGCTTATTGTTGGTAGTGGCGGTTGGTTATCTTCATCACCTATGTCTTCTCTATGTTCACTTGGAGTGCTGTCTTTGCTGCTTCTTCTGTCAACTTTTTGGTTTCCGCCTGCAGGTCCTCGATTTTGTGGGGCTTAAGATATAGATCATGCTCAAAGTCCAGATATTCTTATCGGTCCATCATATTCCTATCTTCTTGTTTCCTACAGTTTGGCACGTAATCCAGTCCACTACAATTGAGAATATCATCGTTGATATTAGTTTTGGATCATCTGACCTGTGACATTGTCATATAGCTGCTATCTTTTTCCATACTTTGCCG